AAAATCTAGTTTTGTTTTTTCCCTCTCTACTTTTCGCCTTTGCAAATTCACTGTAAATTTTTCATCTTTTGCATTTTCAACTATCAGATTTTCTCCATTGCAGTTTCGACTATCACAATTTCTCCAATCTAACTGACCATATAAGGAAAGGGGCGTGTTTCCGAGTTCGGCCGAAGATGACGTCACAACTCATCTGTTTTTATCGTCTGGACTAAGATTAATGATTCCTGATAGGGACTATGTTCACACGACGTCATAAATCTAAGTTGATATAAGCGACTGATGCATTTGGAGTTCTTCGGTTAGCTGAGAGAATAGTAAGAGCAAGAGGTCCGCATTACACATAAACAATTACACAATACAAACCCTTGGACACGACACACAATATAGGCTACACATATATTTCAAACAATAAGCATGTCAAATCAAGTGAATGGATACGGCGTAGGCCTACTGGATTATGACTTATAAAAACACCTGGTGAATAATTAATTATATAAAACAATATTTAACGTAATATGTTATTTGTAGGTGTAGGTACCATAGAGGTGTACTTTATTTGAAGTACTACGCCAACATCAAAAGATGACGTCACATCTGTATTTTTATTGAAGACCACATAAAACTTATTAGGCCTACATACTGGTTACCGGATACTTGTTTTAAAAAAAAAATCCGCTTTGCAAAAGTATAAAATGCTAATGATTAAAATAAAATAACTATTACTAACATGTTACCACCCGACCGTCAATAATATAGGTTGTTTTTTTTTAACTCTTGAGTCTTGTCGGAAAGGTACGTATAGCCTTGTATTTTAATTAATACAACTTTTGTTTCTAGTTGTATTTTTATTAATATAACTTTTGTTTCTAGTTTCGCATTATTTAACTCCCACATTACAGATCTTTATCAACTAAATATTGTAACTGTTCTTGTGGAATAAATAACTTTGGCGGATTAACTCTTCCTGGTGAAAGATGATACTCTCTACCATGCCCTATTTATCTTGTATGCAATTTATTACATTGTCGAATAACTGTAAAGCTTTTTTTAAATTGATTAAGGCAGCCAGGCACCTCTTTTGTAGTTTCACCTTTTTTCAGATATAACGCCATAAATTCGCTCACATCCATGTCGATGTGCTGTCAAAGATTCATCCGGTCTATTAAGACAATGGAGCCAACCTCAAAGTTCGATCGATGATGTAACTCATTAAACAAAAAGTGGATCGACATGACAATGAATTTATTTCATTTCTCCCAAAAAAAAAAATTAAAAAAATTATAAAATCGGACAATTCTTAAGAATAACCCAATGGAGTAGTAATTTTAGCTGAGACGATAAATACTGATGTCTTATGACGTCAACTTCGGCTGTACCCGGAACCACACCCTCTGTCCGTTCGATTGGAGAAATTTTAGTGGTGGAAATTAGAATGGAGAAATTCTGATAGTTGAAAAATGAAAAGATGAAAAATTAGAGTGAATTTGCAAAGTTGAAAAGTAGAAAGTGAAAAAACATAATTAGATTTTTTTGGTTTGTTTTGATACTAATATAGTGATTTTGATGTGATTTTTAAAAGTGAAATATCTCGAAAATGACCATTTTTACTATGATAATTTGTCAATTTTAACTACTATATTTTCTCTTAATATGGCAACGATTCGGCTCCATAACTATGATGTTAGTGATCTGGGAGTATTATATTTACAGATAATCTGTGGATCTATATTTGACTAAAGATTTATGCCCTTTAAAACATTGTGTAAATATTTACAGATCTTCACAGCGTATATACATGTATGTCAAAACTAAATAAAAGCCCTCCCCCCACCTCAACTTAATGGCAGATTACCTTTGGCTCACCTGCACCTGGGCTACAACGTTTAGGGACAAAATTAGAATAAAGAGTTTTCAAAACCTACATAAAATATATAAAAGTCTGAGTAAAAAAGGAATTTATTTTAAAAATTTTCAAATACATTTATTGATTTCACAACTGTTATGAATTATTTTAATTTTTGATTTGAATATTATAATTTTATTTTGCTTGTATCATTTGCAATGAATTAAATCAACACCGAATGCCAGTATGATGCAGGAATGTCTGAACAATTTGGAACACAATATCTCTCCTAATTGAGGTAGAATGTTTAAACTTGGTATAGCATAGGTGTCTAATTAGGTGAATGCCTCAACAGTGAGTGAGCATGCGCATTTCCCACTGAGGCTAAGCACAGATAAGCAATTTGATTAGTTTAGAATTTTTTAACATAACAACTCTGCTTTAAACTGAGGTAGAATGTTTAAACTTGGTGTAGATTTTCATCAGGTTGATGCTTTGAGACAATCATCTTCAATAGAAGGCTTCATCCAGCTTTATACATCTTATCAAGCCCTTCCCGCAATACCTCGCATATTTCGGCACTAATTTCGATTGGATACTGACCCAGCTGGGGAGCCTATCAGATTCCTTGATCATCGCAAATACCATGCTTTCCAGCTAAAATGTCTACCTGTGATAATCGAGTTGCAAAGTTTAAGGTTTATTCAATGTCAGGGTTTCTGTGGAGGTCGCAATGTTTGATTTCAGCCTGTTTGTGTCACAACCTCTGATTGGATGCTATCGTTCATGTGTCTGTGTTAAAGGGAGATAACATAGCTATAAGTTCAGGAATTGCAGACCAATATAGCAACGTCTATATGCTGTAAAACTCATGGTCGTTACTTCAGTAACATGTGAGATAAGATAACTTTGATTCTAACTGATGGAGAGTGATGAAACTTGGTGTATAGTTTCACTACCAGGTACTTCAAAGTTTGGCCATGATAATTTAATGCTTATTGCTTCGACTAAGTATAGATAATCAGTTTGATTGCTCAATACTTTTGAAAAAGATAAATGTGCAATTAATTAATTATATGTGTCATCTATTTATTTCAAGATTTCAGCAGGGACATCACCCTCACTGTTGCACAGTGTATTTTTTCACCCTTTGGAAATAAAGTTATTATTAACAGTAAATAAAAAAGGCCCTTGACTTACCACAAGAGATAACTAAGCTGTAAAGCCATAATGTACCCCCATTCAGAAATAAACTTGATGGTAAAAAAAAAGCATTGAGTGTTTCCACACTTGATTGAACAGGAGTTGAAGATAAATAAAAATAACCCTGACTTATTTCCACACTTGAATGAAGTAAAGAAGAAAACAACCCATACAACGACCCTTGATGCATGCATCTACAATTAAAGTTGGATTTCAGAAATCATGCATTTCTAAAATCTTGTACAAATTGGTCACGACTTTAGTGGACTTAAAAGGTGAGATACCCTTAAGTGAATAAAAGGGGCAAATTTCAGGATGAAAGAATCTTGCAAATCTTTGTTGTAGTATGGTGTAGCTGCCCATAGAAGTGAAATAAAACGGGGTTTAACATCCTATATTTCTGTACCAACTGGGCAATTGAAGATGGACCAATGTCTGGGTCATATGTAATTTTATTATTTATGTTATTTTATTATTTTTTAGTTCTGTTTTTAATTTCAAATCTATATTTCAATATTCTTTAATGCTTGGGTCGTCATTAGAGACAGACAGCAATTAATCTGTCAGTCAACTGAAATTATGAAATGCTGGCAAGTAAAGTGGTTGATCTATCAAGTTTCTTTAACTATTGTTTTAAATGTTTATGTCAACACTTTCATAGGGACTAAGTTAGATAAAAAGACAAATGTATGTTAGTTAAGTTTTTAGTTGGAGAGACCAAACCATCTTAGGAAACCTATATACTAGTGGCAGTCTGTCAATAGCTGACCCAACTAAACTATGTAGAAATTCTGGTAAAGATATGCAATTAACCTTTATAAATATTTAAATATTTGGGTCTGCAATTTTTATGAGGAATTTTTAATATTTGTTAAATATTAGTAGGTTACCTCGAATATCACTGGTCAAATGAATATTTGAGATCTTAAGTAATATATTTACAAGAAGTATTGTATATAAAATACTTCTGACGGATTTAGGTTAAACACCATCTAAAAAATGTTGATCAGTCAGTATAAAGCCACTGTTAAGCTCTTGCTGACTTGTTTGTACAAGCCCAAAATATTTAAAATAATCATACTTTATTCTATGTTATTATTAACAAAGCATACTATATGACAAATAGAGAGAGAAAGAAATGGGGTTTAACAACTTGACAAAAACTAGGTCATTTCGGAGTAACATAATTTATGCATATGTGTATGGAAATTTGCACATTATATTTATAAATATACACTAGTAGTTTTATTTCAACAACTCACAGTGTGTAGGGAGGGGTCTTTAGCAGCATGAGGGAATCGGATAACCTGAAGAAAACCCATGAGGTTGGAGAGGCGACACTACAAGCTGGAAATCAAAACCATTTCATTTGATTGACTCAGTGATTGATAATTATCTAAACTGCATAAGTTAGACAATTCGGCTACGTGACACCTTGACCTGCCATTTTCTTTTGACATTTGGGAGCCACAGTGGCTCAATGAGTAAGGTGCTGGCATACTAACCAGGATGACCCAGGATCAATCATTGTGTTGCCTGAGAAAGTTCCTCTGGATTTGGATTTTCTGCTTTTTCAGTGCTGCAGAATTCAGGGCCTGGAAAGGAGCAGAATAGGCATTCGGATGGGACCCAAAACTGGGGTCCTTCGTACACCATGTAAAATATTGGTAGTTGCAATTCAAAGAAGAGTGTGCAAAGATATTGCTGTTCCAGGAAAAACCTCCCTTCATTTGGGCAGAGCAAGCATAGGTCATATGACTGTAAATTTAGTGCAGAAAAGAGTTAAACTGCGTATTTTATTTCTTTTGACATTGTGTACGTGTATCAAAGTCCTTAATTAAGCTACTGTATAATAATTTCTGAATTATTGTTAAGTCACGAGAACACAGGGCACGATACAAGGTATGTATATAAATACAAAACAGAATTAAAGACACGAAAATAAACTCACCTGTAGTATAAATCAACAAGAGGCTTTTCGTTTTCTGCAATCCTCACTAGATCGTTAATCCGTAGTCTCAGATTAAAACAATTTTTTTTTTGTAATGTACACTCTATAGTCACTCGTATTGTTTTGATTTTTCTCTATGTTGTACAGTTGTTTAACCCCTGTATCTCCGCACTAAACCTTATCGCCCGTCGCATACCTGTTCAGGGTCTACCTGTTCAGTGACTTCAACAATGTCATTGAAGCGTGCTCACCTGTCCACCGCCTTCTCGTGCGCTGTTTCCAATAAATGAAGGGATTCTTCATGCAAGCTTTGCTAAATGTGTCATATTTTCGATGAGCTTTTTCGGTTATTGGAAACTGAAAGGCGCTCTCCCATGTCCCGAGTAACAGCGGTGCATGGTGAGGCCTAGCTGCGCCGCCGACATACGCCCCCATTCATCACAAAAAATCTCAATTTCGGGAAAGTGATGTGAGCATGTTCGGACTGAGGACTACATCTGCTAGTGGCAGAGGTGAACCCTAAGCTCCGAGGCCCTCCATCGGATTTTCAAAGATCTGGCGATACTGTGTTTGGGGTTGTTTTTTTTATCAGCGGGAAAAGTGTATCAGAGAGAGAGAGAGAGAAATAGGGTTTAACGTCCACTCGACACAAACTAGGTCATTTCGGGACTAACATATGGTTTAATTTTATTTCAATAATTCGCTTGTGCGTAGGTGTCTTTAGCAGTGGGAGGAAACCGGAGGACGAGTATGCAGACAGGTGACCCTACTCCTTGTCACGTACAACCGGGGATTCGAAACCATGCCAGTTGACTCAATGACAGGCCTTATGATACAGCACGCACGTGCTAACCATTCGACTTTCACCACCCCCCCCCCCCAAAGTGTATCAAGAAAACACGCATTAAAATCCTCTTTAGCAGGAATATTTTGATTAGAACTGGGAGGTGGAATCAAGGTAACTTTGAACCCATTTTTCTTCCAGTTTTGAAAGCAGAATCTGTCAAAACAAGCGCGGATCCAGGATCTTTTGCAGGGGTGGGGGTCTAGGTTTGATAATTGCTTAACTAATTGCGGCGGGCGTAGCCGACCGCCGCGAACGCCGAAGGCGCTAAATGTTGTAACGGGGGTCTGGGGGCCCTGCCCCAGAAAAATTTGGTAAATTAGATTCAATTTGGTGCATTCTGACGTATTTCCGGAAGGTAAATTCCAAAATTACAGGTTTAAAAATCGCCAAAAAAATCGCATAAAATGTCCTTAAAATGTTGATGGGGAATGCTCCCTTCACAGGTGAGGATTGATGATGAATTTAGTTTATTGTTAATCTCTAATTACCCGATTTTAAACACACGTGGTGTTGAGCAAATATTTCCCTGAAGTGGGTAAAACATGTACAACTGAGAGACCTAACCAGCGGCTGCCAGGCAGGATACGCCCACATTTTCGAGAGATGGATAGAGAACAAGCTAACAAGAAAGTGATTTTTCCTACAATCAATATATAAGGGCCATAATTCAGGAAATTACAATTCGATATGCGCATATATCGAAAGGAACTGAGATCTTTGTGTTATAAACTTACATTTCAAGTTTCAACAAAATCGGATTAAAATTGTGACCTCTATAGGGTCCACAACCTTGATATACCATATTTTTACGCTATTTGAGAACGAACGGCGGCCATTTTGTCTGTCAATTTTGGGGCGATTTTCACAAAATTCAAACTCAACTGTCCTTAGGGTGGAACGGTAATATAATACGTTTTTTTAAATCGGATAAAAATTATGACCTCAAATGGGTCCACAAGCTGAAAATGTGGGCGTATAAAAAGGGGAATAAATGTTTATTAAAGTCGCCGCTATACGGCCGGCGTTCTGCCCGAATGTTTCGCACATGAAAGATACCATATGAAGCTGATAACATGGAAAAGTTGTGAATAATATCAACAATGACTCACCGAATGTTGCATAGGTCCATATACATTTATCTACGTTCAATAATCCGGATCCATGTAAAATTACGTACTATATGGGCTTAAACCTGTAACGATAAATCTCTTTGATCTTTGGGGTATATTCTATGCCCGGAATAACTTGCGGTCTGAAAGTCGGGGGCGGCTTTGGATATATACAGGGAAATTTGGGGTTATTTTTCCATAAGTTATAAGAAAACATGATATAAAAAAAGTGTTTTCTTGCAGGAATTCTTGGATATTCTCATCTTGCGTACATGTAAACATGGACGGTTTATAAACAAGATAAAGTACTCAATTTTTCTTTTTCTCAGGTTTCTTTCCCCAGCATGACCTCAGTCTTCTGCTTTATCCAACACATCTTAACATATTGCACTCTGTACTATGGACCTCATTAATTTGACTGTGCAGCTGGAGTAATTCTCAGGGAAAACCAATTAAAATTAAAATTTATTGAACAAATTCAGATCTACTTATATACCCAAATGTACATTTATACATAAATCATAGAATCAACAGCAATATCATAATATATATATAAAAAAAAACAAAAGATAACAGTTCAATAAACTTAAACATGCAAGACTTTTAGCATTATTATGAAACCAAGAAATGTGATTTGTAACATGGATGAGAAATCTTCCTTTGTTCTTTTCGTTGAATAAGCAGATTGTTTTCCCTCTAGTAGATTGGGTGGAGCTTAACTGTGCAATAATAAGACATGTTCTATGTTATTGCACACTTTTGCTGGTTAACACTAGTTTTAGTAGAAATCATATTCTGTGCAATAACAATAAGCATGTTGAGCAGTTTTCAATGTTACAAGTCATAACTTAATAACTGTAGGCAATAAATTATTTCAGTTTAAAGTTTTCATATATTTACAAGTAATTGCTGCCAACAATTTACTAGTGACATCGAACATTATTAGCTGCTGAACTATGTATCTGTATTGTAACCTTATGTAAAAACATTGTGTTCAATATAAGATTACCATCCTTTTCTCATTCAGTATATATAAACATGTATTTGGTAGCATAGAAAAACAATTTCCAGTTTGTACAGTACAGTTGTTATATAATGTTTATCTATTTGCTATTAATAAAGATGCAGTATGTAAGATTTAGATAAAGAGCTGACCATTCTTGCTGTAACAATAAAATTATATATAATGAAAAATGAATATATTGAAAAACTCATGAGTTATGAGTGTTCAAGATTTTTGGCATTGATTATCATAGCAATGTTACTGGACAAACAAGACTTAAGTCTTGATCATCCATTTTATCGTTTAATAATAAAATCATGCTGGTGTTCTTGTTCATTATTTTTTGCAAAGTCATCATAAATACACTATTAAAAAAGATTTCTGAGTTGAATTACAAAAATATAAAATTCTAAAGATCAAAAAGACTTAATTAAATGTCACAAATTAAATATATTAATAATGTTTTTCAGTGGAATTTTTATTTTTAATTATAATTATTTTAATTTATTTTCTGGGGGATGTCTTGCTTTCATGAACCTATCCTGTAAATCTCTGCCATCCAATGGTCTAGAGAGTTGATTATAGGCTTGTCATGTGAATAAATGTCTAAATAATAGTTTATATAAATTCTTAAGCCAGGGGAAAGACCTGCAATAGGCAGATTTAGCTCTTGTTGTTCTTAGTGTTTAATGTCTGTTCCACTGTGGGTGATATTGCAAATAAGTTGTCTTTTTTTCATTTTAATATCTTGGCATGCACACAGGAGTCTTTCCTGAGGGAGGAAACTGGAGTACCTGGAGTAAACCCACAAGGTTAAGAAGGCGCCCCTATCACCAAGCAATATATGCTCACAACAGGGATCGAAACCAGGCCGCAAGCCAGAGGTGACTGGCCAGCTAGTGCTCTAAGCGCGACACTCTAGACCACTAGACCATCCTTATTTAGCTCTGACATAATGCATCTTTAAATACCAAATATATAAATGCACCGAAGTTGTATTTCTTTCCTAAAGGTATATCTGTCTAATTCTTCTAATCTTTATTTTTTTTTCAGTTATAATCTATTATGTTGAATATCAAACATTACATATATATTGGTCCCACAATAACAACACGGACAGGAACACGATTTTAACAATATAACATTTTCTACAATAGTTTTTATACCATATCAATGAATATATGAATGCTATTCATAAGATATAAAAATGACAAAGCAAATGAAATAAATATTAGTTTAACTTTCGTCAATACCACAATTTTTTCGATTTTATTATTATTTTGAGTTCTAACGGATCATGACATAAAGCAGCATATTTATCACCAATACCCAGGGCAGGATTAACAATGGGGCATCGTGGGGCCTAGGCCCCAGGGTCTCCGACATCAGCCCCCCCCCCACAAGAATTTGATTTAAAATGGTCAGACCGAGGACTACATCTGCTAGTGGCAGTGGGCCCCATTCCATCCATTGTGGGCTCACATTGCTATTGACATCTGTGAATTCGATGTAATCCGGTGATGCCGCGTCATACTTTCGAATGGTATCTGTGTTTCTTCTTTTTTGTTTATTTAGTGTATCAAGAAAACACATAAAAAAATCCTCTTTAGTGGCAATATTTTGGTTACAAAATCAAGGTAACTTTGAACCCAATTATATTCGAACGCAGAATCTGTAAAAATGTTTGTCATTGGTAATCTCTGAACATAGTTTTTTCTCTTTGCTGCCGGTGACTCGAGGAACGCTGGTTTCTGGAATCATATTCTTCGACTTTTAGCCCCTAGACTATAATTGGTGTGTGTATAATATGTGTAATTTCTGTATAGACTACATTATTTACTTACTATATTTTTCGCCTTTTGGTTACAACAAAATGCATTTAAATTTAGGTCAGCCATGTTCGACGTTCGTCAAAAAGGAACTCTGGTCGGTTACTATGTAGTCATGGATGCGGTCTTCGTGGATATCACTAAAGGTCCCCCCTAATTTATCAATGACCGATTTAAAATTAAGTTTGATGTAATTACATTCACGTGTGTGGAATAATACTGCTGAAGTTCTGATCACTTGTATTAGGTTGGAGCCCCCCTCCCCCACACATGCTCAAGCCCCAAGGCCCCACACAATGGTTAATCTGGCACTGTCAATACCTAATGTCTTCTTTACAGTTTATATTTAAATTGATCTTTGCGTTCCCGTACTTCTGCCAATGCAGATGCTCTCATTGTGTCAGTAATTTCTGTTGTGTCTGAGCTGGTTATCATTCCGATACTTTCTAAAACTGATTTTTCTCCAGTCCGTAAAAATGGATTATATGATTTTTCTTCACGAATGGTTGATGGGCTCTATAAAAAAAACAGATGGTCAGGCAAATAAACATAAACCAAACAAATTTGAACTCTTTATACAGATTTTCATTAACATTTTTGGGAAATTTTGATTTTCTCTAGAAATTTACTTAATAATTGCCAATAGTTATTTCTCATTATAAGGCAATCGCAGAGAATGGTCTCATTTTCTGATATGTAATTGAAAGGTTTTGATGACAGAACTGTGATTTGAGAAATTTGCTGGTTAGTAAAATGTGACTAGACAGTTAAATCAGGCATATAACATGTTGTGACTATACAGTTCAATCAAGCCTTTAATATGATGTGACCATATAGTTAAATTGTATATATTAAATCAGGTTGTATGTGAAACTTGGGAAATTTAACTTGCATGCCAACTTTTCAAGGAGTTTAAAGAAAAGCTTTGAAAAATAATCTAAAGGACATCACAAACATGAATTATTGGTCAATTTAAATCAACATTGATGTTGTTATATTACCATGACCAGACTGCCATTCAATTCAGACTCTTCACATATTTTGCTGAACATAACTGATTAGAAATTACAGTAAAAACAGAAACGACTGAATGTAAATCAGTTTATCACCCAATAATACATTCTACAGTAGATATCGCTTGTGTGATAAATTATCATAATCTAAGGAACTACTTTTTTTCAAAGAACAGTTCATTTTTTATTAAAAGTTACTTCTTTCTTATTAAAAAGGAACTATTTTTATTTAATTGGCCTTGATGGAAACACTGGGTCAATATAAAGGACTTTGTAATGGTTGAATTGCTGTCAAAAAATGATGTATCATTACGCCTTAATGTTATCAGGTTCAGTAAAAGTGAAATCTATAGCAAAGAATTATATTTATTTATTTGTGCGTGTAAGAAGGGATTGGGTGATAAATAAAATCTGCTACTCATCGTTTTTGATATCAAAAAAGTCACGTAGGAGATTCTCTATTTATATACATTCAAATTACATGCGTTGCAACACATTTGTGTCTATTTCTAGGTGCCAAAGAATAGTGATTTAGCTCCTTTAAGTAAGGATTTTAGATAATATATGAGTCTAAGGTTAATTTGAATGCAATATAAACCATTGTTACTTACTGTACAATCCTTGACTAGGCGTTTTTGCTTTGTCCAATCTAATTTTTCCTTGAATAATAAAAACAAAATATCTTTATCAGAGAAGTCTATATCAGATATACAAACGAGGGGAGATTAACGGCAAAAACATCTTTTTCTTCAAAATGGATTAGTCCTCTAGTACTCTGGTTAGTCAATATACACGTACGTCTGTGCAGTTTACTACGAACACAGGTCATACTGACCCTAAACTTGTTTGCTATTCTTTAACATGCAGTCAACGGAGACTGATTACGAATTGATAGAAGTGAGCCAAACTTCTCAAATGTTTGCCTGAGTTTTCCACAATGCAACTGAAATTCCAACAGCAGTTTACCCAGATTATTCTGATGTTTCAGATTCTAATGAAGACATGAAAGATAATAGCTGTTTTAATTATTTAGCAGATGACAGAGATATGCATGGAGGTTAATATCGCAATATTGACCTCTGATGATGTCACAAGCTGTTAATATCCAAAATAACGATCATGGAGATCAAAGAGATAATTACACCGTGTTTTATATGAACAGATATGGATATAAACTGTGAGCTTACCTGAGCATTTTCATTTTCTGCCTCAATATTACATGCAAATTCTAAATTATCTTCTGCATACTCGTGACCTACAGACACAGAACAAAAAAGATAGGTTGCCAGGCAACGAAACATACACCCACGGCAGCTAAATTGTCCGAGCAGTCGACAAGGGTTGTCACATATGTATTCTTTTGTAGGTAATTGGGGGCATTTACAAGAAAATTTCATATGGATCAGATTATAATTTTCGTCATTTGAAGGATCACAAGGTTCTATAAAATGAAACAAGGGCCTTAACTCTAGAAATAATTTACAGAAATTGTTGAAATTCAATAGGCTTCTTCGTTTCACTAATTTAAATGATGGATTTTAATTTCATACAAATCAGAGAAATTGTGGACGACAGATGGATGTAAATATGAACGGACGGGGGCGACAGCAATATACCATCACATTTCCATGTGGGCGTATAATAAAAGTAATGATGAAATATATATTATGCTAACAAATTGTTTCAGCTTAACATCTATAAAGCGAACCTTGGGATCATAGATCAACTATATAAAACTTTAAAATAGAAGAACTCATTATTTAAAGCATACATCAAGTCACCCTTAAAGATGCATTATGTAACAGCTAAATCTGCCTATTGCAGGTCTTTATTTGAATGAAATTTTCAATACCAGGTATATTCCTTTTGCATTATCTATTTTTGAACTATCATAGCAAAACAACCATCTCTGTATCTAAATCTTACATAATGCATCTTTAAGGTAAATAAGCTTTTTGAAAATTCCAACAACCAGGCTTTGACAATCATCCTGTAGGTTGTTGCTTAAAAGGGGAAGAATGGGCATTTCTTCAAATATTCTGGAGCTTTGAACAGAACTTGAAACCAATTTTGCAGTTATTAATAAATTTTTCATAATACCTGGCCATACTAATGTATTTTCCTCTAAATTACTGACTTTATCTAAGGATCGTAACATAACAGTTGGGGTTCCTTCAAACATTCTTCCTGAAATAATATGTTTAATATTCAGCCGACATATATTAAAAATGTTGGCAAATGATATTTTTACAAAATTTCTAATTAAGTAAAGAGGAACAATTTAATAAATATTGCAGTTATTGATAGTAACATACTTTGTGGGAAATAAATTAACGACATAATGGAACTAGTTTAGATCCGAAAATCGTCTTCTCACATCCATACAGTCAGACATGATTAATGATTAGCAGTGAATATTCGCTAGGCCAGTACAATTACTAATAGGGATGACATCGATGCAGCTTAATGAGCTGGCAACATTAATTTTTTTATCTTCTGCAAATTAAATTTTAGAACATTTTCTTGAAGCATTAGAAAAATAAATAAAGGTGTTTGAAATATATCTAGATAAAAAAATATTTCCTATTTAGCATATAAAAAATGATTAAAAGGCACTATTCTGCCTGGACCAGGTCACACTCACAATGTCATTTGTAAACAATGCATGTGCCATTGAGCCAATGATCCCCATCTTGTGATGTGATGTCACATTAGAAGGCAGTCATCTTATACAGAGTTATAAGAAGACTTTCACAATTCCTCTGTGAAACAGACTGATAAAAATAATGTCTTGACTGTATTCTGTGGTCATATGAAAAATAAACCAATTAACTTTCTGATCACTGTCACGCTACAGAATAAAATAATCATAACTCTTAGGAGTTAAGAATTGCATGTAGTGTGAAAGCAGACTAAATAAAAATTCTGGTTATAATTTACTTTTGTAGTCAGAAAGGGGTATAAATAACATTGGTACCTGAAAAGCTAACAGTACTGGTGCCGGACATTTTTATTACACTACTTACCACATCCTGAGAGAAATAAATGATCCCCAGAGAAAAGAGAAGCTGGAGCATCAAAATGTGACCCATCTAATAGATATACAATATGGCCGACAGTATGACCTGGTGTATAGATAACTGTGAAAGTCAGTTCACCAAATTTAATTACATCTCCATCGGCCACGGCACTATAAAAAGAATAACAAGCCAACAGTGAGGCTGATGTCCCCCGCCGAAATCCCCAAATAAATAGATGACACATATTAATTAATCGCACATCTATTTTTTTCCAAAGTATCACGCAATCAAACTGATTATCAACTATACACTAAGTTTCATCACTCTCTATCAGATAGAATCAAAGTTATCTTGTCCCAAAGCAGGAAATTGCTTATCTCTGCTTAGCTTTAGCTCGATATGTTAATCATTGAACTCAGTCAAGACGAACATCTACATCAAGTTTAAACATTCTACCTCAATTAGAAGAAGAGTTTGACCAATCAAAATGCTTATTGCTTGTTAGCCCAAGCAGAAAATTCTCATCATCGAACTTAGTCAAGGTATTGATGTAATGAAACTATACACCAAGTTTCATCTCTCTCACTTAATTAGAACTAAAGTTATCGTGTCCCAAAGCATCAACCAATCAAATTGCTTATCTCTGCTTACCCTAAGCCGAAAATGCTCATCTTCGAACTCCATCAAGGCATTGACCTAATAAACACCTACATCAAGTTTGAACATTCTAAGTCAATTAGAAGGAGAGTTATTGTGTCCCAAAAAGTGTGACGGACGGACGGACGGACGGACGGACGGACGGACGGACGGACGGACGGACGGACGGACGGACGGACGGACGGACGGACGGACGGACGGACGGACGGACGGACGGACGGACAGACAGACAGACAGACAGACAGACAGACAGACAGACAGACAGACAGACAGACAGACAGACAGACCCATTTTAATAGTCCCCTGCTTTCTTCGAAAGGCGGGGGACAATATAACTTTTCATTCACAAACAAATAATGAATATAAATTATAATAGTCCAACAATTTGCATTCAACTATCGTACAATGACAGTTAAAATACTCATGAATTCTCTTTCAATTATGTAGATAGTTTAACAGTAAACACTGTCACAAATTAGAACACCAACAAGGGAGAGTACCAAAGTGGTCAGAGGAATAGATTTTGCTAGAGATAGGAAGAAAACCCCATTAATATTTTGACACCCAAATACTTAACCATCCATTGGAAAATATATCCAAAATATCAGAAGAATGTATTTGTTAGTAAAACTCAGAATCATTAAACTGCATTTATTAAATATTATTCTAGAGCAACACAGTTTTTATTTCTAAAGTAAAATTTTTATAATACTCTTACTGTGTTACACAGGGTATATGATCCATTGCACCACCATATATTCTAATAGTAGGAAATGCAGTTTTTAATTTAATATTGCCACCACTATGGTCCCTAAAATATTAAATGCAAATATCAGAAATGAAATGAAATGAAATTATTAATTAGACATTTATTAATATGACCAGCACATAACTCTTGATGCCATTGGATGCTCTTGATTTTCAACGGATTTTAAAACAATTGATAGTTAATGATTTAATTAACAAATGGATAACCAAGACTTTGTTTACTATTGTACCGATGTTAGTAATGACAATCGAGACTCAGCTATTCCCCAAACACCCCTAACTTAGCCCAAAATAAAGTAACTTCACTGAAATTTGCAACATATTCCCTTTCATTATCTATTTTTTAACTATTATAGTGAGAACTGTCAGCTCTTTATCTAAATCTTACATAATGCATCTGTAAGTAAACTGGATGACAAGTTTAGCTTCTAGAGCAGTGCTTCTCAAATATTTTTGTCTCAGGCCCCACATAATCAGACATGGTTAGTATATATATATATAAATATGTTCTTTAAATGGCATTTAGTAACTTATACTTATGGAAAACAGCTACTAGTGTATTTAAGGCGACGTTTCGTAGAGTATTCTCTCAACGTTATCAAGCTAATACAGTAAAACAGGTATGAGGCAAATATATATAGACAAAATACAACAACATAACCGAAACCATACATAGCAACAACATGATCAAAGGCCTACACCAACACTTATTAAGATATACAATAGCAGATAGAGAGTTAATTAACTTATAGTCCATGGCCAGTGAGGATGTCTAAACAACAAAAATGGAAACCATACCTTAAAACAATTAGATCAAAGGGTTGTGACACAATTTGGTAACAATATACAAAAGTAAGAAAAGAAACCGCTATGTTAAACGATCAATAAGCTGACTAAGTAGTTGCGATATTAACCGAATATGGGAGGTGATTATTATTATAGTTAAGACAATAAATTAAGGCAATGGAGTATATACAACAGATAAATGTTACATGATGAAGGGTAGATTAAATATAACTGTTATTTCATTGCATATATCTATTAACACTTGTAATTTTATGATAGGATAATTAGATATGCAATAGAGTTATAGATTTAATGTAAAAACAAAAACAATTTATAACAATGAATATAGCACGATAGTAAATACAATAACTAGTCAAAAGATAACACACAGCACACTTGTACAGTTTATAAGGAGTGGTGGAACCATGCTATTATTTAAATTAGTTGATCATACGCATTGGGCGTATCACGGTTAAGATCTGGGCTGTTCCTTCTGATTTGTATTGCCTCCATTATCTTCCGTGTCTTTTCTATTGGGAGATTAGATGCCAGGGTATCGTATGACTCAATTCTGTGTCCAGGGTTGGTCTGGAGATGTTGTGCAACAGCTGAGTTAGTGATGGACGACTTGGACTTGTGCTGGCTTATTCTTTTATCTAGGGGTTGTCTAGTTTCACCGATGTAAGTACTAAGACAAGAGCAGGCAACTTTATAGACACACTCTTTCTGGGGCGGGGGTTTATTTGGGAGGAGCTTACCATTAGCTTTCAGGATATCTTTAAGTGTTCGGCCCTTGGAGAAGGTGACCTGCATGGATACCTATTGGGATGAGGATTCTCCTGAGGTGGTAAGTGAGCTTCCCTTGAAACGGTATGGTGATTCTTATAGGTGGTTTTTCTGGTTTGGTTTTTCTCGGATCTGTAGGGGTGTCAATGGTGGTTTTAATGGTCTTTTTAACAAATTGTAGAGGGTAGTTGTTCAGGTTTGTAAGGGCTTCTTCAATGTGGTCTAATTCTTTTTGGAGATGTTCTTTGTCACAGATGTTGACAGCACGGCGGGCTAAAGTTGCTATGGTTGCTTTCTTAACACTGTGTGGGTGGTGGGAATAGAAGTTAATGTACTGGTCAGTATGTGTTGGTTTTCTATAAACACTTGTTGTGAGCCTACCTTCTGTTTTCTTAACTAGTACATCCAGGAATGGGAGGCATTGGTTTTCTTCTGTTTCTATTGTAAATTTAATTCTGCCATTTTGGTTGTTGAGGTGATGGAGCAAGGCGGTGTGGTCTTCGTTTTGACGGAGAATTACAAAGACATCATCAACTTTACGGAGCCAAATTGTGGGTTGAATGGGTGAGGTGGATAGAGCCCTCTCTTCAAAATCGGTCATATAGATTTCACTTAGAACTGGGGATAGGGGACTGCCCATTGGTAGACCGTGAATTTGTTCGTAGTAATCGTCCCCCCAAGAGAAATAAGTGGATTCTATGCAGGATTTAGTTAAGTTGACTATATCTTCTTTGGTGAGATTGGTATCCAGTGAGTTCTCCATTGAAGTGAGTCTATATCGTAGTGCTGCTAAGGCTTTATCTCGGGGGATATTAGTAAAGAGGTCAATAACATCGTACGATAGGATAAGTGTATCTTTAGGGAGGTCTCTAAGTTTTCCGCAGAAATCTTTAGAATCTTTGATAAAGGATGCAGCTTCCTTGCCTAATGGGGAAAGAAGGTTCGACAGGTACTGTGCAGTGTTATAATATACGGAATCTCTGGAGCATACTAGCAGTCTGGCTTTAATGGGGTTCTTATGTGTTTTAATGGTGGCTCTGGCATATGGTGGTCTAGGATGGGACGGCTTAAGTTTGTAAAATAGGGAAGGTGTGAGTCTCTTCTCGTCTTTGAGCTTAACTAGTTGTGCGGTATGGCTGTCATTGAAGGTAATGTTTTTGTCTTTCTTCAAATCCTGCAGGGCAATCTTATGGGACTTCTTAAGATTGTTGGCATCTCGTTGCGTCTTGGATTTGGTGATAAGGTCAGCTATCTGGTGTCGGATAAAATCAATCTTGCCACCGGGGGCTAGTTGTCTCAGACCTCTCTCAATATTGGCGATGAGCAGATCTTGGTTGGCTGGCCGGTTGGTTGGCGTAAACTGTAAACCTCTGGAAAGGAGTGAAATCTGGTCCTCAGTTAGGTTCTGGCTACTGAGGTTGATAACTGTTTTTGTAAGGTAATCTTCTTTGGGATTCTTGGTGGTAGGGGGGACCTGTTTGGTGATTTTAAGGTTTTCAAACTTCTTCACCTGGTTAGTTCGTGTTGTCTCTCTAAGGTGGTCTAGTGACTCCAGCTGTTTGGACCTGAGTTGAGACAGTTTTTGTTCATATTGGTTGTGAAGCCGATGATTGGTGTTTCTGTGGTACTGTATCCGTTCTCTAATGAGGCTTTGACTGGCTCGTTCGATTATTCTGCTAGCTGCTGCTGACTGGACCGGGGGCTTGAGACGCAGACCTTTGGGGATGATGTTGCTGTCTCTGCATCGCATCAGAAAAGTAAGATTGCACTTGGACTTAACATATTTACCTCCTAATCTATTAACGGTATTGATATAATTGTTTTAAGGTATGGTTTCCATTTTTGTTGTTAAGACATCCTCACTGGCCATGGACTATAAGTTAATTAACTCTCTATTTGCTATTGTATATCTTAATAAGTGTTGGTGTAGGCCTTTGATCATGTTGTTGCTATGTATGGTTTCGGTTATGTTGTTGTATTTTGTCTATATATATTTGCCTCATACCTGTTTTACTGTATTAGCTTGATAACGTTGAGAGAATACTCTACGAAACGTCGCCTTAAATACACTAGTAGCTGTTTTCCATAAGTATGTGTTTTGTTGTTATATATAAATAGTTAAAACTCGAAACACGTAGATCTTTGCTAGATCTACGTGTTTCTAGTTTTAACTATTTTTATATATATATACCTGACACTGAGAATTTGAAATCATTTTAGTATATATATATATATACATATTCACAAGAAGTTTTAATTCAACTTTATAAAAAGTTTTATACACATATTTGGAAATATTTAAAGATACATTCCCCCAAAACTATTCATGGGGCAGGTTTTTCCAATAAAAGCATGACATATTTAGTTTATATGGAAGGTAGAGACACTCAATCTTACTAGAAAAATACTGGATTTCCTGAAACACAGGACAAACAATTAAATGATGGAAAAATCCAAGAATTTACTTAGGCTTCGATATTTATTGTTTATGGACAGAGACTAAACTAATAAACCAATAAAAATCTGTTCATTCATTGGCTAAATAAAAGATCATGTCAAGTCAATTAAAGTGAGGGTTAATCTTAATTAGACTTTTTCTAAGAAAAATGAGGTTCTCTTCATTTGGAAAAGAATCTTTATATAATACATACCAATGTTTATGGGTTACAAGAATAGCATCTGGTATAACATCCATTTTCTCTAAAACAGACTGAAAAACAAGATAACCAATGAAGTTATATCTTAAGTGCCTTGCCTATAAATTTTGTTCAATAAAGATTTTTTTTAAAATGATTTTCAGATTTGAAGGAACAACCTTTATCTGAAATTTCGCCTCAAAATATGGGTAATTATTTGTTAAAATCATTAAAATTTTGAAGGGAGTGCCGTGCCACAAACTTTAAACCTAAATTTGACCAAAACATCAGACAAATATAAGAAAAATATTACTTTTCAGACTACATTGTGACTTTGTAAAGCACTCTTTGGACTAAAATAAGAAGAATTCCTGAATAAAAAACAACAGAAAAATGTAAATATTAGATTTAATATCTTATCAACACTTTGATACTTTAATTGTTAATTCCAGATGTACAAAATGCTCTAATTACTACTACAAATCTGCTACTTACTAAAACTTTGTCTGGATCACCAGGGTCAACTAAAACTGAATGATTTGTTTGTTTGTCTTGAATTAGATAGGCATAGTTGTCCAGTAACATGGGAATTGGTAGTATACTCAGATCTACAAAACAAATTCAAATGATAAATAATAATAATACATAATAGAATACAAAATATGTTTTTTTTTTATTTTTAATTTTAAAGTGCACATAAGATGGGCCTGGAAATTTGGGGATACGTGTAGCCAATGGTTAATATATCCACTTTACGGCAAGTTCACGTCAATCTGGTTGAAATTAATTCAATTATCTTCACTCAAAGTCGGAAAAATAGACCTTCCGTAAAAACGACTTTGCCAATTATCGAAAACACTCTTAATCCCCTCAGATGCCAGTGACGTCACAGTGACCGAATGCATATTCGGAATGTTTATTCCTTAATTACCTATATACAGCCGGCGTATGTATTCTTTAACGCCTGAAGTATTCCTTAATCCCCCTAATTAAATAAAACAACTGACTACGGAATAATTTGTTTTGTAATTCCTTTTAATTTATGATCCAATTTAGAGTGCCTACAACTTTTAAACTTTGAAGTCTTGAACTCTTAATTAATTTTTTACAATATGGAACTTATTGGACGAACACTTTTAATATGTAAATAATATACGGGTCCAGCTATGTGGTTTTTACTGCGAGCACTTCGCTTTTCCACATAAAGTGTAGTGTCGTTAATATCTGTCATTAATTAATCAATCCGACTATATAAGTTATACAGGCATGGGTCATAAATTAATTTACACGTTGGTTTTAGCAGTGACTGTTAGTGGGATTAAGAATGTTGATTAGGTAATTATCTTTTTTTACGCCGGCCAGATCAAAGACATCACTCACAGTGGAACGTGTGCGTAATACCTCACGAACGAACTAATGGTAGAATCATACACACACACATTAATTGTATAAAATAATTAAGTTTTACTAATAAGTTGTAACAAATTACTATATACCCAATAATTATTGCTCACCGGTGTTTTTGTAATCAAGTAGCCTCGTATTATTTGTTGATTGGTGTTTAAACAACATTTAATTGATGGATGGATTAACGTTTTTGATACGATTAGGTTATAATGTCTAACATCGGTTATCTTCTTTACAAATAAAGTATTTTACAATTGCATTGACAGTTTAATCACTCACCAAACGGCACCAGGAACTCAACAAATGATCCCGTGCAATTTTCGCGGCGAAGTTTAACCTCATTTACTACACCCGTAGTACATGGAACGGTACATGATAATAAGATACCAAGCGTTGATTGGCAGAGAAATGAGTGCGATCTATTGTACATGTTATGCATAGTCATCGGAAAATCCCATATTCACTGTAATTGTTCTTTATGTATAGAAATGGTTATTATTATTATTATATATAGCTAATAATGAATATATCGACAAATGACTGGCACTTGTATTTCTGTACTTAAGTTTGGGATATCAAGTATTACAGGGTTATCCAAATTACCGGTATTTGCGCTAATTTCTTGAGTCATCTTCATTTGACATGTGGCCTATTTAAACAAAGGCAACTTAAATTGATCTACGGCATGATATGGCATTTTAAATTCACTCTAAAATATTCCAATCACAAATGTCTAATCTATACCAATGAAAGACGATAATTCGGTGATTATGATTAGGCCAGTCACGTGGTAATTGGACCGTCAATAGACGTTTGTCCAGTTGCCGTGTGTATTGATAGTGCTATATTGTACAGACAGTGAGATATTGTATAGATAATATATCCTATGTGTAGTGCCTGTGACGTCACCAGCCAATCAACCGGATTAAGGTCGTAATTGAAAAATCGAAAAGCGTTTTTGCGTGTCGGATACTTAAACGTTAACAGTGGACTTAATTTTAATCAGATTGGTGTGAATTTGCCGTAAAGTTAATATAGTAACCATGGGCTATACATACATGCAATTTAGATTTTTGATCTTACGTGGTCTTTAAGATTGAAATATAACACTCTATACTCTATCTCTGTTAATTTTGCTTGATCAAGCAGCTGCTGAAGAAAAGCACTCATCTTCTATGGATAAAGACTTTTGGAGGCCTAAGCTCAGAGAACACCATTGTTCGAAATGAAACAAATTTTTTGTTGTATTCCCAAAAATATATGATGGTAATTTGACAGGGTAGTATTAGCCTTCATTGTTTAGCATAATGAAGTATTATTAGTAGACCTATCCTGCCACAGGAAGATGATTAGGCCTATATTCTTGTCTAAAATAAACATTGTTCCTTGATAAGACATGACAAATTCAATCAACATGTACACGTGGCATTGAAATTTAAAATCACCCTGTCTGTAATAACCCGATGCAAACCTAATTAAATGAAATCAGCATAGTAATATAAGAATATGGGCCTACTATTGAATTCTGTAACATCTGTTTTAGAATGATCTTCTCCATTTAATTTTAACCTGGCATCTTTTATTTCTTTTTGATGATACCAATAACCAATTCTTGTTCGTGTGTATAGAAAATACCTTTTAAAATAAAGAAAAGTATATAAACAAGTAAAATTATGCATTTTTAGTACTGCTGATTACGATTTGATTCGGTTTAGCTTGGTTCCTTTTAAACATCACTTTGTGTATCCAATTGGTTCCTTCTCTTAATTTCGAGCTATTTTATAACTGCAGAAACTTGATTATCATGTTGTTTTAATATATCTTTTTACATTGACTTTATGTAATACACTGTCAAAGAGCCTTTCAATAATTCATATGTTTATTATAGTAAATCTATATAAATATTTGATTTGGAAATGAAATGAAATGGGGTTTAACGTCCTACTGTTCTGCTGCAACTGGGCTAATGAAGATGGGCATACGCCGTACAGTGTGCTATGAGAAAAGATTTGCCCGGACAGTGGCGCGACAGCCTACTCTTATATTGAATTCCAACTGCCAAGGGATCTTTTACGTGCATGCCACTGTACGTACACAGGAACTCAGTTTTTGTTCCATCTGATTGACAAGACAGCTATCCTTGTAAGGCCCTCCTGTCCTGCACCACTGACAAGGGAAAACCACGTTGGAAAATTCCATATTTGATTTGGTGTTCTATTCCTTATTGATTTACACAATTTTCTTCTTTTACTTACAGGATTATATATTAGTTCTACTCATGAGTAGCCTATTGTATTGTATAGTATGTGAGCCTATCATTTTACTTGTGGAAATGTCAAGGCTAAGAGCACTTTTATATTTGTAACTAATGCTAGGTTCCCAGTTTCCCACAATCATGATTCATACTGCGATTGAAATCGTGGTTTTAATTGTGGAGAAATCTTGATGATTTTATCAGGTCTTATTGAGGTCATTCGTAGGAATCGTTTTAATCGTATCGAAACGTATCTGCACATACCAGATCGTAGACTCAATAGGGACAATCCTATCACAATGCATCACACGACAGTGGGAACCTAGCATGAAGAAACTAAACCAGTTACTGGGTCAAACTCAGTACCAGTACTGGTACATATCCATACTACTGGTATTTTAATTATTCTAAATTTAAATTTAATCTGGTAAGACATCTTGAAGACTCTGGAAATAGGTTCTACATTTCTTGTTATTTGTAAATAAGGGAGTGACTTTTTGCCACCCAGGTGATGAATATCCTAGAAAAATGCAAATAGTTAGTTATTTAACACCCAAATTAAACAATAAATCATTTGTTATACGATATATGTTACCCTGGTTTGAATCTTATCAATGATGTTTAAACTTTAAACATATTAAGACCTGGTAGTCTACTAGATTCTTCTGTGAAGACTTTTTTTGTCCCCATGGTGTATGTTGATCAATTCAATTGTCTGAATATTGAATATAGCTTCTTCTATTCTATTTCGAATCTGATTCATGAAATGAGAAATGTGGGGTTTATGTCTTACTGTTCTGCTCAGACTGGGCTAATGAAGAGGGGAATACACAAATGCTGTGTATGTGGGAAATTTTGCCCGGACAGCGGCAGCAATGCTAAGCCTACCCTTATATCAAATTTCAACTGCCATGGGTTCTGTTACGTGTACCTCAATGGGTTTTTTTTTTGTCCAAACCAAACTATATTATTATGTTCATGTTGTCCTTTAAATTGCCAGACCATCCGTTCTGCACCACAGAAACCTGCATGCCAGAATTTCACGATCAACAGAGGGATTGAACATGGGACCTCCTGGTTCGTGAGCCTACACATCTTACTCACTGAGTCAGAGTGGCTCCTAATTAAAATTTGAACCAGTGTATCAGTGTGAGTGTCAATAAAGTCAATTATCAGATGTTGATAACCTATAATATAGTATATATATATCCCACAAATTGAAATTTTGACAGTGGTCAGCAATGCGAAGTTAAAGATCATTTGCTAAGGATTCAAGTGACTGTTTAAAAATTGACATAATATACCCTATTTGAAAACAGCACCCCCCTGCTTTAGCCATTCTTCTGATTATAATAATTTTATAAAAAATTAATTCGAATCCAAACAATACTGGGTAATCCAATCTACAACAAGTTGAAGTTGTTACCTCCCTTGTTTAAGATCTTCAATGGTAAAGATTGAATCGGTAAAGATGACTTGCTAAACCAACCAAACTGAAGAAAAATCACACTTTTAATCCTAAATTTTTGAAACACTACGTGCGATTAGCAATTAAAGGGGTTATTTAACATATTATTAAAATGGTAAGTAAAGGACTGCAGTAGCCTAGCAGTCAGACAGGTTTTTGAAGGATTTCTTGCCTTCTTAGTAGGTATAGTTGCCTTCGCATGGCCATAATAATGATTGATGGACTCATCATGCCATGCAGCCATGGTCCTGGCATTTATTATCATAGAGACGTTATGGCATGGGCGCATATCAGGTACTCAGGGTACTATATTGATTACAAGTCAATACAGCATTAGAACATAAGGCCCATCCATAAAGTTTATTTGGCCATCGGAAGTAGAGAAAATGAAATGAAATGGGGTTTAACGTCCTACTGTTCTGCTCCTATGCTGGGCTAATGAAGACGGGCATACGCCATACAGTGTGCTATGAGGGAAATTTTGCCCGGGCAGTGGCACTATCGCCTACTCTTATATCGAATTCCAACTGCCAAGGGATCTTTTACGTGCATTCCAATGTATACACAGGACCTCAGTTTTTCGTCTCATCCGAAGGACTAGACAGCTGTCCTTGTCAGGCCCTCCATCCTGCATCACTGACAAGGGGGAACCACGCCGGAAAATCTGGATGAACTTTCTCGGCCAATGCAGGGATCGCGGAAGTAGAGAAGGCAAACAAATGTTTTGGTGAGATTGTGAGTTGGGGTATACACAATTATCATCATAATCATCAGCCGATCAGGAGGGTATCTACTAATCTAGTGCCAATTTAGTTCCGAAAAACATGGGCGATGTGCACCGACAGTTCCTATCTGTCCCAATATACATTTACATGTAGCTGCAATATGAAAATACCACTCTTCCCCACCTCTGTTCTAAGGCTATTTTGGAATCCTTACTGACTAATTTTCTCTGTAATTCCTCTTTATTCGTGAAAGGAAACATTTTTTGACCAGCTGACACACATTTATAATAGTTCAACACTATTTTCAAGTTTCGAATTTTCGATGTTCGCGCATATCAGACCATATAACTTCTTGGATTATGGCCCCTGATTGTACAAAATGTGGGCATATCTTTCCTGGCAACCGCTGGTTTTATTTTATACACATGGCTTAATTTTGAAAATATTTTCGTTATTATTGAAGACTATATGGCATACACGTAGTTGTGTGGAATTTTATTTTAAAGCAATTTCAATTATGGTTGTGTCACATGATCATTGTGCTGTTGGTCTATCATCCACGATAGAATAAAAACTTTTGCCGGTTATGTGATAGAAAAAAATTACAAATTGTGTCATGAAAAATGTCATTGAATGATTGGGCCGCTTATTTTGCCTACAGCATTTTCTAATACTGGCCAGTGAATATTCGCTTTGACACTAATATCACTAGAAGGAATGACATCGGGGTGTAGGTTAATTAGCTCACAATATTTATTTTTTTCCTTCTGCAAATTAAATATTTGTTTTAAAGTATTAAAAAAATGAATAAAGGTGTTTGAAATATATCTGAATAAAATACATTTCTGTAAATGGGTTTAGTAAATGAGTAAAAGGCACGATTCCCTATGCCTTAAATCGCTCATGATGCTATTTCCGGCAATGTAAGTTAGTTGAGATGGCTTACAATAGATGGGGGTTGGATGGCTGAATGGTTAGCACGTGCATGCTCGTGCTGTATCATAAAGTCTGTCATTGAGTCAACTGGCATGGTTTCGAATCCCTGGTTGTATGTGACATGGAGTAGGGTCGCCTCTCCAACTTCGTGGGTTTTCTCCGGGTCCTCCAGTTTCCTCCCACTGCTAAAGACCCCTACGCGCAAGCGAATTATGGAAATAAAATTGAACCATATGTTAGTCCCGAAACGACCTGGTTTGTGTCGAGTAATTGTTAAACCCCATTTCTCTCTCTCTTACTATAGATGTCATAAAAGCTTGCTCTCAATCTCATACAGAAAACTACAAAAATATAGATTAAATGGGTAACCTCCCTTATGCAGGAATAATTGTCTACTTTTATATCTCGTCATTAGTTATAAAATCTATATTTTACAGAGTATCTTGGATTATAATGGAGCAGCCATTATGGCTATGAAGGGTAAGAACTGTGTAGCTATAGCAGCAGATAGAAGATTTGGTGTACAGGCACAGACGGTTAGCATGGATTTTGATAAAATATTTGAGATGGGACCACATCTTTATATTGGTTTACCTGGTTTAGCTACAGATGTACAGACTGTGTAAGTTATATAATTCTAGAAATTTCATATTAAACTATTTTTTTTTTATTTTGCCAGTTTTATTTGAGTGCAAGCATCATTATTTATTTTAGGATGGATAAATGGGGCTGTAGATGTTCCAGTGGTCTGAATATTGACAAATCATATAAATGATTCACATTGGAAATAAATCACATTTCCAGACACTGGGAATATAACTGTATATACATGTATACAATATTTTCTATGTATTTATTAATTACTTCTTTTCCCCCTACAGGTCACAGCGACTCAACTTTAGATTGAAGATGTACGAACTTAGAGAAAACAGAAAAATTAAACCCAAAACATTTATGAGTATGGTGTCCAATCTATTATATGAAAGGAGGTAAAATTATATCACTTTGTTTGAAACAGACATATATGTACAGAAACTTAATATAAATTCACCAATATTTTTATCAGTATAAATCCACAACATCCGAATAATAAGAAAAGTATTGCTACTTTTTAACCTTTCCATCACTAGTAATCTTTCAGAATTTAGTGTAGCTATTTAAGCTAAATTAGAAACTGTGTATATCGATTAAGCCAGAATAATTACAGTACATTGATGACAGAAGAAATTGGAGTTCATCAACCAATTAACTACAACTGCCCATGTGAGCGACTACAATCATGACGTCATTGGCATTTTGCAATTCCTCTCTATTGGTACCATGCAACTTGCATTTACCAAACGCGATTATTACATTTTTGATCTACATAGACATATTTTACAGAAATATAATGTTATTTGTATTCAAGTATGACATTACATTAAAGATACATTATAGGAGATTAGATAAAGAGCTGGAAGTTCTCACTATAATAGTTAAAAACTAGATATTGTAAAGTGAATTTGTTGAAAATTTAAGTCAAATTGATCCACCATGAACCAAGTATTTAGCGATCGAATTTACGGCCTAGCCTTGATCATCATTACTAAAGTCAGTACGATAAAAAACATAGTCTCGATTATCCAATTTTTGATTTAATCAGAAGCAGCAGACCGGGTTCTAATCCAGTAAATATCGCAGGCTAGCGATGCCATCGACAGTTGATTATGATCTGGATAAGTTAATTAATGTCTAATTAATAATTTAGATAACAATTCAGGCCTAAAGAAAGACCTGCACTTGGCAGATTCAGCTCTTGCATAATGTATGTTAACTGTTTTGTGGATTATGTACAGTATATGGGGTATATGACCCAACATATTTTATGTATAATCAGGGAGTTATATTAGATACCGGTTTAGAAAATTGATTTTATTCCTCCACCTAGATGCTAACCATGTAATCTTTATTATTTTTTTTTTTAATTAAATTTTAGATTCGGACCATACTTTGTTGAACCAGTGATTGCAGGGTTAGATCCTAAAACATTTCAACCATTTATAGCCTCAATGGATTTAATTGGTTGTCCCATGATAACTGATGATTTTGTTGTCAGTGGAACTTGTTCAGAACAAATGTATGGAATGTGTGAATCTCTATGGGAACCTAATTTAGTAAGTTAAAAATGTTTTACTATGAACTCCTAATTTAGTAAGTTACACATTGTCGTTAAATATAGATGAATAACATGTTAGGTAACTACTCGTTAAATATATAACCCATGGTTATAAGTAACCACAGGTTAAATTTACTGACAAGTTCAACCAGTGGACCCTGGTGACAACCTAATTCAGTCAGTTATACTTATGTTACTGTGGGAACCTAATTTAGTAAGTTATACATGTTACCATGGTCTATGGGGACCTAATTTAGTAAGTTATACATGTGTTACTATAGGAACAAAATTAATAAGTTATACATGTGTTAATATGCCATGAGAACTTAATTTAGTAAGTTATCCTGTGTCAAACTGTTCAGAACTACCAGGCAACTTATTTTTAAGTGTTTTACACATACAAATACTGAGTTGAACTGTGTATTCTGTTTTACGGTTAAATTCTTTGAAATTTTAATTTTGTAGCATATAAATTGACTGACAATTTCACTGTCAATCAGTCAAGACTAGCAATATTACTGAAATAAGAGTACTGGAGCTTTTGGGACTCTTTCACATTGTCTGTGTTGGGTTTAATATTAATGTAGGAGACATAATATTCTTTTTCTATTTTCACTTTCAGGAACCAGAAGATTTATTTGAAACAATATCCCAGGCCCTAATGAATGCTTTTGATAGAGATGCTGTGTCTGGTTGGGGAGCTGTTGTATATATAATGTAAGTATAACATGGTATATATCCAATAGAAACTGGTCTGAAATGCTCTGGGGGGTTGGATGGCCGAATGGTTAGCACGCGCGCGCTGTATCATACGGTCTGTCATTGAGTCAACTGGTGGGGTTTCGATTCCCCGGTTGTACGTGGCAAGGAGTAGGGTTGCCTGTCCAACCTCGTGGGTTTTCTCCGGGTCCTCCGGTTTCCTCCCACTGCTAAGGACCCCTACGCGCAAGCAAATTATTGAAATAAGGTTGAACCATGTGTGAGTCCCGAAATGACCTAGTTTGTGTCGAGTGGACGTTAAACCCCATTTCTCTCTCTCTCTCTGTGAAATACTCTAAAACTTATTATAATTTAGAACACCAGATACCACCTCCAATTCAGGACATACAGATAAGATTCATCTAGTGTGTAAAATAGCAGTGTATAACAACAAGTATTGTAGCAACACATCCTCTTAATATTTCTATTAAAGATACATTGTCCCGAAAGTATTTATCAGGTGGTTATTATCAATAAAAGTATGGCAAATTTGGTATAGATTAATTAGTTTGAATATGTTTTTAGCCCTAATATATAATCAAATCACACAGTTTGTACGTGGGAAAGTATCTTTAATTTCTATTTGTATATTTTATTTCAGTGAAAAAGATAAAGTTACCAAGAGACTATTGAAGACAAGAATGGATTAAGAAGAATTGTCCATCTCTCATTTCCATTTCATTGTTTTCTTCATACATCAACCGAGAAAAATAACTTAAAAAATAAAATCATTATTACTATTAGTTTTATTTTATTTACTTAATTAGCAATTATATAATGCTTTCCTTTTGAGGATATTGCTTCTTCTCTGAATCCTGACATTTGAAAGGGTTTGACAAATCCGACTCATCTAATGTGCCTTCCTACATTGTGAAAGACAGGCAGAGATGATTTTAGAGAAGCATAATAACTTATTCTGTTGTGCATACGTGATTTGACTGCTGTAACCAATAAGTGCAAAAAATAGCCTTCATTTTCCTTCAAAGCAAAGCCGAAGTAGTGTAACTGAAAATTAACATTTAATCCAGCTATTCCATGTCTTGTACTGTAAATTGATATGTCTACAAGTAGACCTCATGACATGTGGATTAGGATTGTCCAGACGTAATCATAATGGAAAATAACGCCTCATATTCTGGGTTAATCCTTCTGTTATCATGATATTGGGGTTTAATCATATGTCAGAATTTATGGAACAGTTTTAATGGTGCCATTTAAGTTCCATTTCACACATAATAAATCTATGTCAACCACTGAACTAAATGTAACTTGTTCTGTTGGGTTGTTTAACAGTCAATATCTAGGTGAAATTCAATAACTCAAGTTTCTATTTTTGCACTAAAATGTATATCAAACATCATTTACAACATGTGAAGTAGTATTTATAGTAACCTTCACCAGTAACGGGTACAGCATTCATTAAAGGTGGGTGATGTATTGATATGCAGTATGTGATGACACAAGGAGATCCGATTCAGTCTTTATTTCCCTATAATAAATCTTTAAATAATTGAATGCATTGTTCAATGAATTATAGTCACAAATGGTTAGATCTCTGTATTTTTATCTCCCAATACTGTTAAATTTCGACACGTACACAACATAAAAATTTATCCAGTATCAGGATTTGGTTTCTTTATGTGATAATTTGATAAAGTCAACTTCAATATCAACAGTTTCTTTTTTGTGAAATTTGAGTGTTTTTGCTAGATTAAATCGGAGTTCTGCTATCACTTCAAACTCTGCATTCCATTCTTCAGCTTTCTTTTTCAAAAACTACAAGTAAAAAAAAAAGCAATAGGAATTGTAAGTGAATTTTTAAATTGGCAATCAATTAATTTGTTTCATGCTCACATCATAATTTTGGATATCAGAACCTTATGCGATTATTGATTTTGAGCCTGATTGGGAGGATTAAGCAGTTTTCTGGGCATGTAATGTAGGGGTCAAATTCATGTCTATTGAATTTGTGGGAAACTAAAGGGGGAACAACTCTTCACCTTTGATCTGAAGATACCTATGGAAATACATTCAACTTTTAGATAGATAGGAAAACCCACCTCTCTGGTTGATGTTTTATGAAGAGAATAAACAGCTTCTGTAGTTAGAGATAAACCAACTTGCAAAAACTTGACATCAATACCTGTTTCAATAAAAATAAATATTAGATAATTAATACCCAATTGAAATTCCTCAAAATACAGCCAAACAAACAGTTGCTGCTTTAAACATGAAGAATTCAGTGAAAATGGTTTTTGATCTGGAACAAAACTTTAACTAGTTTAATTGATAGATAATGATTCATCAAAAGTGACTTAAAACTTCCATTATGAATTAAATATGAATGCTTTAAATCAGTTAAGATAGGTTGCCAGACAATGAAATGAAATGAAATGGGGTTTAACGTCCTACTGTTCTGCTCCTATGCCATACAGTGTGCTATGAGGGAAATTTTGCCCGGGCACAGGCACTATCGCCTACTCTTATATCGAATTCCAACTGCCAAGGGATCTTTTACGTGCATTCCAATGTTTACACAGGATCTCGGTTTTTCATCTCATCCAAAGGACTAGACAGCTGTCCTTGTCGGGCCCTCCGTCCTGCATCCCTGACAAGGGGGGATCCCGCTGGAGCCAGACAATGAAACATACACCTACAGCAGCTAAATCATCCAAGCAGTCAACAAGGGATGTCACTTATTCATTCTTTTGTAGGAAATGGGAGAATTTACAAAACACTGATACCAATTTCATACAGATCAAATGATAACTTTTTTATTGTTGACAAGGTGTTCAACAAAGTGAAACAAGGGCCATAACTCTGGAAGTAATTACCGATCTAAATAAAGCATTTAAATTTAATACAGATCGGATGATAACTTTTGTCAATATAGCGTTCACAAGGTAAAGTGAAACAAGGGCCATAACTCTAGAAATAACTGAAATTGTTGAAATTCAATAGGATTTTTTGTTTACTGATCCAAATAATGATAAATGCCATACAGATCGGATGATAACTCTTGTGGATAGAGCGTTCGCATGGTTCAACAAGGTGAAACAAGGGCCATAACTCTAGATTTTATGAAAAGAAATTGCTGTAAATCAATAGGCATATAAAAATGTTATAAATGATCAAAATCCTATAAATACACAGGAACCTTGCTACAGCATATTCTGCTATAAGACAGAGTTCAGTATGGCCCGAAACAGCTTCATATTGAAGCCTGAAATAAATATATGAGTGTCATCAGTTTAGATGATGTTTGTTATCAAACCCCAAAACAGGTAGAGGACACCACTAAGGTCACTACCTGTATTATGTTTAGTTCCAAATGGTGGATTCATTATAGCAACATCAAACTTTTTATAAAATTCTCCACAATTTGGGAGAAGTGAGGAAATATCAATTTGAATTAGGTCCATATTTTCAATTTCAAACTCCTCTATATTCTGTGCACATGTGACCAATGCATCCTCATCAATGTCAAATCCTGTAACTGATCTGAAAATACATAGAAATAATTAAATTAACAGTTGAGTTTGGGCGTATATATTCTCTGGGGGTGAAAAATTCAGTCTCATGCTTTCAGTCTGCTTCAGAATTTATCAACTTTTCAATCTCACAATGTACAAATTTGTCTATGACATATTGCTGTGTTTTATATTTTAACACCTGCAAAGTTTGATGTAAAAGACTATAAAACTTACCCACATCCTAACATGGCAGCACCAATGCTCAATACACCACAACCTACACCTAAATCAACTACAGCTTTATCTTCTAATTGATTGTATTGTGTATCTATAGTATGTAACATACAAGCTGAAATAATATTTCATACAATATTTTCATTAGTCAGTAGACTTTGTAAACTTGTCATCTGTCTGGTTAAATCATTCCTTTTGTGTGATATGAATATTGTCAGACTATTTATTTGAGTATAAAACAAGAAAAAAAATTTGAAAATCAACAGAGGTCTTGATATTACAAAGCTGAACAGCAGTTTGAAACATTACAAAGATCCACTGATAATTGTGGTTGTTGAAGTGTTCTTTGGCTTCATAATTAAGGGTCGTAACAGTCAGAAATTCCATAGGATTCTTTCTGTTATCATGATGATAAACCTATTCAGATCTAATGATAATTGTAGCTCCAAGGGAACCAATAGGCTAATAGTAAAGGGGAATAACTTGTTCTCCCTCAAATCAGATAAAAAATCCAAAAATCAGAAAATAATTTGTGATATGTGCATGCCATGCCTACCTGCTATATGTGGTGTAGTTGGATATTGTTCAAGTAAAACTTTAGGTTTCTCAAACACATCAACATCTTGCAGGAAACTCTCTAATTCTTTACGTTTTAATTTTCTTCTTGACATTGTGTAAACTCTAATGTTTGTCCACTTTATTCATCTGGTCATTTTGTAGTTACAACTAAAAGAGTGCCTGTCAATTTGAGAAATATAATGAATGTTAGAATTGCTCAGCAAGGATCAAGTGACAATATAATAGGCCTGCAAATATTTCATTAACAGGTACATTTCCTTGGGTAAAATTTGAGAAAGTGATATACATGTACATGTACTTCATACCATTTCTCTGGACAGCCTAGAACTGTTCTGATCATCAGGTATTTTCCATCAATGTGAAGTGCTACGGCTCACTTTATTGGTGAATCCACACCTTAGTCAATTTGTATTTCTACTTTTTATCGAAATAAACAAACAATAGAAACTCGACACTGTCTCCTGATGTAATATACTAATACAGTACTGTAAATATTGGTAGAGATAATAATGTAGAAACCGATTTGACTGTAAGAAAATCTAAGGGAAAATCCTATGACGGGGAGTCAATGCACACCGTATCCATAACGGTGTGAGCTGACTCCTCAAACTGCACATGCGCTAAAAGGTAATCACACACCAGGAAACATCTCACACTGTCACAGTACACCGGTACTGAAAATTCCCCCCTAGGCCTTTTGTTTGATAATGGGCCATGGTCTCTTTGTTTTCAATGCCATAGCATTAGATAAATAAAAATAAAGATGTTTGTATTTTGAGGTTTATCGATCACAGCAGAGACATAAATGTCAAGAAATAATTATTCAGGGGTTATGAATTTAAAAAATAAGTTTCATTTTCTCATTTGTTTACATGTGATGCATGGGCGCCGCCATCTTGATTTTCCCAGGAATCATTTCGGTTTTTGTACCAACCGATAAATACTTTGATAAGAATTTTTGATCAAACATGCTTAGAAAATACTTTTACCCACTTTTTTTAAAATCGTAAACTTAAATAAATATAACACCGTTCATTTGAGTATAATGCACTCATTAATTTCGAATATAAATTGACATAGACCTCAGTTTATCGCTTGGTACGCCTTTTATTCGACTTGAACACGATTTTAGAAAACTGAGTAGTGGAAGAAAGAAGGAATTTTTGCGCTTGATGCTTATAGTTTTATAAGTTTTACAGAACAGGCAAATGTATGATTTACTTATATATATATTCTGAGTTGAAATGATTTTATATCTGTCTGTTTTGATTATACTGAGATTTGTAAACTACTGTCTCTTCTTGCCTACAGTAGGCCTAGTCAGAATAAAATGAAAAAGGAATGAACTGAAGAAGCTTAAAGTAAGGCTCATCATTTTAGCTACACTCTTCAGAGAACTATTTGCAATCTTGAAATGAAATGGGGTTTAACGTCCTACTGGTTTGCACCGACTGGTCTAATGGAGAAGAGCATACACCATAGAGTGTGCTACAAAGATAATTTTGGCAGGACAGCGGGGCTAGGCCTACCACCCAATTGTTAAGGCCAATGTTTCTTTTACTTTACATGATGCACGATGTGTTCACAGGACCTTGTTTATTTGTCCCATCCAAATGACTATAGATTGTCCCTTATCATGCACTCCCACTAACTGTTTATTTTCTAGAGCAGTGTTGAGTAATTATTTAGTCAGTTAGTTTCTCAACACCTTTTTTTAGAGAAACAGTTATAAAATCCAACACTCATTATCTAATCTAGACAGACTCTTTAAACTACCCAACAGTAGAATCCCAATGATTTTCTATGAATCTCAACGAATTTGAACAGTTTTCCAACAATGGCTTGAAGTTAAACATTAATGTCATTAAATACAGAAACTCCCCCTAAAACAATACAACTAAATGATGCCTGAGTTGTAGTGTCTGTCTTGCACAACTTATAAGGTGGAACCACGCTGGAAAATCCCAATGAACTTTCTTGGCCAATACCGGGATTGATCAAGGGACCTTCAGGTTAGTGAGCCAATTTTTAATCACCGTTTTAGCCACTGTGGCTCCGTTCTATTTGAGACCTCGCCTTCATTATCCCAGTCGGAGTAGAACAGTAGGACGTTAAACCCCATTTCATTTCTCTTTGAGAGTTTCTTTACATAAGTCATATACATGTACACCATGCGAGCAGTGGATATAGGGCCGGATTTGGTGTGCAACCTGGCATGTTATGTGAAAGGAAAAGAAAATCAATGAAACTGGTTACTAGACCCTTGACGTACAAACGTAGAGTACATTTAGTCCTAAACTCAAACATGCACAACAGTTTGATATACAGACATAAAGAATGAATGTAAAGTTGACATGCTATGTCAGTGATATCTCTATAACTACTTTATAATTCAGAAAATGGATGCTGATTTATATGATGAATTTGGCAACTATATTGGTCCAGAATTAGACAGTGATGATGACGATGATGATAATGATGATGTAGATGATGATAATGATGACTATGATAGAGATGTAAGATATTTTATGACTTTATATTTAAATCATCTTATTATTTAGAAATGATGCAATATATTACAAAACATTTCACAGCTATTTATTTTCAATAACTAGTAATTAGTATGCATAATTTGTGGAATGATATTTAAGATTCCTTTTAATTAAAAAAAGAATAGCTTGGAGAAATGTCATACATTCAGTGATTAGAGCTGTTATGATACACTGGTATAATGATAAATTATGTAATGTAAATTTACATCAAAAATAATACATTATTTGTCCATATCAATGGTAGTGTATTACAACACCCCTAACCATGATGGAGTACAGTCAGTTGATACCCTTCTTTGGATTCTTCGTTTCCTCCCACTTCTACAGACCCATATGCTCCTATGAATTGAAGTATAGCATAAGTAGTTCCAAAATAACCAAGGTGTGCTGAGTGGATTGTAAACCTCCTTTTTGTCACAGGTATGATTGATGTGAATAAAAGCAAGATTATAATTCATTGTTTATAGGAAGATGATGTTGACATGGAACAAGATGATGAAGATGGCAATGATATGCAAGTTGTCTTACATGAAGATAAGAAATATTATCCTACACCAGAAGAAATTTATGGACCAGAAGTTGAGGTAATTTCAAATATTAATATGCATCACCTTAGAGTACAACAGTTTATAACACACTATATAAGTGTCCATTATAATAAGAATAATATTGCTACATTCGATCTTAGCCAGAAGTCAAGGAGCAAAATTTTATGCAATAATTAGTGGGGGCTTTTGTTAATTTATTTTCTATTTCTCAGCTGCAGACTAATTTTAAGCAGAATATTCTTATTTGATTCAAATTATATATGACTAATCAGGATATTCTTTCTAAATATGGATGGTTAAATAAGTTCTGTCTTTTAAGTAGAATAGTTCAAGTAGTTAATAATAATGAATAATGGAATAATTGACATAAGGTTTTTTGTATGTAGACACTTGTTCAAGAAGAAGATACTCAGCCATTAACAGAACCAATTGTAGCACCAGTTAAAGTAAAGAAATTTTCAATGGCTGAACAAGATTTACCAACCACAACATATAACATGGAGTAAGTCTAATTGATATTTTGAATATGAAAACTCCTGTTATCACCACTTTCTTGAATATACTTTTTGATAAACGTTGTTTATTGACTTTTATATTTTAATGTATTTTCTATTTATTAAAGATTTTTAGCAGATTTAATGGATACACCTGGCTTAATCAGAAATGTAACACTTTGTGGACATCTTCATCATGGAAAGGTAATATTGATTTGTATTGTATGTTTAATCTTGTTTTGATATTAATCCAAATATGATGTGCGGTTAAGCTAGTTTGAAAAAATTTATATGAAAAATGGAAGTGTCTGTTTAAAAAGTTTTGATGTCTATATCTGTATTTTTCTACTTAATACATGTAGGTTTACACTTCTTCTCCACAATGGGGAGTTTCTGTTAAATGTTTTTAAAAATAGATCTGTGATTGTAAGTATATATCAAGTCAAGCCTATTCCACACTTCATTTTTATTTGGTCCTTCAATTAATTGTAAAAAAATTTATTTTGTTTAGACTTCGTTCGTTGACTGTATATTTGAACAGACTCATGTAGATATTGTTGGTAAAGAAGAAAAAGATGTAAGTATTTTAATAATATTTTTATTAATTTGCAAAAAAACAACCACATCAAATCTTTGCATGGAGTTAAAACATGCTATACCATGGCCATCTACAAACTTATAAAATGTTACAAACCTCCACAGATCCCCAATATAATGTTTGAAAACTTAAATTTGTTGGCTACCAAAATAACAATATAGACAGATAAACAATGGGCATTATTCAAGAATATTACAAGTCAAGAGCTTAAGTTGTCGAACAATTAGTATGATTAAAAGCTGGTTAATGACAACAAATTATTCTGGCTGGCTTTGACTTACTACCGTTTTAATTTTCATTATGGTTTAAATGCCAAAAAATGGTAACAAGATATAGTTTATTAAGAATTTGAAAAATTGTTTTGTTTTTTTTGGTATGAAATTTATTGAATCATTGTTCAAGTCAAGTTAAAATTTACATTTTATGTAGGAAATCTTTAATGGTTTGTATGTATGTCCTATTTTCAGCTAAGATATACAGATATTTTATTCACAGAACAAGAGGTAAAGATTCATTATATTTACATAAATGGGGTTGTTACAATTTGATTTACATAAATTGTGTTGTTACAATTTTATTTATGTTAAATTTTAGATTAAATTTATAACTTAGGGTTGTTGTCAAAAGAAATGCATTGAGATTCCGTTTTAATATTTGTTTACATGATATAAATAATGAAACAAGTTACACTGCACAAAAACACAATCCAAATTGTTGATTAAATAAAAATCCCAAATAAATTAGAAGTTTTATCAAGTGTTCTGGAAACTGTGCCTCTTGTATGTTTCATGTCATTTAAGACTGTCTCCATTAACCCTGTCGGTATAGAAAATTAGGATGTTAAACCCCATTTCATTTTGTCACATTGGAAAGCTAATATGGGTTTTGTAATTCATTCAAATATTCTCCCCACCATGTTGAAGATATCTTACATTTTGTCTTCCAGCTACACTTATTAATGACAATTATTTTTTTTCACATAATGGATAACATGAGATTATTTATTTATTTCAGCGTGGTGTTAGTATAAAATCTACGCCAGTGACAGTTGTGATGCAGGATACAAAAAATAAATCATTTCTGATGAATATATATGATACACCAGGTATTATTAACATTTTCAATTGTTTAGATTTCAGTTGTAATATTTTTAGGAACCTACTTGTAAATGGGAATGTTGATCACTATCTGGTTGCTGTTTATCTAGGTGTGTTATTCATTGCCAGGAATCCAAAACCAGATTCTCTTTCCAGATAGAGTAAAAAAAAATAAAGAGCTGCAGTGGCTCAGTGAGTAAGACATTGGCTCGCTAGTTTGGAGGGCCCGTCTTCAATCCCTGTGTTGGTGAAGAAAGTTCATCAGGATTTTCTGATATGGTTCTTCCGTGTCAGTGGGCCTGGCAAGGGACAATGTATAGTCTTTCGGATGGGACAAAAAAAAATCAGGACCCTTTTTCACGAAAACTTAAACTAAGATACAATCGAAATTTTAAGAAATACTGCAATTCGATTGGCTGACTAGTAAAATCAATTTGCATATATCCAATGAAGTTGCAGTATTTCTTAAAATTTCTGTTGTAACTTAGTTTAAGTTTTCGTGAATAAGGGCCCTGGTCATGTGTACACATTGGATTGCATGTAAAAGATACCTCAACAGTTTTTATTTGAAATAAGAGTAGGCCGTATCACGGTTGTCAGGGCAAAAAATCCCTCATAGCACACTGTGTGGCGTATGCTTGTCTTTATTTGCTCAGTGGGAGCTGAAAAGTAGGATGTTAAACCCCCTTTTCATTCCATTTCAAAAACAAATAATTTTACAAATCCGGATCTGATTTTCACAAAAGACTGTAATACTCTGTTATTGACTGCCATTTTGAATATGAAGAATCCACAGCACAAGGCTATTCAATGATTCTTGTATCTGAATTGGTATTTAAAAATCTCTAGGAGGCAAACAGTTACATTTTATGTCTCCAGCTTATTAATACTGTTGTTCATTTTATTCTTCTAGATTTTTAGTAAAAAAAGTAAGAAATTATGAATAGATTTAATCTACGTTCCTTATTTAATACACATATTTTCAGGTCATGTTAATTTTTCTGATGAAGTTACGGCTGCTTTACGTATCAGTGATGGAGCTGTTATCTTTATAGATGCTGCAGAAGGGGTAAGAAGGGGTATATTTTGTGGCATCACAAATGTTTGACTAGTAATTTTCATTAGTTCAGGATTTAACGTGTGCATGTTAAATCATAGGTCCGTCATTGAGTCAAGTGGCATGTTTTTTTTATTCCCAGCTTGTACGGAGTAGGGTCGTCTGTCCAACCTCATGGGTTTTCTCTGAGTCTTCCGTTTTTCCCCCACAGCTAAAGACCCCTACACATAAGGGAATTTTTAAAATAAAATGGAACCATATTTTAGTCCCAAAATGACCTAGTTTGTGTTGAGTGGCCTTAAACCCCATTTATCTCTCTCTTTATAAAAGAGAAAATGTTTTGAATGCCATTATTTGGAAATTCTGACTGAAAGAATACATAGGCCATGTTGTGACCAGCATACTGTAAATGAGTATGGTCACATGGGATAAAGAAATTAGCCACACCTATCTGTTCCCCTTTGAATTAAAATTGTTATAGGATCTTTTCATATTTGTTCAAACAAATATTTGAATGTTCAATTCAAAATAGTTTTTCAAGGCAATTTAAACCGATTTTTGGGTAATGGTTATTCAGTGTCAAGAGAATATTTAAATATCATGCATGCATATAATGGCATAGAATATTCAAATAGTAACTATTTCACATATTCCTTACTAGCCCTTGGGAACCATGTTTAATAAATCCTGGATGCTCAATTTGTGTAAATTGTATATTTTTTTTTAGGTTATGTTGAATACAGAGAGATTAATTAAACATGCTCTACAAGAAAAGATGGCTGTAACTATTTGTATTAATAAAGTAGATCGACTTATACTAGAATTAAAACTACCACCAACAGATGCGTATTATAAATTACGCCATATTTTAGACGATGTCAACAGTATAGTCAGGTGAGTTTCAACTATCAAACACAAATCATACAGACTATGCTATTCTTGATAATCCAATCCACTTCGTCTGTGAATGAGTATCTGCTTCTGTCATTGTACATTGATGTTAAAGAAAAATGACAAATAAATGTAATTGAATTATTATACATTTTAATTTGTTTACCACCTCTCAGGAATTTGTTTACTATACTGATAAATTTTATTGAAAGTGGATCTCAGACCTCAATTTTTTTAAAATTCAGTTCACTTTAGTGGCAAGCTGGTTTGCTTGCTTTGTAGGATCTTTCTTGCAATCTAATATTAAAACACTATTCAATAATCTAATTTTGTGGGACATTTTGCTGAGATATTTGCTACCAGTGAAGTTTGATAAAATCAAGTCTTCTAAATGAAATATAATATTGTTATATTATTATTTGGCATTTAATAAACAATATTGAGAATACACCTATAAAGCATAACACATTCTTGATATACATGTATAAATATATATGTCCTTCCTGTGAGGTTAAATATTAAAATCATCTGTATAATATTATACAATTTATTTATTATAGTTTGTACACAGAAGATGAAGAGAATTGTTTAATATCACCAATACTAGGAAATGTCTGCTTTGCCAGTTCATATTACAGATTCTGTTTCACATTAAAATCATTCGCTAGAATATATTCAGATACGTATGGTGAGCATATATATAATTATTGTTTGTATGATTAGAATAAATTGCCCTCATAGCTTAAGCCACTCTTTCCATTTCTTTTCATTTGCATCTCGTGTCAGCAAGTCATTGACAAATTTTCAAGATACGATTGTATTTATTAGGTAAAGAAAAATCATTTAGATATGACAGGTTTTACCCAGTTACAACCTTTGGGGTATTTTTCAATATGTGTATGTTTAATATTCTTGATGAATATATCAGCTTTTTTTTAATGATTTTTTTGAAATATGTCTAATTGATAAAATGAATTGTAATTTCAGGTGGTATAAATGAGAAAGAATTTGCCAAGCGTCTTTGGGGAGATATGTATTTTAATAGTAAAACGTAAGTTACTAAATGTATATCCTTGAGATATATTTTTCTCCACAGTTAATAGTAGGATGACGAATTTGTAATGAGATTTGATTTTCACATTTTAAAAAAGAGATAGGTCAGGTTTTTTTAGGTCTTTAATGAGAAATGTTTTTTAGTTTATATCTCATGATGTTGTATATAAAAGAGTAGATTGGTTTACTGCTGCCTTGGCAAGATTTTCATTTTACTCGTTGAGTTGATAACATGCTATTTTGATTCAATGAATGTGTGTATCTGAATATGACTTTAATTGACTTATTTCCTTTTAAGGAGGAAATTTACAAAGAAAGCACCAAATACTGCCAGTTTAAGAAGTTTTGTAGAATTTATTTTAGAACCATTATATAAAATATTTGCACAGGTAAGTAAAATAATCCACATACCCAGTACTTATATCGATTTTCTTAAAACATTTGTCATTTAACCTTAACTAAAACACAGTGTTTATGTGCTTGAGACTAGGAAGCCAAAGATTTCTGATTATTACTGCCAGAGTTATCGCACTTGATCACTTAGAAAAATCTTGTGGATGTTCTAGAGGTAAAAGTTATCAGAATTGGCTGATATCTATGCACAGTGTTTCTGTTCATGATCAAATTTTTTACCCGCCCACATTTTCATGTGGCCGTATTATGCCATCGCCTCCGTCTGTCCACAGTTTGTTTGTGGACACCCTACAGGTCGCAATTTTTATTCAATTTTGACGAAACTTGAAAAATCTCCCAAAGAGCTTGGTTCCTTTCGATATTGGCATGTATCGGACCATAACTTCATGGATTATGGCCCCTGATTGTACGGAAAATCACGTTTTTAGCTTGTGGACAATTTTCATCTGATTTTGATAAAACTTGAAATGCATGTTTACAACCCAAACATCTTGGTTCCTTTTGATATTCACGCGTATCGGATCGTAACTTGCTGCATTATGGCCCCCTCATTGTTCTTTCTCCATCTCTTGCAAAATGTGGACGTATCTTGCATGGCAACCGCTTGTAGTGTCTTGTAAATGCTCACATTACCTACAAAAGAAGTTTTGCCTTATCAAGAGCTGCTGTGTGTAGATGTTACATTGTTAGGCAACCTGTCTTTGTACTAATAAACAAAATAATTAATTATTAGTCTCCTGATCAGCAAAGCTGACCTATCAAAGCATAGAAATGAAATGAAATTAATTTTGATGTTTATTATAGATTGTAGGTGATGTTGATACATGTATACCACAAGTCTGTGATGAATTAGGTATACATCTAGGTAAAGAGGAACAAAAACTCAACATACGACCGTTACTTAGATTAGTCTGCAGTCGTTTCTTTGGTTCATTTACTGGTGGGTATACATCTCTTTGTTAATGTTAATTTGACCAAATTATTGTTTTTATTCAACCTTTTTTATACAGTATTGTAAGTGTTACAGAGTACAGAATTGTGTACATGATATAACCAAAGGTAATGATAGGTGCAACATGCAGCCATATTAAGTCTGCATTTTTTGCTTTTTTTAGTTTCGTATTCCATTATCAATTGAGTAAAATCTGATTAATAACAACTTTAACCAATATGATAAAGATATATTGTGTTGAACAGATCATAACTCTTAATATTTCATGTTTCTCTTGATTTTAGAATTTCTAGATTTGAAGCATAAATACTTCATTGGAGGCTATCTTTGTGGAGAAGATGGGCCTACTCTTTTCAAAATGTAGGCAAATGTGAAATTGAAAATATGTGAATTCTTTTGTTTTACAGGTTTTGTTGATATGTGTGTAGAACATATACCATCACCTCTAGATAATGCTAAAAGTAAAATAGAACATCTTTATACTGGTCCTAGTGATTCCGAACTAGCTGAAGAAATGTTTAATTGTGATTCAGAGGTAAGAACATATGGATCATGAAAGTTACCTTACACTCTCCAATAACTATTTAACCAACTATTAACAAAGAATAACTGTCTTGAAGCCTTGTGGCAAGTAGTAATTTTCAAAGCAAAGTTGCAGTCATCATTTAGTATCTCATCTCAACCAACAACTATTGCTGAAATAAAACTGATGTGTTAAATTTTTGTCAAGATTCTACACACACTACCGCAATAATTGAGTTTGACAAAACTGTGACATTACTGAATTCTGTGTCCACTAAAACACAGATTGTTTATACAATATATCTGTTTTCTAGGGTCCACTAATGATTCACACAACCAAGTTATATCCAACAAATGATGCTACATGTTTTCATGTATTTGGTCGTGTAATGAGTGGTACATTACAAGCTAACCAGGAAGTTAGAATTCTGGGAGAGAATTATACCTTACAAGATGAAGAAGATTCACGATTTGGTCAAGTTGGTAGATTGTGGATTGCTGAAGCTCGGTATGTAGTATCTTCAGTTGTAGATTCTAACATGTGCACTTTGATTATAGGGTCTGTCACTGAGTCAAGTTGCATGGTTTATAATCCCTACATGTACATGACAAGGAGTAAGGTAACCTGTCCAAACTCGTCCGTTTATCTTCAGGTCCTCCGGTTTCCTCCCACAGCTAAAGACCCCTATGTGCAAGCGAATTATTAAAATAAAATTGAACCATATGTTGTGAAATGACCTAGTTTGTGTCGAGTGGACGTTAAACCCCATTTCTATCTTGCGCGCAGACGTGTCAGGGTGCCAATATTACTCTTATTTTCACGTCTGATCGTTCGGAAAAATACCAGTTGCATAATTTCATGGTTGATCTCGGGTTCAATCTTGGAAAGGAAAGATATCTAGTCGTTTGGATGGTATGATAAATTGAGGTGTACCCATTCCCGTGCACACAAAAGAACCCTTGATAGATATTTGATGAAGAATAGGGGAAAACTTTGCTTTCTGGGCAAAATTCCCCATATATCACACTACATAGCATATGTCTGGCTTTATCAGCCCATATTGAAATAGTGCAGAAAAGTGGGACATTAAAACTTCATTTCATAAGTAGACCATTAACATAGGTATCATCATTTAAATCTGTTTCAGATAGGTAATTTATCTTTTAAAGTGACAACTTTTGTTTTAAAAATATACATTGTCATATTTGTTATTGTAGCTATAAGATAGAAGTAAATCGTGTATCAGCTGGTAATTGGATATTAATAGAAGGTATAGATCAACCTATTGTTAAAACATCAACAATAACAGATGCATCAACTAGTGAAGAGGTGTGTATTGTAGTAGAGTATTGTATGTTCACATATAAGTGTGTTGATAGTTGATTCAAGGTGATGTTGTACATGAAACTTAATTTTAATGATGACCCAACTGATGATTCACGTAAACCTTTGCTTTAAGAATATTAACAATATCATTGGTCAATTCACCACAAAATATCACCCATCTGAGAAACAGACATTTGAATAACTTAGAGCTATAAATACCATTTCCATATTAAATATCTCATTAATAAGGTAATTGAATGATTAACCAAGATTCCTGGCATTTTAAGAGAAGGTTATAGACACATGGAAATTCTTGTATATTTTATTAATGTTGTACAGTGGTATGATAAATTATTTGATATTGTCAATTAGATGACTTACTTTCTTTTTATAGGTGTATATATTCCGACCATTAAAATTCAACACAAGTTCGGTGATTAAAATAGCTGTAGAACCAGTCAATCCTTCTGAATTACCTAAAATGTTGGATGGTTTGAGAAAAGTCAACAAGAGTTATCCTTTACTTACAACAAAGGTAGAGTATACTAGATTTACAACTGATCAGATTAGTGAAAGAATTCATGTTTATCATGTTGTTAGCATGTCGAGAAAAGCTCAGGTTTTTTTCAAGCCTGCTTAGTGCCCGATCAGCTGACAAGGAAATCGTGCTTAGGCGTTTGAGTGGGACAAAAAACCGATGTCCACCTTTGATGAGGAGTAGATAAAAATGCTACTGGTCTAGCAAGGAACATCGAAAAAAGTAACTAATGTTAATCTCGAAATGACAAAGACTTTAAACACATATTCTGACAAGTACAGGGGGTTGGATGGCTGAATGGTTAGCTTGCGCGCGTTGTATCATAAAGTCTGTCATTGAGTCGACTGGCGTGGTTTCGAATCCCCGATTGTACGTGGCAAGGAGTAGGGTCGCCTGTCCAACCTCGTGGGTTTTCTCTGGGTCCTCCGGTTTCCTCCCACTGCTAAAGACCCCTACGCGCAAGCGAATTATGTAAATAAAATTAAACCATATGTTAGTCCCAAAATGACCTAGTTTGTGTCGAGTGGACGTTAAACCCCATCTCTCTCTCTCTCTCTCTCTCTCTCTCTGACAAGTACAGCTCTGCCTAGTTGTTTAGATGTTACAAAAAACCAGGTCCCATTTATACATTGGTAGGGTGACCCACCATAAATAAATATCTTATATACAATATTTATATACATGCCAAGCCTCAAATCAGTTTCACACAATTATAGTCACTAAATAAACGATCATGTTGTACTTAATAAGCTATGACCATTAATCATCTATAAATAATAGACTGAAAACTGGTTCCAAGTGTTGTCCATAACATCCAGACACTTTCGAGTAAAAGATAGGTTACGTGCCCTTGTTTTGAAATTAGTCTCGTTTAACCAGTCTATCGACCATTCTACGTCTGATTGACAGGTCGGGATAATCAAGACTCCTTTTTTACGAAACATAACAGAAAGCTAGAACAAGAAATTGAATTTAGAAATAAGCACTTTAGACAACTCAACAATTGTTTTAAGAAACTTGTAAAATTAAAATGAAACTACTGCTAGTATCATGTTCCTGCTAACGAAAGTGATTCAGAGATAGTATTTGTACTAAACCAAAAGATGCCACTCTTAACGGTACAGTTAATGATAAAGCAATTTAAAAAATAAAACAAACGTAATTTCTAAAGCTGCTGTAATAACCAAGAAGCTAAATTTTACTGCTATTCAAAATCGTTTACAAAATATTTTTTACGGCTGTAATAGTTGATATATTTGTAGAGAATTGCACGTGCCATGGCTATTTATCGACTCAAAGAGAGTGCGGGGTAGTCAGAAATCAGTTTGAGACACGCAACTGAAGCGTGCACATTTAGCCGTGTCGAGACCAACTTTCTGTAGAGTGCACGGGTCACCCTAACATTGGTGTGCGCAAAAAGATCCCTTGGCAGTTTGACCTTGATATAAGAGTATGCCATAGTGCCGCTGCCCGGGCAAAATTAGCCCAGTTGGACCAGAACAGTAGGACATTAAAACCCCATTTTATTTCATTTTATCATGTTGACATGAATAAGTTTTGTATTGTAATATTTTAGGTAGAAGAATCTGGTGAACATATAGTACTAGGTACAGGAGAGTTGTATTTAGATTGTGTTATGCACGATTTACGTAAAATATACTCAGAAATAGGTAAGTTGATTAAAAATGAAAACTAACAAATTCTCCGACAACTTTTTAGTGGGGATCTACTACCCCTGACTCAAATAAAACCCATTAAGTTTCCTACTGCAGGACGATATTATTTTATAAGGACCAGTATATTATTTGTATTTACAGATATTAAAGTAGCTGATCCAGTCGTATCATTCTGTGAAACTGTTGTGGAAACATCATCTTTAAAATGTTTTGCTGAAACCCCAAATAAAAAGTAAGATTTGATAGTTTGTGTGATCTTTATTTTGAGAGGTTCAAAATATATATGTCCTAGTTTAGACAACCTTAAAATATATCAAGAAATTGACTCATAAGTCCATCACACTTTTTGAGTTTGGTTAAGGTAGCTTAGTCTCTAACTCAATATCATACAAAGTCTTAAACGTTGAAAACCCGAATTATTTGTCAATTCAAATCAACATTGATGTTGTGATCTTACCGGGAAAAGGAAGGCTTCTGATATTTTACCATTGGTACACCAATCCTATACATAGTGCGTTTCAGCATCACTTGTAACAAGTGACCAAAAAGAACGAGGCTAGACATATTTCATAACTCATGTCAAACAATGACGCCATGAGGGCATGCGCAATAGACTGGAATAACCAGACGCTAGAAATAGCGATTCGGTTGAGACCCATGCCGTATTTCACTGGAAATAACTGATTTGAAATTATAGTCAAAATGGAAACAATTGAATGTAAATCAGTTTATATACAATCAGATTACATTATTATATGCGTTGCAACCGATTTGGGTCAATTTCTAGGTCCCAAATATTAGCGATTTAGCTCCTTTAAATTTGAATTAAACTAACAGTCTAACCTATTTATGTGTCTGCTTCAAGAAGAAACCATTCTGTAATGCAAGTTCAAGATGTGTACACTTTATTCTGGATTTCAACATTTGGAAAATCTGTTTTGACCAAATTTATTGAAATTATGACATTTTTTACAGAAATAAATTGACCATGATTGCTGAACCATTAGAGAAAGGTTTAGCAGAAGATATTGAGAATGAGGTCGTACAGATTACATGGCCCAGGAAAAAACTGGGAGAATTTTTCCAGACCAAATATGATTGGGATTTACTTGCTGCTAGATCTATCTGGGCATTTGGTCCAGATGCTACAGGTCCTAATATTCTGGTAGACGATACCTTACCATCAGAAGTAGATAAAACATTATTAAGTGCTGTTAAAGATAGTATTGTACAAGGTTTTCAGTGGGCTACTAGAGAAGGTCCACTGTGTGATGAACGTAAGCATATATTAAAAAAGATATTCAAGTTATTAAAAAAACCTTTCACTTAGTACTGCACAACTCCCCAAAGTTCTTTGATAATTTTTTTAAGAAATACAACTTCCAGTTTACACAACATCCATTGCCTAGATAACAATGTCTATGGTATAGGGATAAGCGACGGTTACGATTATTTAGCCGTTCATATAATTGAGGATTGAAATTCCATAAATGAGTAACGTAGCCAATAATTCCCGAATGGATCAGTATTTTGAAATTTTCAGACAAGGTAAATAGGCTCTATCACCATATTTTGGCTTTTTATTTTACACAGTTAAGCCCTCCTTTATTTACAATGTTCTGTAAAATCTGAAACAGCACCAATCAATAACCAGGATAAAGCCATGATCTATATTATGATACTACTGTCTGATAACTTCACTTTTTATAAGGATATTTTTTCACTTTGGGTCACTTGTGAAGAAGATGTAAACAATTATGTTTTATATATTTGTAGCTATACGTAATGTAAAGTTTAAGATATTGGATGCTATGATAGCTGGTGAACCTATACATAGAGGTGGTGGACAGATAATACCTACCTCTAGACGAGTTGCTTATTCAGCTTTCCTTATGGTAAGTACTTTATAGCCAATACTAACCATTACAAATATTGATCATTGTTTTCTTTGTTGTATTTGTGTCATCCAGGGTTGGAAAAATTATCAGGGCTTCTAATATTCTGAAATATATATTTATTATACTCTGTGCATTTGTTTTGTAGGCAACACCTAGAATGATGGAACCATATTATTTTGTGGAAGTAATGGCACCAGCTGATTGTGTGTCTGCAGTTTATACTGTTTTAGCTAAAAGAAGGTTTGTTGAAAATATTAACTTAGCAAGCAACCAGTCAAACATTATTTTTTGTTTTTATTTGTCAAATAAAATATATTGTATGTAGACTGAGCTTAGAATATTTGATAGTATAACAAGTTAAAATTCTTTAACTTGCACAGAAATATTACCCCAGTTGGGTATGGTCTTTGGTCGCAAATATCCTTCAAAAGGGTCAAATTAACAAATTTTTAAAAAAGTTAAGATAGTTTAAAACTTGAAATATTTTAAAATCTATTTATTAACTATGCTTCCATATGAACTCATAAATAATATTTTACTATCCCAATTTTACAGAGGTCATGTAACCCAGGATGCACCAGTACCAGGTTCACCATTATATACTATTAAAGCCTTTATACCAGCTATAGATTCATTTGGTTTTGAGACTGATTTAAGAACACATACACAGGGTCAAGCTTTCTGTTTATCAGTCTTTCATCATTGGCAGGTAAGTTTTTACTGGATACAAATTATATAATTTTACTTCCAATGAATGGGTTAAAATCTGTATCATCAAATTATCTAGTGTTCAAGATCAGCTCTATGTCTGTTTTGATTTTAACGGTAGTGATTACTTGTATCTTGGTTTGAATTGTGATTAATATATTTGTTTTCCTCCGAGTTGTAACTAAGGTCCAATACTCTGTTCAGGTTGTTGACAGTGCTGTAGCAAAAAAAAAAATAGCTTGAAACAGTTTTTAGAATGAACTGGACAACACCAGTTTGTAATAAGATAAGATTGCTTGACTGGCTGTACAAAACAAGATCAGGTCACTGTGCAGATAGTTATTGTTAATATCTGTTAGATATCAATATGCATAATCTCCTAATAATCTCTTTAAAAGTATCTGATAACATTTTTGTGCATTTTATTCCATGAACTACTGTCTTGTATAATATTTAAATTCATGCTTAAGGCAGGTGTAATCCCACCATTAGTCTTCAATTAAGAAAAAAAATTGTTCCTTGTTTAATTTGGCATGATAAATTTGATAATTATAGATTGTTCCTGGTGATCCATTAGATAAAAGTATTATTATTCGACCTCTAGAAGCCCAACCAGCAACTCACCTCGCCAGAGAATTCATGATAAAATCACGTAGACGAAAGGTATGTACTCATATTTGAATTCAGGCCTTTTTTGTAATAGTTGAATCAGTAATTGAAATCATATTTGAAAATAGGTTTGTATAGATCAGAAAATGGGAATTTTTGTCATATTTACACTTTGTTTCATTCAAATGGGGTTGGGTAGCTGAATTGTTTCACGAAGGGTCTGACAAGGACAGCTGTCTAGTCGTTTGGATGGGACAAAAAACCAAGGTCCTGTGTACACATTGACATGCACGTAAAAGATCCCTTGGCAGTTGGAATTTGATATAAGAGTAGGCCATAGCCCTCAGAGCACACTGCATGCCATATGCCCATCTTCATTAGCCCAGACTAGGAGCAGAACAGTAGGACATTAAACCCCATTTCATTTCTGAATTATTTCATGTGTGCATGTTAGTTCATAAGGTCTGTCAGTGACCAAATTGTTGTGGTTTCAATCCAAGACTTGAAAGTGCCAAATTGGACTGTGTGTCTAACCTGGGGGGGGGGGGGTCTCAGGTTTCCAAGTTGGTGGTAGTGCCAAACATTACCCCAGTACACTGGTTTGAAAGAAATAGATATGTTAACCCTCTTTGTCCTGGCAATTTTTCAAAAAGTAGATTTACCCCCACTCAGTTATGTTTAGTAATTTTAGTTGAGTTTACACCTCTATGTAATAAAGAAAACAAATTTTAAAGTAATAATGTTTAAGTTCCAATAACAATAATTAGTTTAGATTTTTCAAAAAAATTGTTATCTGTTAAATTCCAGATTTTACCCCATGGGTAGGTGAAATTTGAAAGGTTGGTAAGTGGGAACACATGTGTTAAGGTAACCGAATGTGAAATGTGTAAATTAATACCTTATTATTGTTTTCTTCCAGGGATTAAGTGAAGACGTCAGTATCAACAAATTCTTTGATAACCCTATGTTGTTAGAGTTAGCTAAACAAGATGTCTTGTTGAATTATCCTATGTAAAATATTGTTATTCCAAATCATAACTTTTTCTGTAGTTATGAAACCACCGTCAAGAATTTTTCACACATTTTCTTTGTAAATAAAATTATCATGAATAATGTACAGATTTTTTAAAAAGTAAATAGATAAGTGCTACTGAAAATTAAATCCATGTTTTTCATCATAAAATTTCTTCATAAATCATACAGATCATGAAAAGAAGTGTATTGTTAAGAAAATATATTTTCTAACAATTTGTTGGCATGTATTTCATTTTGAATCCATAAATACTTGTATAATAGGTCATTGATGGAAGAAAATTGATGTGTATATACAATCAATAGATACCATATACATGTAATAATAAAAGTGATGTCACTTGAATATCAGACTTGTGTCTTTATGTAGAACATCCAATCCACCAACAAATACATCCAGGTTCAAGTGCTGATAAATCAAATTCTGTTATGTTTTTATACGTCCAAATTGAAATGGGGTCTACATTACTGTTGCCCCTGTCCGTCGGCCCATAATTGCTTGTGGATGCTCTAAAGTTAATATCCGATTGGATTTAAATTTATACACAGTGTTTACGGTCATGAGATGAAGCCTATTGATTTTCAACAATTTCCGATAACTGCCAGAGTTATGGATCTTGATCTTGCGGATGCTCTAGAGGCTAAAGTTAATATGAATTTGACTTTAAGTGCTAAAGATTAAAGTTAATATAAATTTATACACAGTGTTTAAGGTCATAAGATAAACAATCGAAACAAATTCTACGGATTTCTGATAATTACTAAATGGGTTGTTACTCATTAGATTTTATTGTTTTGTAAATGTTTTCATTTCTGACAAAAGAAAAAGTATGCGACAAGCCGACAACTCTTGTTGACTGCTCGGACGAATTAGCTGCTGTGGGTGTATGTTTTGTTGCCTGGCAACCTATCTTTTAACAGGATTTTGTGTTAATTCAAACTAGGTTAAATAGGTATTAGTGCTTTGGGGTTTCTCGTCACTTTGCAAAAATGAAATAAGTTTTGATTGATTTGGATTGGTTGTGTTCAGAAATACTGGTATGTAAAAATTTCTAACAGTTACTTTTACAAATTTTTAGGGGTTTTCAAGTTTAAAACTTTACTTCATAAAGTACTGTATGTTAATGGTTGGATTTTCAATGATAGTTATGCCCAGATTGATATCTGTGTACGCAATACATGGATTTCTATTATGTTTAGGATACTGGAATGTATCTGCATGAGCAGAGTGAAATCTTATGGAGCAAAATTCCCCCCAAATTCTGACGTACAGTCAAGCCCTGTGCATAGTGCATACACTGATGTATGCTCAAAAAAGCCTGTATTGTCTCCAATACAAATGTCTCCTCAATAGAAAATAAACTTTTTAATCTAAACCCAAAGTTTCATGATTTTAAAGAAAAAAAATCTAAAGCTTGTATGTTAATCACTCATTTAATAAAATAAATTATATGCATAAATGTACAGACCACACAGAAAGCTGGGTTATGAGATAATAAATGATATTGTAAGATAAATATACAAGATGAATGTTAAATATTTTTGTTCAAATCTTCTTTCAAACATAATTGAACCATTCTTGATTACATTCTTTCGTTGATACACAACATAATCAATTTTAATTTAATAACAAGCATACATTTTGGCAGTATTTTTAAATATTCCTTCCAATTATTGAGCCATTCTTGATTACATTCTTTCAATGATACAATTAGTATTCAATAAATGTATTGATTAATGAATGATCTCTATATAGTAAGTGCAGGGGGACTGCACCAAACACAAACAAATACATAAGAAAGAAAAACCTACAAACAGGACACAATATACAGACACCACAAACACACCCACCAGATCAAGGGAATGGATCCAGGGGCTAGCTGTGAGCGTCCATTGGGCTGTACAGTCCCGGACCTGTAGTAGTGATGTAGACTTCACTCAATGTGAAAATCAAACTAACACTAAGGGAAGCAGCTGAAGAAGGGAATATTCCCCAAACATTCTAGTGGGAGTCATGATTGGGTGTATGCTACAAGAAAATTAGATCAGTGAGAAAGGCCCTGGTGTTGGCCTAAAACGTTTGTCTGCATTTTTCAGCATGGTTTCCCCTTGTCGGTGGTGCAGCATAAAGGGCCTGGCTTGGAAGAGTGTCTAATCATTTAGCTGTGATGAAAAACCGAGGCCCCATGTATACACTGCCATGCACATAAAACTCCTTGACAGTTGGAATTTGAAGAGAAGGTAAAAAAGCTGCTGTCTATGCAAACTTTACCTCGTAGCAAGCACACTGCATGCCCTTCTTCATCAGCCCACGTAAAATCCCATTTCATTCTCATAAATATATATTTTTAATAACATTCATGCAAACAAACACTGTATTTATATTATATCAAAATCATCTCTTATAAATATATTTCTACAATCATTCATGCAACAAACACACACAGTATTTACATTATATGAAAGATATGGTAGTTGACAAAGTTATAGATGTTTTACAAAAAACTAATGGTATAAAAAAATTAAGTAGTAGTACCAGTTAGTAATAATTAAGACATGATTTATTGCCGTTTGTAACAATTGCTGTCGTATTTGTAGAAGTATGTCTTGTATTTTCCAGGAAATGAATATTTGAAAAACATTGTGTAAAATTTCAATATTACCTCCCAACTCATTAGTCATAAATAGGCAGCAATTGTCCTTAACATCATCTGACGTAGCCAGTAGTTGTATCCGCCCGTGCTACAGTTGTCCTGCTCGTACTTGGCATTCTAACACAACAACATCAATAAATATATCATTGTATTTCAAAATAATAATCCTGTTCAGTGTAAAAATTTAAAGAGAACTTGTTTTTATCTGATTTAAATAACAATACCTACTTTTAAATTTAAATCTGTTGTATATATTCAGCAATATCAAAAACATAAAAAAAACAATAGAACAAATATGGATTATTGTTAAATACATAATATTGCACATTTATAATGTGATCATACTTAGATTGATATTATTTGATTCATAACCGTTAAATCTATGTCATTATACATAAATATAAAGTATTATGTAAAAGATATGATAAAGACCCAATAGTGATAATGCTATATTATTTACTGATGTCTATTCAAATGTCATGGGGGGGGGGGGGAAATCTAATTTAGATTCAATTCTTTGTTGCATAGGAAACTACTTTTCACAATTTAACTATACAAAACAAATACTTTGATAATCAATGATAACTACTGTAAGACACTTGATAGTATTCTCATACTTTGTGATAAGATCTGTTGAATTATTGTCTTTATTACATAATTGTTTCAGTCTTCTTCCCGAGGTTTAACAAGTCCATATTCAACAGCTTTATTTAAAGCCTCCTCGCAACACTCCTTCGCTTTCTTTCTATCTGGTAAATCTATCTTTGTTACAGCCATTAAAATCTCAAACAGCGGACTCTCAACAATTTTCTCTGCTATTTCTTTGTTTGCACACATCATATTATACACTATGTAACAACCACGGTGCTGTAATTCGGCCATTTCATTGGCAACTAGAGTTTGTAAAATTTCATTCCATGGCGCAACCTGAAAATAATAATAAAATTGTTGTTTACGATTAATTCAAAATCCTAACTTGTTACAAAGATAGTTTGCCAGGTCCACAATCTTGGTATATGTGTTAAATGCTTTGCAACTATTTGAGTAATGGGTGAGGGGCTATTTAAATTCAAACTAAAGAACAAACATTAAAATGGTTTTTAAAATCAATTAAAAATTACGACCTCTATTCTCTAGAGGGTCCAATATCAAGCACATCCAGATAATAATTGTGACCTCTAGAAGGGCCACAAGAAATGGACCGTTTTTTCATACAATCGGGGGCATTCATTCATGATGTTACAGTCCTGATCAAGCTGTAACATGTAGTTCTATTTCTATTATATAAGACAAACAGTACCAACCTCAACTATCTTTTTACAGACAATTTCACTCGGGGACAAAATGGCTACTGCTCCTGCTGCTGCTTTAACCAGATTGATATCTTCTTCACCACAATATAATAACATCAGTTTTACTTTATCATTTTCTTTCTCATACAATTTTACAACCTGCACAAATAAAGTGTATATAATAAGTAAAATCTGCAACTTCACACACATGAAATTCTCACAGAATACACCCACTTCATGGCAATCAATATTTATCACGTAACATCTGGACAATTGCATAAGAAAGGGTGTTTTCTTTTCTGGAACACCTGATATCATTTCTCAATTATTTGGGAAAATCACAGTTATTAATCACTGTTTCAAAGCAAAAACATAGTACAGAAACTGACTGAGGTTTAGTGTCCCATTAATGACATTAATGAGGCCAGTCAGAGACTAACATGTTATTAAAAATTATTTCTCCATGTTAATCTGTGCAGTATGAGGGAGAAAATTTTGTCGAAGAATGAAATCTTTTATGTACACAAGCTATTTATACATGGTACCTTGGATTTTCATCCCATCAAACTGCATTAACATACACACTTTCCTAGTTAAACCAACCAGCAACAACTCCAAAATTCCTTCTTGGCCCATGGTGGCCTTCAAAATTGGCACAAAAGGAAATATTTATATGACATGCACGGTTATTAATCACCATGGATCTTCAAATTTGGATTTTTGACTGTTTTATGCAACTATATTTAGCATAATCTTGTAGTTTTGGTCATTATATGAGCTGTATTTATGGTTTAACTGGCAGCGATATTGCAATTCCAAAATTGGCCATGTTTCAAAAAGCACATCAACCTTATATGCATTGAAAGTGGTGCAAAAAATGACAAATTTTTATTCCCCTAATCAACACAAACCCATAGTTCAGGGGGGAAATGCCTGGGGTAAAAAAATTTTTTTTTCATACTTGGGCGTTATGGAAAATCTGTAATGTCTGGTACATATTGACTTTTCTGATGCAGTTTTCCTGCTTGTTTATTAGACAAGCAAATGTTAAGCAGTACTTACCTTTTCATTCATGACCATATTACACATACATTCTGTTGCAGCTACTTTTAACTTTTCGTGATCTTCAAACATGTACTGTTCTATTGCTACAATACCATCTTCTGTTACAATACGATTCCTGAAATCATCATTATAAAAATATATAATCAATTAACAGATCATTACATTCGCTGTGTTTTAGAATTTATTTTTTGTGTTTCTAATTGTTTGTGGTGTGGTCATCCAGTACTTTCTATTACAATTCCATTGTTCGTTGTTCAAGTCTAATTCAAATCAAAACAATAAAGAGAGAGAGAGAGAAATAGGGTTTAACGTCCACTCGACACAAACTAGGTCATTTCGGGACTAACATATGGTTTTAATTTTATTTTAATAATTCGCTTGCGCGTAGGGGTCTTTAGCAGTGGGAGGAAACCGGAGGACCCGGAGAAAACCCACGAGGTTGGACAGGCGACCCTACTCCTTGCCACGTACAACCGGGGATTCGAAACCACGCCAGTCGACTCAATGACAGACTTTATGATACAGCGCGTGCACGCTAACCATTCAGCCATCCAACCCCCCCAAAACAATAAAACAACAATAAAATTAGTGTAGTAACAAACAGGAACCTACCTGACTGAATCAGAAACAGAAGCCAGATTTGTTAAAGCTAAAAGTGCTTCAAAATTCTGTAAACTTGATCTTTCAACATGTAATAAATGTATCATTGGTCGTACTACTTCATACATCTAAAGAAAAAAATGGTAATAACAAAAATTTATTATGGTAAATCATGTTTAAATTACAGAGATAAAACAAAATAAGATTTCATTATCATGCAACACAGATGCTACTTAATGAAAAAAGTACAATAAAAATCTGCTATACTTGTTTTTGTAAATGAGAAATTAATAATGTTTACAATAGCTGTTTTCAAAAAGATGGTAGAAGTCAGGTTGCAAATTTGCAGAACATTCAGGAAAATTAAAGGTACAACTACATCTGTTTTCAGAGTTGTCCTCAAGCAATGTGAATATCGATAATACTGGTTAGCCATATTGACTTCTATACACCTTTGAGATAACCAGATGTAAAGTGAAATGTGATAATGGCCAGATTCCTGAAATTCACCATGTGCTATACTAATTATAAATTTTCTAAATCAGACTTACTCGTTGTCCTGGAAAGGCAACCTGTGGATCCATGGTTACCGCTACTTTAGCCAAAGCGTGGGCAGCTAGAACTTTACCGACATCAGTATTATTTTCTAATGCTAACTGTAATAAACTCTGTAAAAATAACAAGTTAACACAAATTACATACCAATACACTGAACAATGCTTCAAGAGTATTAAGGACCCAGAGAGAGAGAGAGAGAAAGAGAGAGAGATTAACATCCACTTGACACAAACTAGGTCATTTCAAGACTAACATATGGTTCAATTTTATTTCAATTAATCGCTTGCATGTAGGGGTCTTTAGCAGTGGGAGGACCCAGAGAAAACCCACAAGGTTGGACAGGAGACCCTATTCCTTGTCATGTACAACCGGGGAATCGAATCCATGCCAGATGACTCAATGGTAGACCTTATGATACAACGTGCACATGCTAATCATTTGGCCATCTTACTCCAACTACACAGTGCATCTCCCTATATTCAGATATATGAGCCCTGTTGGATATCTATCACATTTTTCTAAATTCAACTTAATTAAGATGAAAAGATATGTTTTCATATATGTATGTGTTACCTTAGCACCACCTTGTTGAACAATTAATCCTCGTAATTTTTCTTCTGTAGCTAAAGCCATGTAAACTCTAAAAGTGAAAAAACATAAATGATATAAACATACAATAAGTTGTTAATCTGCTTTTAATCAAGTCAATATAGTTTTATAGAAATGTGTATCCGACCCAAGTTGTTACATTTAGTGGTAAATTTAATCATGTCCTAAAATTTGAAATCATATACGTTTGCTCAACGATAATGCTTAATTAAGACAATTTGAGATCTATTACTATAGTTAACATAGATCTATAATGCCATCAGTGTTAACAATAAACATGTAGCGATTAATAACCATTTTAAAAACAATTTTAGCCAATTGGCGTTATCCCTTTCATACAGAAATTAATTGGAGTGTGATATCTATGTGATACACATACAACGAACACAGAAATATTTATGTGTAATTTCCAAATTTAGGTTAACATTTGCTACTGGACCCACAATTGCTTAATCTTGCCCTGATCATAGCAAGCCAAACACTGAAAGCCAACATGCTCCCGAATGCGGGGCAGTAACTAAGAAGTAACCAAAGAAAAACCAAGAAGAGCAATAAGTAACCTGCTATGCATGGATATAGATATCAGAATATTTTTTTTCTTACCTACACAATAGTTCTCGACTATTTTTACTGTCTGTTTTAGCTAAAGCTACTAGAGCATTAACTAGACCACATTCAGCTAGCTTGTGTATTCTAGCCGATAAATATTTCTGGGCATCCTGTAATCAATTAAACAAAAAATACATTTAAACCATGTCTATCAATGGCTGAATCAGGAAATACACCAAATTACAATAGGTAATTGTTAAAATGGTACCATAGTAAAGTATACAAAGATGCATTTATTTTGTAATCCTATTTTTAGCCATGTGTTAATGTATTATTGATCATATTGGACCAATGACTAAGTGCATACTAGTTACTAATTTCACCCTGCTCACATCACCGATAGTTGCTCCATTATCTCCTAATTTTAATCGAAAATGTTAAATAATATCACAAACCTTAGGATGATCCTCTGGTACATGTTGTTTAGCAAATTTAGCCATTTCTATTAATTCTGGCATCACATCTTGTTTATCATAACTATTAGTTAAATTAACTAAAATGGTTACAGAAGCATATACACTGTTTTTATCAATACGCTGAAATAAAAACAAAGAAAATCGTTTAAACATTTTATTCCATGAATTGGGCAATATCTATGAGGAGTTTGCTTGTTAATTCAAATGTAATACATGACATGTTTGCATTTCCGGGTGGAATTTATGGTTAAGTATGAAGAAAAGTCATTACAAAAGTACATATATCAACAAGCAAACAAAACTGATTGATAACATTTTGGAATTCAATACCCTCAAACATTGACAAGGAAGTATATGTTGAGTATATGCAACAAACAATTATTTTTATATCCTCACCAATCACTATGATTACTCACAAATGATTACTCTACCCAAACTACCTGTGTTATTAAGGCTGGGGGGAACTATGACAAACTCAACAGAAAGTCAGTCAATCTGGAACAGGTAGAGAAAGTCAGCAAACCACATTAAGGCATCCACAAGACTAAAGAATTAGGCATTTTCAAAATACAGCATCAACATAAAAAAAACATACATGCTGATAATAAGATAAATCACCTTAGCCAAATCAAACAATGCCTCTATTGCTGGTGTATCTTCTATTAATTCTTCCTTTACTTCGGCATCAAGAGATAAATATGCCATTCCTTCTGCTGCCCATTTGCGCATATCATCTGCAGCATTCTTTAAAAAGCTACAAGATAATTGTTCAAATTAGATATATGTTAAACTCTTATAGAATTATTTGACACATAATGAAAACTATTAGTTGTGGATCTAAAACTTCTATATTTATTACTTAGACTGTAATCATCAGGGAAGATCTTCTACAATGCCAATGAAAGAATAATTTGATATGCAAAATACAAGTGCTCGAAATGATGGTGTATCCTTCTAAACTATCAGTAAACCTTTTTTTATCTTTTATTCAAGACTTACTGAAATACACCATGTCTTAATAAAGATAAATAGTTCAATATTATAAAGAAGACAATAAACTTACTTTCTGCAAACTTTAGCCAATGTAAGTGTAGAACCGTCTGCCATAGGTTTAGCACTGGCATCAGTACCCCCAAAACTTCCTAGTTTACATAAACCCTGGAATAATAATAATAATATTCAATTATCAACTACATTCATTCTCTTGAATGTTGATACATAGAATAAAACATTAATCCTCTTTCACAAAAATATATAGGTACCAACAAGAAAAAAAAAAGGTTTAAAAATCATGTTAACTGGTTTTTTTTTTTAGACTAATATAATTTCTACTGCTAAGGTTATGTGCTAATAGTAATGGCGGGACTTCTGCTTTGACAGCTGGGATTCTCTGCCTGCACTCCTAATTCTGACAAATTTCATTAATTTTTTGTCTTTTATCCAATTAAACTCAAGAAAAAAATATAGAAATACATTACCACTAAAGCTCTGACTCTAGTTTCATCTTCCCCATGTTGATATAGTTTCTTTAATACAGGTACAGCTTCCTTTAATATACCTGTACAACGATTCTTCTTTGATGCTGAATGTACAATAGCTTCTACAGCAATCCTCTATAAATATAATATACATGCAAGTATTAACTGTTAACAATATGTGATTCAGTCAAATGAAATAATATAACTTAACAACCACAAAGCAGACAAGTTCACACATTTAGGATCCATGTCCACTAAGAGCAACAACTTGAGAGATAACACTACAATTCCACAACATCATTACACGAAAAATAGCAACCCACACAGAAAACAATGTTATGGAACTTCACAATTTGGATATTTTGGTTAATCAAGTCAAGAATCATTCTCTAGAAATAATTAATTAGCAAAATAATACTTTATTGCAGTTCTAGTTTATACTCCTTATCCAGGTGAACCTTATGAGATTCAAAACAACAATGAATAGTGATTGACTAATCCATCGTGCTGATAACACAACAAAAAAACACATTAAATCTCATTAAACATAACTGAAAATATATTTTTCTAAAATTAAAATTACTTTCCCCTGTACTATGATCTTACCTGATGTAAAGCAGTTTCACTATTAGCCAGAGCAAACATAAGTTGTACCACACCTTCTGTTCCTAATATCATATTACCTACTTCATACGGACCCTAAAATATAACATATATATCTCATAGAGTTCAATAAATATACACACAGGTTAATCAATGTGCAGTAGAAAATATTTGCATTATCTTTCAGACAGATTATGGTGATAAATGTATATGCTTTTAATTATATGATGGAACTACATTTAACACAGTTGTTTCTACCAGAAATAAGACTTGCATGACTTCATAGACAGCATTTTATAGTAAAAAAACTACAAGTATTCTGCCTTTAATTGACAATAACTCAGAAACTAACTCCTACCTGAAGTAAGGTTGAAATGGCTTCTATAGCCTCTACTTTAGATTCTAATATTTCATCAGTAAATAAATCTCTGTAATAAATATAACATTGTTAATTAATTAGCTGTCCTTCTCCATCCAAAAAATAACTTACAAGTTTGAGAAAAAAAAAATACAATGTACTTGGAAAGAAAAATCTTCAGCTCAAACAACTCAATCTATTATTACGTGTGACTTATTAGATGCACATTGCAGTCTAACACTTAAACAACACACAGAAGATAAAAGTACATGATTACCATGTCTGGAAATAGGGCACTTGTCACCAACATTCACAGGCAGAATCGTTCTGGTGCCTATTGTTTTGTCATGCACAGATTTGTATTTTTACAGTGTTTTTCCTAATACTTTTACATTTTTAATACATTTTTGGTACAAAGTTTTAATTGTAAGGGACTAGTTCAATAGTGTTCAACATTTTGTCAGGATCAACTGAAAATCATTATTACAGCATAGACAAGCAAAGAAAATCTCAAAGTAAATAAAACTGTTAGCTACTTGAGTTCACAGAATCAGTGTTTCAGTACTAAATTAAAATGAATCAAAGCAGATAGCAGTGTAGTGGTGCTGAAAGTGCAATTAGAATCTTAAGATATGATCTTCTGATTAATGGGCAGAACTTACTTGAAATATTCACTACATTTTTCTTTAAATATTTCTCTTTCTTTATCACTCATGGTATCATCCCAGACTTTAGATAGACAAACTGAAGCATGCATTCTACTGTGTTCTGTTACAGGTATTGTATTATGTACTTTTAAAGTACCTGCTACTGTTAATAACCCCTCAATACCTATAATAATAACATATAATAACTATTAATAATCCCTAAATACTGCACAAAATCCAAAATCAGTACGTCACTTAATGGGACCTATATCCTTATATATTATACAGCAGTTCGAATCATTAATATATCGTTTTAAATATAATTTTCATCGGTCTTTTCTGTTGATTGTTTACAAGAAATGTGAAGAGACAGGGTATTATGACAATAGATTGGGCAATATAACAAGGTCCACTCAACACACATAGATTATTTTGAGACTAACATATTGTGTATCTTTATTTAAATAGTTCACCTAAAAGACCTCATATGTTTCAGAATATTTAGTGGACTTTGAAATAAGAATTCAACTGACCCAGTTGTAACCGGTGTCATGCAATAAACATTAAATACGCATACATACACAAACACTTTGTACCATTTAACATTTATTGTGAAACTTTGTACAGTTCATAATTTATGCTTTACAATATTTCTTCAAAATATTCCAATAAAAAAACTTTATATAGATAAAAAAAAAAAATACAAACCTTCTGTAAATAAGAATTTTTTCATCCAACCAATACCATTCAGTCTATCAATATGTTTGATCATTATCTCCATAGCGGAGTCTCGACCATGTGCTGATACTTTCTTATTAACCAACATCTTGACCAACTGATAAAATATCTGATCTATATATTCCTGACTATATTCATCTAAAAAAAATCGATAAGAACTGTTTAAAAGGTAAATAGCCATTACTCCTTTACAATCACACAGAGGGTACTAAATTGACCATTCTGGATCTCCATCCCATAAAAAGTGACAACTGAGTAAAAAACCAATCTCTGATGCCAAAGCCTCGTGTTTAGCAAAAAAGAAAATAAGTTGTTTGTCGTATTTGATTATGCCTCCCTCTTATCATAAATGACAGAACTGTACTCCATGTCTCTCCATTGCAAAAGTCTATTCTCAACATTTTGGATCATGAACCTAGAACTTCTATACATATATTAAGTCTCATTAAGAACTAAGATCTAGTTAGTTAAACACTAAAATCCTTTCTGTACTTGCTAAGTGTTTGGCATGGATGGACCCAGCATTAATCCAAAATATGGATCATTGAACACAACCCACAGTTATTATTCTTAATGAAAACTACCTGGTATGAAATATGGATATGGTCCAACTCTTTCTCCTTTCTTTTTATCTTCTTTATATTTCTCAAGTTTTGTGGTGAAAAGATCAAACTCTGACCCATACACCATCAGATTCTGTAGTAATGTACAACAAGAACTGGCCAATTCGGAGCTATCCATGGCCATCAGTGTCATAATCTTATTGACTCCAATCTTCTCAATTATCTCCCTAGACTAAAATAGAAATCAAACTACAAATATGTGGATGATACCAAACTGAATAGAACAAATAAAAGCCCCCATGCAGCTTTTGAAAATATCAGTATGACTGCAGTTAGGAAGTCATACAATCCATTAAAGTAGATAGTCCATCTAATTGTATCTAATAACAGCACATAGATCATAATTACAGTTGCTCAAAAAATACCAATAAAAAATTTTGAGGTGCTGTCTAACATGGTAATGTCACCACAGTTTTCTTAATCTACGGCCCTACCAAAACTACATTTTGTGCGACTGTAATCATTATCTATCTTTATTAAATAGAAGTAGATGCCCGATCTCTTTAGGATTCTCGCATGTAAGTAGTCGTTATCAACCTAATTGGTCAGAACATACATAGTCAGTGGTCTATTTGAATAACTTCTGATAATACTTACCCTTTCCTTGCTTTCTTTACTAAGACACGCAAGAATACGTATTCCTCCTACAACAAGAGACAAATCTCTTTCTTCTAATAAAGATGTTTTAATTCTTTCTAAACCGTTATATTTACATATCATTGTAGCCGATGCACCTTCTCTTGCTAATACTATCAGATTATTAATAGCCTGCAAAATATAATTCAATATGTAAAAGATATCAAACATAAATCCTTTAAGTAACTTGTATAATTGTGTCATGTGTTATTCTCATTCAGTTACTAAATGCCACTTCAACAATTTATCAGACATATGACTGAATTGGCTGTTGAAAAATATTGATTTGAAACATCACGATCGCATGATCTGGGGTTGAGATCTGATGATGAAACACACACACACAAATACATGTATGTTGCAACAGAAATCAAAACAAGTGAGTTATCAATGAAAAAAAAAATCAATTGACGATTCAGTTTAGTACATAAAAGACTAATGAGTTCTATAATGTAAATCTCACTTCTAAATTGCACGAAAATTTCAGAAAATTTAACACACTTTTTTAAATTAGTGTTATATTTTTTAATATAAAATATTTCCCACCTTCCATAAAAATATATATACCATACCTGTTTTCTTTTATCAGGATCTTCACATTTATTATCAAAAGCCAGATTAAACATTTGAGATACTTTATTAGTCATACTATTCTGTTCTTTGACCTACAATTCAACATTAGAATTTTTATGGATTACTTTCAAATTTACAGAGGAACAATTTTCATTTTATTGACATGTAAATGCTGAACTGTGTACTTTTTGGCACATAAAAAAAGCAGAAGTTTCTGTAACATCAATCAATGTGATAATAAAATCCTTTTACTTGCTAGATTAATAGTGGTCAGAGTTTCCAGAATAGCCTATCTAGTACCAGAGTGAAAAATTTTAACTATCAGATCAAAGACTTATCAGTTACTCTTTAATCCCATGCACTTACTTTTTGTTGAACAATAGGATTTAGTCTTTTAAATATTGGCGTAATTGCTTTATTAGACGGGTCAATTTTCATCAAGAGGGCTGCATCTCTGAATGCTTCATCCACTTTATCTAAACCTTCATAAGCCTGACATCGTCTGAACAAAGCTTTCGGGTCATTTGGTGCAAATTCTAGAGCTGAAAATGAAATGTTGGATATCAATAACAACTTTGCTGGAAATGGAAACTCTTTACATGACTGGCTCTATCTAAATGAGACACACTGATTAAAGAATCAGATATTTAACATTTATATATAAAAAAAAGGGCAATTAAAGCTTACTTTAAAAGAAATAACTGTTAGACTTCACTGTAACCAAATTTGTAAGACAAATAGGGCCTATGCGGGAAAATCAAAAACTGACAATACCTTTGGTAGCATCTTCCACAGCCAATTCAAAACCTCCCTTCTTGAGATGTACAGCAGCTCTGTTTTTATAGATGACATTCTTTTCTGTGTCTTTAATATTAGATAAGTCTAAGGCTTGTGTATAGCAGGCTAAGGCTTTGTCATAGTCACCAGCCTTAAAATACTTATTGCCTTCCTCTTTTAATACTGTTGAATCTCCCATCTATAAATAATTGACATTATTTGTTTTATTCATTCATAATAAGTTGGCTTATTGTTTTATACAGATAGCCCAGGCGACTACAGCATAAAATCAATGTCTGTTTTTCTGACATGAATTTATAATAATCTAACACTATTTTCAAGTGAAATTTTGAGATTCAAAAACATAAATGAAATGATGGCAACAAAAAAAGATACTGTGAAAAATTGGAGGTTAGGACTAAAAAATATTCGTAGAACAGAGGTTTCGGGTTGAGTGTTACTTTCATTAATTTCATATGGCTTGTTATAATACGAACGGACAGGTCTGGCCACAGGATTTCGTCTGTTAAAGGAGCTATGTCTCTAACTCAATATTTTCCATAATATTTAAAATGAAAAACACGAATTAGAATTCATCAATTTCAATCCATATTAATGTTGTTATCTTGCCTTGAAACTCAGATCCTAATATCCAATATTTAAGACACAATTAACATTTTATAATCAATACACGAGTTGTGTACCCTACATGGTTTTGGGTGCCATTTTGTAATGAACAAATAAAAACATATCCTACAACACAATGTGGAAGCAAACTGCAAAATAATTTAAAAAACGTGTAGAATGCACTAAGCAGGCGTAAACGACTGCCGTTCAATTTGAACTCTTCACAATCACATATTTCAACAAACATAATTGATTAGAAATTACAATATATTTTTTCAAAAATTGAATATAAATCACTTTACATACATTCATATTACATTAATAATAATATGTGCTTTTAGAACCATTATCATCTACATGTACATGTATTTCAAGGTTTCAAAAAATAGAGCTGTACACCCTTTAAAGTCTCTGTTAAATCAATACCATCTAAAGTCTTCGACATTGAAAACACAAATTATTTGTCAATTTATATCAACAATGATGTTATGAACTTACTTGGAAAAGATGGGCTTCTGATATCCAATATTTAAGACAAAATAAATCTTTTACCATTGGTACACGAATAATGCTTTTCAGTGCCATTTGTAACAAACAAGGAACTCGAAGAACGAGGTTAGACATAATATTATTCCACCAGTCATGTCAAACGGTGACGTCATATTCTTATCTTGAGAGATTGCACAATAAATACTATCAGTGTACACTTCAATAACCAGACGCTAGAGATTGCCATCAACTGAGACTTCTGGTGTATTTTGCCGAACATAAATGATTTGAAATAATTGAAATTTGAGTAAAAACGGAAAGGATTGATATTTGAAAGGTAAATCAGATTAAATGCATTATAATATGCGTCGAGACCCATTTGTGTCAATTTCTAGGTCCCAAATATTAGCGATTTACCTACTTTTAGAGAAGGAACTAGTCTAATAAAAAAAAAATAATAATAATCAACACAAGTCCTAGCCTAACTTCTAAGCTTACTATGCCTTGATCTACCGTCCGTACCGGGTACTTAACTTTTATCCTTGGATTTGATTTAATTATGTTGACATTTTTGTCAACTTTCTATTTCCCAACTAGATCTAGGTGTTGGATCTTACCATTTTTATTCACGTCTGGTGTATGATAACTACAAATCAGTAAGAAATGTCACCAAATAAAACATTTACCTTGCTTTCAGCCTTTGGTCTTCTAAACTCTGCAAATTATCAGGAATATTCCAACTTTTAATCGCATGGCAATATAAAGCGGAAGTATATACGTTTCTTAACTTCTAGAACTGCTTTCTGGAGAGTTCTAGAAGAAATGTTTTGGCAAACGGTCAACTTCTAGAATCTGTTTATTTCTAAAGGGCGGCGAACTGTTTATGTCAGCTCTATAACTGAAGTATCAAATATTTGTCAACGAAATTTATCTCGGAATGTGCTAATTTGGTCCACATGGGGCTTTACAAAGGGAGATAATTTTGTAAACACATGCCCATATAAGGTCATATGGAAGGAAGTCAGGGCTAGGATCAAATTTCAAACAGCTGTTTTCTGTTGACAATAATCTGAATTAAAAAGAATCAAGATTTAATCAGGGAATTAGATTATAATCTGCTGCTTAAATGATCATCAATTATAACCAACTGGGCCACAGTGGACTTTATCCTTACATCTGTACCAGATTATTGAAAATTTCATCAATTTGATGGCAGCATAAATTGTTTATTAAATTTGATAGACCAGGGATTTGATTTTATATATTTGACACTAGAGAATATATTTTTATTACAGATGATTTGAAAATTACTATGATATGTAGAAGTGTGTTTGAAAAAGAAATTATTTTTTAGTATTCGAGTCTCGAACCAATTGTCATTCATTTATTAAGAACATTTTCCATTATTTAAAGGAATAAGCACATCCACACTGCCAATAGTTATTTTTCAGTAAATTGAAGGTGAGAGGGTGAGGTGTGTTTAGCTCTCCTTGACCTAACCACCCCACCTAATAAACCTGTGCTAAAAACCTTTGTATATTAAAACACAAGAGTTTAAATATTTTTTTTCAAAATAGGTTTATTATCAATTCATGCACACACAGTGCAGACTAAAAATCATCATAGCAGTAGTGTTTTTCTTCAGAAAAGCTATAAGTATCTGTTTACCAGATAAAAGGCCTCTTAGTTCTTGTAAATTTAATTACATAGCTATATGAATATCTAATTCACAAATATTCAAAGTTTATAAAGATAAATGTCTTACAAACACATAAGCTTATAAATCACAAATATAAGCTTAAATTTCAGCAGACTAGCCTGCCATATATTGAAATTCAAATCATCACCAATTAAATTTAAAAAATCTAGTACCACCGTAATATAATTATGAGATAACAAAGCAAATTGCTTACAATTTTGTATAAAATTTCATAGTTATCTACAAAGAAGCCTATAGTGCCTACTGATTAAATTTACCTATCCATCCATTGTTGGCTGACAGTTTATTCTTCAATACAGCCCAAATGCACAATTTTAGTATTAACTATTCAATTTATATAAAGCAGAAAGAACAAGCCAACAGTGAGGCTGATGTCCCCCGCCGAAATAGGAAAATAATTAGAGAGTTATTGTGTTCCAAAGTCTCAGCAAATCAAATTGCTTATCGCTCTGCTTAATCTGAGCAGAAAATGCTCATTATCGATCTTAGTCAAGGTATTACTGTAATGAAACTATACACCAAGTTTCATCACTCTCACTTAATTAGAACTAAAGTTATAGTGTCCCAAAGCATCAACCAATCAAATTGTTTATCTCTGCTTACCCTAAGCGGAACGGACAGACAAACAGACAGACGGACGAACCCATTTTAATAGTTCCCTGCTTTCTTCGAAAGGCGGGGGACAATAAGCATGAACATTTACTCAATTCGAAGATCAACCAATCAAATTGTTTATCTCTGCTTACCATAAGCGGAACGGACAGACAGACAAACAGACAGACGGACGAACACATTTTAATAGTTCCCTGCTTTCTTCGAAAGGCGGGGGACAATCAAAGTAGGAGAGTTATTGTTTTCCAAAGTCTCGACCAATCAAATTGCGTATCGCTCTGCTTACCCTGAGCAGAAAATGCTCATTATCAAACTTAGTCAAGGTATTACTGTAATGAAACTATACACCAAGTTTCATCAATCTCACTTAATTAGAACTAAAGTTATCGTGTCCCAAAGCATCAACCAATCAAATTGCTTATCTCTGCTTACCCTAAGCTGAAAATGCTCATCTTCGAACTCCATCAAGGCATTGACCTAATCAACACATACACCAAGTTTGAACATTCTAGCTCAATTAGGAAGAGAGTTATCGTGCCCCAAAGTATCAACCAATCAAATTGCTTATCTCTGCTTACCCTAAGCGGAAAATGCTCATCTTCGAACTCCATCAAGGCATTGACCTAATAAACACATACACCAAGTTTGAACATTCTAGCTCAATTAAAAGTTATCGTGTCCCAAAGCATCAACCAATCAAATTGCTTATCTCTGCTTACCCTAAGCGGAAAATGCTCATCTTCGAACTCCATCAAAGCATTGACCTAATCAACACATACACCAAGTTTGAACATTCTAGCCCAATTAGGAAGAGAGTTATCGTGTCCCAAAGCATCAACCAATCAAATTGCTTATCTCTGCTTACCCTAAGTGGAAAATGCTCATCTTCGAACTCCATCAAGGCATTGACCTAATAAACACATACACCAAGTTTGAACATTCTAGCTCAATTAGGAAGAGAGTTATTGTGTCCCAAAAAGTGTGACGGACAGACAGACGGACAGACAGAAGGACAGACAGACGGACAGACAGACAGACAGACAGACAGACAGACGGACGAACCCATTTTAATAGTCCCCTGCTTTCTTCGAAAGGCGGGGGACAAAAACAATATGTACATGTACAATGGATAGGCAATTAAATGATTACAATGTAGATAATATGTATTTTAATGTTATAAATACATAAACATATGAGTGTGAGAATAACACATGGATTTCAAATATGGTTTTGTATATAGGCTATAAATGGAATGGCATGTTATACAATTGTCCTAAAATGTCATTTGTAAGTGATATTATGAGACAATCCCCATTTTAGTATTCTAATACAACCTATCAATACTTTACTTTTTAATTACATTAAAGCATTCATACAATTAATACATAGATAAAAGCAGCTAAAAAAAGAAAAAAAAATATTAAAGAAAATTATGACCAGCAATTCACAGGGGTACAAAATGCTTTGATCGATCGGTTACCATATACATTGTGTAAATAGTTATAAATACCCAATTCAGTTTACTATTGTCAAATCATTAATAATAATTTATATATAAAGACACACATAGATTCTGGAGTTAAGTAAGTCGTAAGTGTACAAAGAATTATTTGAAAAATCTTTCATTTTAAATACTTTGTTTATAACTTTAAACATAGAAACATTTGACAACATGTATCAGCATGTAAAATCTTAATAAATGGTTATAAAATACAATAAAATGGGAGATATCAAGAAAAGATTTTTATCAATGTAATTTATAACTATTAAGGCTGAGATTATGATCGTTGTGATTGTAATTAATACTGTTTGCTAAACAAATCATTATTTACATCATTAAATCTTCAAATTTCAGTGTTAAAAGTTCTGCATGTCATGTCACAAAGTACCACTATATTAAAAGATTTTGATCAATAACTGAAAGGAGACGGTCCACCGATTTCTACATTCTAACAATAGATAATGACAGTTGCTCAAATCAACTTTTAAAAGAATTCTAAGTTTATTTAACCACAAGCCACAAATAATGCAATCATTATCTCAAAGCACATTATGAGTCAATTTGATCGATTCACTCAAATTACATATAGTTATTTGTCAGTATGGGGACTCCATTTAGAATGATTTGGTGGCATCGAAGATGTGTCTAAAATTGTTTAAACATTGATTTTTGTAGCTGCTGATAGAATAAAGAAATAGATGCACCGTCTTTAAAGTCCTTAAACATATTGTGGTAATCAAATGCACTGAAGTAAATTATAAGACACTGTAAATATAACTTGCATATAATATACATGTATGTTGTACTAAATTTAATATCTCCTGTAATAATTTTATAACCGAGTGGGGCTTAAGTAAAACAATCAGATCGATGTAACTATTTTCCCAAGAATATTTATCTCATGACATTGTAGACATCACATGATATTACATCATCCCATATGTAACATAATACAATGAACTAAGGTATAACACTAATTTCTTATGTGCAGTTGTGCATTATATACAACGTGAAGAAAGCTTCAATGAGACACAGATAAGAATCTATTTATAACAGTGAAATATAATATTTAAACAGAAATAAATCATAAACTACTACCCCATTTATATATAACTGCCATAACTAATAAATATGCAGACTATACAATTTCTAATTTAACTGTAGTATAAACACTAAAATATACAATTTCAATAATAATTCTAGTTTAATTACTGAAATATACAATTTCTAATATAAACACCAAAATATACAATTTATAATATAATTCTTTAAACACCAAACCAAAACCTAACAGTACAGTTTGGTAATTTAAAATCTAACAACATGTAAACATAAGATAATATAGGATTATTTGTTCATTTTACTTTATATTTTGATTACATAGGCTTATTATAGAATAATAAAAAAATGTGCCAGCAATTGGATTGGAGTGATGCCATATCTATTGGGCCTGACAGTGAAGAACACATCTTAGTCATTTAGTTTGAGGTTACTTGAACACACTATTAGACACCTATATTACTTTATATATAATTAAATAAGTAATTAAGCTACTTTATGGCACAAGTCACTTGAAAAAATTTAATATTTATGTTACCTTATAACAGTAAATTATAATTTGGCACAACCATACATATTGGTATCATAAATATAATATTTTAACATTAGGTTTTTGTTCGAAGCATTTAAATATTCTTTATCAATTGAAATGATACTGACATTGTTTCTATGTCTAAACACCATATTATTACCCTATTGTTAACTGCATAAGAAATCTAGGGTTTATGTTTAAGATTGGATACTGCTATGACATAAAAAAAAGAAAAGGATAATATCAGGTTTAACACTAGTCTATAAATAAACGAGAATTTCCCGTTATAAATTGATGTATGACTAGAAAAAATATAGCGATATGAAATATATAATGATAAAATTTTATAATACCTTGGACATGTAAATATAATAATAAAAAACCTAAACGCAAAGAAAACCACAGATCCCTCATTGTATAATAAAACAAAAATATAACAAAAAAAAGTGAAAATATCAGGCAATTACAATAACGATGGTTTCCAACAACAGGAAATTTATAATAAATATTGCATTATATGACACTTTGTTCAGTACATTTCACAGTAACTGTAGGTTATAACTCATCTTTCTGGAACAAAAAAATAAAAGAAGGCACTGAATTGTAATTTATTTATAATTCTCTGTAACCTTCAAGTTGGTTAAAAAAAATTGAAACTTGATTAGAAAATACAATAAACAAAAATATACACCTCAATGGTCTGGAGAGTAACATTAAGAATCATTAAACAATCTCACTATTGTAATATAGCATAATGTTTTATTTGTTGATTACAAGTACATCGTTTTAAAGGATATGAGATACATGTAGCTATCATAGACCATCTCAAAATATTTACTTTATTTTAAGTATGCAAAATGGAACAAACTAAGGAAAAAGAACATTCAAAAATCCAAAAATGGAGCCGTTCTATCTCAATCCGCACCTTCATCATAGCACAAATTTTTTACAATTTTAGTCTTCTAAAATGCTTTCCTCAGACCCATTTCAAAACAAATTTATATAATTTGTATTTAAATAAAGCTCCAGTTCATTTGGTACAATACAGTGGTTGCTGAGATAAATGAAATAACACCAAAAAACAGATGAAAATCAAATCCAACCAATTTGGCCAATATTAGACTCATAATATTTTACAATCAGGAAGTGTAATTAGATACCAACACTATTGGTATACTCAAGGTAAATTTGTTTGATGTTAAAAAGTAACTAAACAAAATTGTTCTTACCCGTCTTCTTCTATTATTACGAACAAATTCTATAATAGTTTCAGCATCCTGACTATCAATATCCCTACCACTAGGATGCTGTAATATATAGAATACAAAGACATCAGATAAAAATTATAAGTCATACATACAAGTACAATAATCCTTTCTATTTTAGATAGTAGTTTAACAATTCTATAGAATTTGAATACCAGAATGACAATAATTATTGACAAGTCTAGTCTACAATTCTATAAGATTTGAAGTGACAACAGGAAAACTGACAAGATTAGTAAACAATGCTATATAAGGAAACAGATAGGTTTTTAGTTATAAATAAAGTCAAACAATCCTCCAGATTCTAGATACTAACTATTCGGTAAATCCAAGAACCCAATTTTAAGATACAAGTCCAGCAATTAGATAAGTTTAAAGATAGATGTTATTACCTGTTGTTGGTTATTTGTTGAACCTTTATAAAATCTAACAGTAGGATAACCTGTTATACTAGCTTCATTACATAGATGTTGATATTGTTGACAATCAACTTTACCAGCTCTAGCTATACCATCCAAACTCTGTTGATATAAACAAATTACAACATTCATGAAGATACTTTCAGCCTGAATTTTGTGATACAAGCTGATTCCAATGACCTCTTTTGCAAGAATCAATTATTGTCACTATTTTGGGATCAAATCAGTATTAATTTAAAAACAGGGAAGTCCAGAATTTACTGGAAAAAGTGTTTTTATTCAAGGACAAAATAGCTGACCACATGTGTCTACATGTACCACACCCATTAATTTATTATCTTTTCAAGACCATAAAAGCCAATTTTGATGAAACAAGACAACAGTGAGGCTGATGTCCCCTGCCGAAATCCCAAAAATAAATAGCTGACACATATTAATAAATTGCACATTTATCTTTTTCAAACTGATTATCAACTATACACTAAGTTTCATTACTCTCCATCAGTTAGAATCAAAGTTATCTTGTCCTAAAGCATCGACTAATGAAATTGTTTAGTTCTGCCTGCTTAGCCTTAGTGGAAAATGTTAATCATTGAACCCAGAAAAGACATTCATCTAATGAATGCCTAAACCGAGTTTGAACATTCTACCTCAATTAGAAGAAGAGTTATTGTGTTCCAAAGTCTCAACCAATCAAATTGCTTATCACTCAGCTTACCCTGAGCAGAAAATGCTAATTATCAAACTTAGTCAAAGTACTGATGTAATTAAACTAAACACCAAGTTTCATCACTCTTACTTAATTAGAACTAAAGTTACCGTGTCCCAAAGCATCAACCAATCAAATTGCTTATCTCTGCTTACCCCAAGCAGAAAATTCTCATCTTCGAACTCCATCAAGGCATTGACCTAAGAAACACCTACACCAAGTTTGAACATTCTACCTCAATTAGAAGGATAGTTAACTTGTCCCCAAAAGGTGGGGGACAACAAGGGTGGGTTTATAAGACTCACAGTGTGGAGCAACAACTTACTTTCTGAAAATCTGAAGCAACAACTTTAACTATTTTAAAACCTAAAAAATCTGTTTGCTAAATTAATGAATCTATAAATAACATTTACCTCTGCTACTTTTTCAAACTCTGGTTTAAATGTTTGACAATGTCCACACCATGGTGCATAAAAATCTACAATCCACGGTTCAGCACTCTTTAATATTCTTTCATAGAAGCTATTTCTAGAAAGGGTTGCTACTTTAGAAGGCAAATATTCATACACCCATGCCCTAAGTGATGTGGCATCTCTATGCCAACCATTATACATACTGAAATACAATGATGCAAAAAGTTAACCCAACCACAATCGATCAGACCCATCCAATTCCAATTTTAGTTCTTTAGGTTTATAAGTAAATTGTCACCTGAGTCTTGCAAACTATGTTTTGTTTAAAATATCAAAACTTTTAATTCTTAAATCATCTTTTTTCAAACGAAATAGGAAGCAAAATTTTAAACAAATACCGGTATTCCTGGAGAATAAAATTTAAATTGGTGCGGCGTCATGTAAGACTACTGAGTGAGCAGACACACTTTCTTTGTCAGTCATGACAAGCAGAAACTTTGAAAGTTCTTCTCAGCTCAAGCCAAGAACCTTGAACACTGTTCTTACAGTAGGGAGTCACAGTGGCTCAGTGAGTATAGCTTAGGCTCACTGACCAGAAATATCACATAGCCGTTGGATTTTATTTATGAATTCATGTGGTAATGTTTCACCTTTATTTTAATGGGAATTGGTTTATTATATGTTTAGCTATGTGCAGTACAAATCGGGGTTAGTGTAATTGGAAATTAATGGAGTTATAGGCCAGTAACTTTTTTGTTTTGTCATCAAATAGTTACAAAACTTGTTTAAAAGAAGTCCTTAGAACAATCCACTACTGTGGCTGGAGCAAGACGGAAGACATCAGCAGTGGAACCATTTCTAACTGCATGGTCGATGTCCTTTTTTATTAGCCCTGTTTGGTAGTTCTTACAGCAATACTACCACAGCTACTTCATTTCCTGATCTGATTTCTTAATATTTGTATAACCAAAGTTTGCACTACCAACAATTAATTAAGGTGTTACACATAATAAATTTAATACTTATTAATGTATTCAAGGTTAATGTATTCCAGAAAACAACTTTTTTTTTTACTTACTGAAACTTGGCAGTATTCGTGGTTCCCATAGGAAAAAGTCTCATTGTAGGATATGAATTGATACTTTCTTGTCTACATACATCACTATTTTCTTGACAGTCAACTTCTGCTACATGCACACCCTTTGTTGATTTCAACATCTATACACCACAAATATAAAAATATATCTACAATCTATAATTATCTTCAAGACCTATATAAGTGATAAAGGTTATTCTTCTGATGAACATAAACCCTGTGTATACATTTCACGTCAACTGGATGATAACTTTAGTTTCTTAGAGCATCCCCAAGATTTTTCTAAAAGATCAAGGGCAATAACTCTGAAACAATTGGCAGAAATTGTTGAAAGTCAATAGGCAATGACTACAGGATAACGGATGAAAAACAAATGTAATATGGTGTATGTTGAGCTGTAGCGTTTTACTGTCATCGGTATAGAGAGAGAAATGGGGTTTAATGTCCACTCGACACGAACTAGGTCATTTCGAGACTAACATATGATTCAATTTTATTTCAATAATTCGCTTGCGCGTGTAGGTCTTTAGCAGTGACAGGAAACCGGAGGACCCGGAGAAAACCCACAAGGTTAGACAGGCGACCCTATTCCTTGTCACGTACAGCCAGGGAATCAAAACCATGCCAGTTGACTCAATGACAGACCTTATGATACAATGTGCACGCGCTAACCATTTGGCCATCCAACCACCCCACCCGTCATCGGTACACAATCTAATAATATCAATATCTGCCCCTTAAGCCAGAAAGGGAAACATGACGGAACATTTTAGATTACAAAGTGGATTTAAAAATATATATATATATTCCAGTAATAAAAATCTAAAAGTGATCTTACTTTTGCTAATCTTCTCCATTCAGGTGCTAGCTGCATACATGGACCACACCATGGTGCATAAAAATCAACTAACCAGATTTCATCTGACTGTTTATTTTTAACAAGTCTATTAAATGATTCCTTGTTTAATATTATGACAGGTGGATTCATTGTATCCTAAATAAATATATACAAGAAGAATACATTAAATTTATGCAACAAATTCTGATTTAAATTATAATAAGTAATTGAATTTATTCATAATAAACACAATTGTTTTACTGGTTTGTGAACACGGCACAAAAATGGACAATTGATAAATCATTAAAACAGACTATGTATCCTAAATAAAGATTTTATCAATTCAAGTTTTGCTAATTATCAAATAAATATCAATATTTATCATAGTTGCAAACAACCTATGATTCAGGATCATCAAAACAAACTGGTGGATTCACAGATCTCAACACAGATCATTCCTAATCAAAAAGTCAGTAGAACTTAAAGAAAGAAAGCTCACTAACCTGTAAAAATTCAACCATTGCTTCTGCATGATGATGACCTTTATATTGTATCGGTTTACTTTGATTATAAAATATAGTTGTTGGATATGATCGTATATTATACTAAAAAATAGAATTTGTAAATAATTAAAAACATGATACTGACATATATGCCAGTACAGCAATTTCCAGCCTCCTGCCAATCTTATTTGGTTTCTGAGACTGATTGAAAATCCAAGAATTTACATGTCAATTCAGAATATTCCCTGAATTCACTATCAAGTATCCTCAAGTACTATAAGCAGCAACACACTAAAGTAACAACAACATAGACCTTTGGCCTTATCTGAGTTTCAAACTTAGAAAGCAATAATTAGTACAGAACACTATAAAATACAATTGAAATGTTTTCTTTTTGCTTTAATGCATTACCAAAGACCATATTCCTTCTTTTGGATAATTTGATCAAAAACACACTGATTATTACTTACTGTTGAGCAGAGTTTATCATGTATTGTACAATCTACTGTACCAAAATTAACATTATCACCATAATCCCTAGCTGCTTTCTTAAACTCTGGTAACAATCTCATACATGGTGGGCACCACTGAAATATAAAGCATGTATTTTTTATTTTGGTACAGTTAAAAATTAGTCAGCAATATGACCAATTATTTAAATGAAAGACACACTTTAAAGTACTGGCAGTAGAATCGCTAGTAAGTAGTATCTACCAACTCCCAATTGTTTGTAAGACATTAATGTGACTTGAAGGTTAAAGATGTATTATTTAAAAGCAGGCTGTTCTTGCTATAATAGTTCAAAAATATATAATGAAAATTTCAATTAAATTACTTTATTCTGTGCATAGTTATGAGTGTTTAAAATTTTGACAAAATGTACCGTAGATTGTTTATTATTGTAGCACTGGTATTGGTACTTGACAATAAAGATTTAATCTCAAATATCTATTTTATCATTACAATTGTATGCCATCCAATGGCCCAGAGAGTTGATTATGGGCTTGTCATGTTAAAAAGACCTACAATAATGCATCTTCAGCTACTCAATAAATGTTAGGTTAAAGAACCAAATGTGTTCTGAAATTACTGCGACTGTGCACAGGATGGAATAAAAACAATGTCAACTTACTGGAGCAAAAAAGTCAACAAACCACGGATCACGACTATCAACAACCCTTTGAGGAAAATCTGAAGGCCCTAAATTTTCCATCGGTGTGGAGGCGCTGTCTCTGGCAAATGCTGCAATATCATGTGCAGTCATTCTTCCTGTAATTATAACAGGATATGATTAGTTATATTAGTTATGATGAGTTGTATCTTCATGTTTATCAATATAGATATCTGTGTAATCTTTCCCTTCAGTATTTCGGGAGCCAGTGTGGGCTGACTCACTAATTAGGAGGTATGAGGAATGACCCTGGTATTGGCCAAGAAAATTCTCAGGATTTTCCAGCTTGGTTTTTCCTTGTCAATGGTGAAGGATGGAGGACCTTGCAAGGAACAGTGCCTAGTCTTTCAGATGGCCGTAAAACCCAGGTCCCATGTACATGTTGGGGTGCTGTCCGAGCACTATTCCCCTCATAGGACGTTAAACCCCATTTCATTTATTCCTTCAGTATTCTCACAACCAATAATCTTATTTAGATTGCTTTGGTTCGATGGTACAGTTCAGGTGCTCTATAAAATCACCATTTATCTATATTACAGTATAGGAGGTTGTAGAAACAGGATTAATAAAATCTTAAATCAGAACACACAACTGTGTTAACTAGAACTCACCATAAAGAGTTTCATATCCACCATTTTGTTTAAATACTAAAATTGTAGGGAACTTGTTGAAATGTAAAGTTTCACATAATTCAGATAATACTTTACAGTTTACACGTCCAATCTATAAGATAAAATAAATATATAGTTAAAATACTGACATTCAAATCTATGGATATCCATCACTGACAACAACATTTTAGTACCTGTCAATAAATGATTAATTGCAATCAACAATAAATTTAAAAACAAAAGTAAATTGTTTGTCCGATTCATTTCGTTCCAATCCAACTTTCAATTTACTAAATTCATAGCTACAAAATCATCATTTAGAATGCTTCATATTTCCAAAGCTTCTTGCATTGTGAAATCTTATATCCTCATGCTCAAAAACAAAAGTGCACAAAAACTGTATTAGCCTTGTAGCAACCAACAATCAACATTATGAAAAGTTATTCGAAACAACAGATGACAGATTATGCAAAATTCCTGAGATGGTGTCAAATTATGTCACTGATTTGCATGAAGGAATAATAAATTGGTAAAATTAAAATAAGATCATTCTTCTGTTTTTGTTGTTTTTATGTTGCTTACATTTACACTAATATATAACAATACCTTTAAAAGTTTGCACTTCAATGAACTGACCTAACCTAACATGACCTTTCATTTCATCAAGCCCATGAAATGATGTTTTGGTTCGAACAAGAATAATCTTAGTATATAATTAATTAGACTTTTTTGCAGTCTAGGGTACACCAAAATTAGAATGGGAATGAAATAAAGATCAAATAATCAGATGAACGAGATCAACAAAGTAACTATGTAGATAAGACACGGTCTATAAATAAAATTGTAAAACAGTTATAGTCATCTGTCATACTCTCTTGTCATACACTTCGGGAAATTTCGAGAAAAACTTACATAAAATTCTCTTAACATGGCTGGCAGCTTGCGTAATTCTAGACCACTACTTTCATCAGTATCTGTAAATTGCACTAACCAATGTTCATCTTGCCCTGTGTTTTTATTGGTTAATATTGACTGAAAAATAATTACATATCCATAGGTTATTGTGTTGTTGGGAGTAATGACAACACAAATATTATTCAGTGTTTATTCAAGCCAGGAACTGTTCCCAAATCAAAATCATAAATCAAAACAACAAAAGTAATCTAGCTTCTGGGAATGATCTCCCCTTGAGCTCTGGCCTCGACTAGTAATTAAAATCATAAAGAATTAGCATTGAAATAAAAGGCTGGGCGCAGACTACAAAACATTATGTGAATCATAGAAAAGGGTTATTTTCTATGATCTATCAGACATGATTGTAACACGGCATCCATTTTTCATTATACTATAGTGTGATTCACAATATGGCTCAGTTGTTTCCGTGCACATGAAGCACATGTGTATAAAATATACAGGTTATTAGGTTTCTATAGTCTTTGTACCCAAACAATGAGTTGTTCAATATATCATAATGTGTTCAAAAACCCTTGCTTATTCTGTATACTATAAAAGTTTCCACTCTCAGATTCTGAATCAAATATATTTTTTATATAATAAAGTTAGAGGATTATAGATGTAAATAAGCCGCAGTCAATACCTGTAGAGTTTTTTCATCTAAACTATTAACGTCTGGTAACTGAGATAAAACTATCTGTGCTATTTCTTGAGCTACTAGAGATGATATTTCCTGTATTAAAAAAAAACAACATTCATCATATTTAGTAAATTTAGTTTTCACTGGTAAAGATATCAAAAATGTTAAAATAGACATTCACATAAATCTCACAGATAGTTAATTATAAACATGCCAAGCAATAAAAGGTAGAGGTTTGATTTAGGATTGGAATCAAGTAATTTTCGTTTTGTTTCATTTATTTCTTTCACCTTTAAACTACAACAAGACAGCTGGTAAGAGTGGTCTTAGATCTCTATGCAGTGTAGGCCAATGGAATCATAAAAACCAAAACAAAATAAATATTGGATTTAAATCAGATTTGAATTGTACCATGTACAAAATGGCAATTTATTTATTTTCCTTTTTTTGTTCTAGTCTATTTCTTTGCTTGTCATAACATACTTACTGTTCCTTTATGTTTTTTAACTTCCCCAGCTTCATAAAAATATATTCCATATTCTACATCCAGATTCTCACAAATATCACCACTGGAATAACAGTCTACATAGCCTACATTAACCAGTTCATGCTGTAAAAATGCAAGTTATACCAACTGTAAATTTCAATTATATGATTGTCAGTATAAAAAAAACGGCAACATTTTTATACACTTTTATATACTTTCGTAACCCTGGTCTGTTGCCTGTCTACAATATCTGTGACCGCTCTACAGATCAGAAATCTTAACATATTTTTTTCCATTGTTATTGTTATTTTGTGTCTAAGCAGGAAACCTTTCCAAAATTCAGAGACTTTTGTTTACAAATCATGCAGATATCTCCCATTTATGTTCCAATTTGTGAAAGCTTGTGAACATGATAATGGTCTGAATCCTAGACAGAATTTGTTTTACATATAGATCGGATTATTCATTGAGGTATAATAAAAGTAAGAATCATAGAGATATTTAAAACTTAAAATCTTAAATTTGAATGTGCAGGTTATAATAAATTTATACAACTCTTCATAAATTTAATAGAATTTGAAACTATAACTCTCTAGAATATTCAGACAAGCATAATAGCTTACACATGAATTGCCATGTCGGATGGACTTAAAAATTATGTGATCATATAGCTTTTTTTTTTTTAATACAACAGAAATTCAATATCTAACTTATTTCAAGCACGACCTATTATATTGTAGCAGTAATGAAATGGAATTTAACATCCTACTTTTCTGCACCAACTTGGATAATTAACACAGAAATACAGTAGTAATAATCAACATTTCATCAAACTATTACATCCCTCCAGATTGTTCAGTGATTTGTATGGAAGCAATCCTAAATAGGTGAGGATTTTCCTCTCACAAATCTTAATAGCTTATAACCTCCCCTACTTTCCTGGATACCTCTTCTAAACATTTGCTCACGATGTCCAAGGAAAATTGAAACACACTAGAAATTACTGATTATGATTAGACCACTTAGTATTGCATACAGGGCCTTAAAATGTATAGATAGTTATTAGTGAATAAAAAACTTACCAACATGGATGCTAGTTTTAGACATGTCATACTTTCTAAACAATCTGTAAGATATCAATACAATAGACATAATATTTACAATAAAATAAAACAAAACTATGATCTGGAATTAGTATACACATCCTCTACTTCCATCTGTGAGGTAGCCATGGGATGCTTGGAGATCCAGGTGTAGGCAGTGAAAGTTGCTCAGGATTTTCCAGCGGAGGCATTCGTAAGGAAAATCGATGGTACAATAATCTGAGGACCTGTGTATACCCACTATACATTAAACCCCATATAATTTCATTACTATTCGTAATGCTCAAGTTGTGACAGGATATGCATGGGGCAGGGTATGATAATTCTTTTCAGAATACTGAAAATTCAGTAAAATTAGATCAAGAGCGGACAGTTCTCGCTATAATAGTTAAAAGATAGATATTGAATTTCAGTCAAATTATTTCACTCTGAAACTAGATATTAGCGATTAAATTCTAGGCTAGCCTCGATTGTCATTACTACCACTGCTACGATGATAAACAAAGTCTTGATTATCCATATTTACCATTATTTCATCCCCCATAAAACATATTCAAATCCACTAAATATCACACGCATCCAATGGCATCAAGAGTTGATTATGATCTTGGTAAGTTAATCAATGTCTAATTAATAATTTAGATAACAATTTAAGGCCTAAAGAAAGACCTGCAATAGGCAGATTAAGCTCTTGCATAATACATGTTTAATACCACTTACCACATCAGTGAGAACAATGTTTCATTTCAGTTTTGAAATGAAGAATGTCTGGTTGTGCCATGTTTCTGCATTTTGAAGTGGATGTACCAAAGGTGAATCAGCCCTACTTAGATTTTTAAATCATATTTCTGTAATAATTTAGATTATATACTTACCACCACCCTCTCCACAGAAACTAATCAACCAGGGCAGATCACTCTCAACTTCATCTGATTCACCATTTACCAAGTAGTTAAAATTACCTGACCATAATTCATTATGTCGTACTTTTACATGTTTCATTACATATTTGACTAAAGTATGAACAGAACGATCTCCAAAATACTTTTCTCTCTGTAACAATATTAAATTATCATAAAATGGTGAATGAAATGTGTGGCTTAATGAAGGAGGTTTATTTTTTTTAGGGTAACAATTGACTATTTGAAGTAATAACCAATAACAATGAAACTGAACAAAGAAAATTCAGACGTACCTTGCAAGTTTACTTTCCTGACATGTGTCCAACTTATTCAAGTTTTATTGTACAAAACTTTGTTAAGCAAATAATCTTTATGGTGTTATGCCTTGCTGGAAAAGTATCAGGTGGGTGCTTAATACCATTACAGTTGCATTTTAACGTAAATTTTGGTTTTTAAGCAAGCTTGGAAATATAACACCTGTCACAGACATTCTCAGAAACAAATTCAGGTTTTGTCAGGCACAATTTCTCTGCTGCCTTTAATTTTGTCTATTTTCTATATTTTATTTCTGTCAGATACAAATAAAAGTAATATTTCCAGGTCAGATCATTTACTATGAGTACTGTAATGGCATTAATCAGTTGAAACAAAGCTCAATAATAAATAGTAATTGTATTCCACAGAATTGTGACTGTTGTTTAATTTGCTGCATTCTTGGTATCCCCAGTGGAATCGTTCTGTTTCACTCCACTAACCTCTGGGTCCATCCACGGGGGAGACACATAGTCTAGTAATACTCGCCCTCGATATTTCTACTATTTTTATCGACCAATCGAGTGGGCGAAGGGAAGTAACTTGCCTTTTATTGCATTTAAGATTATTGTGGTGACTGGTTATGTAAACTGGTTTGTAGAATCAAGCTACTATCAAGGGCAGATAATTTGAATTCATGAAAATCCTGTGTATGGATCCAGAGGTTAGTGGAGTAGAATGGAAGGATATCACTGGGGATACAGAGAATGCATTTGCTGTGGAACAAAATCACCATTGTAAGAACAAAGTAAAGCCTACCTCAGGATATAAGACAAGAGAAGGATATGATCTGATTCCCTGCATCTGACATAACTGCCAGTCATCAGCACAATTGATGGCTCCAATACGTATTACACCCTCTACTTCTTTAGCTAATGCTCTCCACTGAAAAGGACAGAAAATTCATTTAGATAAAAAAAACAAAAAATAGTCCTCATGAATAGATAGTACACTACAGAACAACTGCCTAATAAAAACATAATAGAACAGACAGTAAATGAATACAGCAAATAAAATAAAATATTACTATTGTCATATAAAATAAAGACTTCTGTTATTAAATCTTTTTGTTTATATAATTATTCTTTAGAAAAGGCATTACCTTGTACTTGCTCAATGCTCAAAGTGTTCCCAATAATTAAATGCAAAAGTTAATATAAAACAAAGAAAAGCTTTTGTAGGTATGACATCTATTTACCGAAAGATGTATTTCCTCGACAGTAGCAATCCTAAATACATAACCATCAATTGAAAAACATATCCAAACTACACAATGTTTGGTTAAGATCAATGCAGCAATTCGGAGATATGCCCTGGATAAACAACCTAACCCACAGAATGACATCTTGACACTCAGGACAGTAATGATAAACCCTCATCTTCAATAGAAGGCTTGATCTCACCTTAACTTCGTACATCTTATCAAGCTTGATGTTGTAAAACTTGCGGTTGTTGCTTCAGGAAAATGGTAAACTCTCTGCTGCACCGTTTAACCAATAAAAGGTAGATAATATGTTTTATATTTTCAAAGAAAAAACCAACATTATTGTTAAACTAAAACATGGAATGGAATTTAGCTTCTAATCAATTACCTATCTGGGTTGTTATGGATAAATATGTTGTGTTTAACTAAGACTTACATCTGGTGCTAGCTGATGACAGTGTGAACACTGTGGTGAATAATAATTAATAAACCAAATATCATCAGTTCCCTCTACAGATTGTTCTGTAATAGAAAGAAACAATCAAATTTATCAAAATTCAAAGTACTATCATATCATCATTGATTAAATGGATATTTCAGTTACTATACCCCTGTAATTAAAACATTTCTGTCATCCATTAAACAAAGTTATAATATTTTACATAGCCTCTCTTTGAAAAACATAGACAAGTACATGTAATGCATAAATGTTTATTAAATGTTTTTCAAATGTTAACATCAAAACTGCTGTAACACTTACCAAAATCTTCTTTATTTAGTGTGATAATTTCAGGGTCGTCATCATAAATTCCTATAGTATAAAAAGAAAGTCTGTTGGCCTATTTAATTTAACTAGTAACATTTTGTTTCTGTTAACCCATTAATCTCTTTTATTCCATCAAGATATCAAGTTTTATATTAAAAATATGTAAAATAACAGGCAACCATTTCATGGACTTAGTTTTTTAAAACTGAAATGGAAATGTCTGATGTTCTTATACATGTATAATCGCAATAAATTTAAGTTTTTGGAAAAATAAATATTAAGCCTACCAAAATTTTCTTGGTACCACTGCCAACTTTCATAATGACGCCCCCTCTGGAAATCATCCTTAAGCCCTTCTTCACCATGCATATCATATTTCTTTCGCAGTTTATCGTCCTTTAAAACTTCATAAGCACGATTTATTCTTATAAACTTTTCATGGGCCTTAGCATCATCCTGTAATAATCATCACAAATAACTTCTATTCAATTACCTAACAGATATCAATTTGACACTGTGAATTTAAAAATAAAACAAGTTAACTGTGAGGTGAATGTCCCACTTCAACATCAAAATAAATAAATTACTTGTACATTAATGTTTTCATAAACCATCTAGAACTCAAATTATTTATCATTTTGCATTACCTAAGCAGATACATGTAATCGACATGGTGATTATTGAACTTGATTTTATGAAACTATACACCCAAGTTCCATCACTTTCCCTTCTTTAAAAGCACCGTTATTGTGTCAACCGATCAAATTGCGTATATCTCTGCTTAGCCTAAGTAGAAAATGTTCAATAGTCAAGAAATTCATATATAAATTTGAACATTTCAAAAAGCGTGACGGACAGCCAGTCAGATATGCTGCTGGTCAGTCTAAGCAGAAAATGCTCATCAATGAACTCAATCAAGATATTCATCTAATGAACATACACACCAGGCCTGAACATGCCAACGCAACTAAAAGCAGAGTTATTGTGTTAAAAAAAACTCAACCATGAAAGTGACTTGCCCTGTTAATCATCAAACTTAGTCAAGGAATTTACCTAATGCACTACACCAAGCCTGAGCAATTTAGCTCAAGAAGATGCAGGGTTATTGTGTCCCAGAGTGTGATGGACAAACCCATCTTAATAGTACAATAATTTTTGTTTAGATAACCTTAATCTCACCTGGTTTTTATCAGGGTGCATAGTAATAGCCAATTTCTTAAATGCCTTTCTTATTTCTTTTGTAGATGCACTTCTGGAAATTGCCAACAACTGATAGAAGTCTTCTGCTAATACCAAATTCAGAAAAAGCAAACAGCAGAGAAAATGGACCCTTGCCTTGTTCCAGCTGGATTTCATTGATGATATTATTTGTATCTTCATCGTGGTTTAGTTTAGTTCCTTTTCTCACAAATTCAAAGAACTACACAAACCAGCAGAACATAGCAGGCAGTATAAAAGAAATGTACAATATAAAGCATAATGATTTGGATTGGATTTATAATGTAGGTTGTTGAAAGATAGGGGAATGATTATTAAATTAGTGCTTTATCTTGTATCGCGTATCTTGAATATAAATGTAAGGCGGTTAGATAAATCCTAAATTTAAATTTCAATACATTTCCTCCTTGGGACAATTTAACAAAATTCCATTAGGACGTTTTTCCTGTAATATCGTATTCACACGATCTAAAGAAGAGATAATTATATGCTCAAATGAATAACATCACCAAGGTTAAACCATAGAGAGAGAGAGAGAGAGAGAAATGGGGTTTAACGTCCACTCGACACAAACTAGGTCATTTCGGGACTAACACATGGTTTAATTTTATTTACATAATTCGCTTGCGCGTAGGGGTCTTTAGCAGTGGGAGGAAACCGGAGGTCCCGGAGAAAACCCACGAGGTTGGACAGGCGACCCTACTCCTTGCCACGTACAACCGGGGATTCGAAACCACGCCAGTCGACTCAATGACAGACTTTATGATACAGCGCGCGCACGCTAACCATTCAGCCATCCAACCCCCCTTAAACCATAGAACAAGCTATAAAAAAAAATGTGATTTTTTGTACAATCAGGGGTCATAATCCAGGATGTTACGGTCCGATATGCACAAATATCAAAATGAACTAAGATCTTTTTGGATATTTTAAGAAGCAAAAAATATTATTCAGGAAGTTACAGTCTGATATGCGCGAATATCCAAAAGAACTGAGATCTCTGGGTTATAAACAAACATTTTGAGTTCCATCAAAATCGGATAAAAATTGTGACCTCTAGAGTGTCCATAAGCTAAAAACTTGATTTTTTGTACAATGGCGTCCCATAATCCATAAAGTTACATTCCGATAATTGCCAATTCCGAAAGGAACCAAAATCTTTGGGAGATATTTCAAGTTTTTTCAAAATTGGATTTTGACCTGTAGAGTGTCCACAAACAAATTGTGGACAGATGGGCAAACGGATGTCTAGAGACGATGACAATATACGTCCACATGAAAATGTAATATACAATAATCAATAGGATACAATATCAAAAAACCATCGTTTTATCCAATGTTTTGATATTGTGAGAGAGAGAGAGAGAAATAGGGTTTAACGTCCACTCGGCACAAACTAGGTCATTTCGGGACTAACATATGGTTTATTTTTTTTTTATTTCAATAATTCGCTTGCGCGTAGGGGTCTTTAGCAGTGGGAGGAAACCGGAGGACCCGGAGAAAACCCATGAGGTTGGACAGGCGACCCTACTCCTTGTCACGTACAACTGGGGATTCGAAACCAAGCCAGTAGACTCAATGACAGACTTTATGATACAGCACGCACATGCTAACCATTCAGCCATCCAACCCCCCGTTTTGATATTGTATTCTGTTAATTATTGTATATCAACTTATCTGAAAATCAAATGCATCATTTAGACTTAGTCAAAATTGATCCCATCAAACCGTCTGTAATGGGTTTGTTACCTGTTTCTATTGATTGGAATTTTCATATGAAAATGTGGGTGTATAAAAATTATCTTGAGAACTTTGCAGTGCACATAGATATCCATGCAATCAGTCATATCGGTTTATTCATTGGCAATCAATTGTTTCAATAAATATCCTATAACTTTTAGCTTTCAGTTGTTATTTTTTGTTGCCCATACTCAAACTATCAAAATGATTGCACTTTGTTTGTTTGCAACAAGTGGTTGTCAAACTTTATCCAACCTGCAACAGTTTTCATTGGTTTCATCCAACAACAGACGATAAGTTATACATTGTTGTGTCGGACTTTGTCGAAATTAGACGACTTACACAGTAAGTATATATGGTACTGAGTTTCAGGCCCTAATTTATGTTATTATAATGTAGAAGACATTATCATACAGACAGTTTCATAACTCTAGTCCTGTTTCTCAAAGTCAAACTGATATAATTGTAAATAAATGCACCTGGGATATGTTCACAGAACAGTAAACCACACACAGAATTATGTGGACCCGGTTACTACCAAGTCTGCAGAGTATGTTCTGTGCACGCACAATTAATTTCTTTCAGAGAACGGTGCACACAAATTTTCTTTAGATTTGTATGTTAGTTTGGCTTTGGACAAGATTTTTTTATCTTGCACGCAGCGACTTTACTTTTTTCTGTATACACGGTAATCCGTGTTATATATATTTTTCCCTGTAATATACAAGTTTACGAAGTGGATATTTAACCATATACGGCAAAATATATACTTCCGCTATTTTACCGTACATCGTTTCGGCGCAGAAGCACGATTTACGGGAAAAACATAAACCACCGACAGTCTTAGTACTTAAATTAAAACCAAAATCCGCATAAATGCGCCCTCGACCAAAATAGAATAATATTCTAAATGCTTTTCTACAATTTACATTTATTATCTTATTTTCTTTTAAAAATAATTCTCCAGTTTCTACCATAGAAATTCAAGTATGGCTATTTCGTTCCTTTATAAGAAACGGAAAAAGAAGCAATGTTATACAAAGAACGAACAGAACTGTTGGGTTAGGGTTATGGGTTAATGTCAGACGCCAAAGCGAAAACTGCTAAGTCCAGGTATCAGAGAACTGCGCATGTTAAACGGAAGCGTACAGCAAAATAGTAAATAAAGTAAAGTGCCGTATACGGTTAAATATCCACTGCCCAAAATTTATGGATTCTCGAGTCTTGGTCACAACTTAGAAACCATTGCCCTTTTGGCTTTTTTTTGTGCAAATTGCAGACAATTAACAACCCATGATACTAGATCTTTGTACGATCTGGAAAATATCTTTCTGTGTTTATACCCACAAGTCTGGGCTAACCCTTCAGAATAGTTTTAAGTCTAACCCTAACCCTTCAGTATAGTTTTACCCACAACTCACCGGTTTTACAGCTTCAATTTGTACGTTTGACATGTAATTTGTAAACCTAACGTGAACCCTAACCCTAGAGAAAGATATTCTCCAGATCGTTCAAAGATCTACTGTAGTATTGTGCATTGACAACGATGACGGAACACTTCGACTTTTTGACTTTTTGTGTGTACTTACTTTAATACTTAGTTTAGGCTAGTTTGTAGACGCCAAAACAACATGATATATATATATCGCCAGAAAAAAATTAAGAGCTATGAGTTCAGACCCAGTCATATTCAAAACATCTTTCACAGTTTGAGCAGATAAGATCTAATTGCTTGGTGAAATGAATCATTCATAATAAATTAATTTACATAAAATCAAAATTGTCAGACTTTACTTACACTTTCTCCACCGGAAATGGCAGTACCACGTGTAAGACGCATGCTCATTAGTAACGGAAGTAAATATAGTCTTCATCAACCTAGGCGCATATAATTCAGAGTAACTGAGTAACTCGATTAATTCCCGTTGAACACAACATCTGGAGCTGCAAGAGCTGACATGTTCTTAGCGGTGGTACTTTTTACCGCCGACCACCGCCGACTACTGCCGACCAAATGCTTTTTACCGTCGACCGTCGTGTAATTACCGCCGACCGCATTGTTATAACGACTTTCGACCGTAATATAAATACCGCCGACCAAATACTTGTTACCGCCGACCAAATGCATTCGCCCCGCCCCCGATTTTTTTTTTTTTTGGGGGGGGGGGGATCTAAAGCCCCTGAAATGCCATTTCTTGGACTTTGGGAGAAGATTTTGCAGAATTCTGATGGACAGAAAACACTTATAACATGAGTAAAATACGATCTAATATTTCTACTGGGATTGAATCTGTTCAATAGATTGTCTTAGTCTTAGCATTTCGTAATTTAAAGATTGTTTTTATTTTGTCGTCGCCCCTGTCCGTCCGGACGTCTGTCTGTCCGTCCGCCCACAATTTTGTGGGCACTCTACAGGTCACAATGTTTATTGTTTATCCGATTTTGACGAAACTTGAAATATAGGTCCATCTCCCAAAGATCTCGGTTCCTTTTGAAATTGGCATAAATAGGACCGTAACTTCGTGGATTATGGTCTCTGATTGTGCCAAAAATCACGTGTTTAGCTTGTGGACACACAAGAGGTCACAATTTTCATCCGATTTTGATGAAGCTTGAAATACATGTATATAACCCAAAGATCTTGGTTCCTTGCGATATTCACGCATCGGAACGTGACTTCCTAGATCGTGGTGCCTGATTATTCGAAAAGGGTTTATATCCGACAAATACAACGTCATAGTTTTAATCACCCTTAAATTAAATGGAGTCTTCCATTAAAAGTCAACAATGATTGGATAATTGTTCGATAGTTTCCGCGATATAACGAAAATTACCGAACTAATCACGTGAATGCACGTGAATGTTATTGTTTATGTGTGGTTTAATGGTCGAGAGTGAGACATTAAGTAATATATTGAAACAACATGAGTGACGTGCTTTGCAATGAAATATGTCACACGGGTTCAAAATTTTAACTAGTATAAATAATGTATGCTTGGCACATTGCCCATACCATTATTTGAAATAATGATACGCCAACATATAAGGATGACGTCGTATCTGTATTTTAAACCAAGCTACTGTCGCCATTTTGGAGTAAATATAGGCTCAATTGACTTGAAAACAAAAACAAAATGGATAGTAATACGTTATCAGACGAATAATCAATCCTTTTTAGCCAACAGATTGACGGCGCAATAGACGTGAACGCAAATTCCGACAAAGATCTACTAGTTACTAGTCAAAAGGATAAAGAAAATTTGGATCAAAAGGCAATCTTTTCTGATAATTCTGACAGTGAACCTTGAAGGTTTTCCAAAGGATTTGACCGACTGTGTTAAGTGGACTGTACCCAAAAAATACTTTACAAAGGAAGTCTTGGGCTATAAATACTTTCAAGTCTTGGAGTGTGTGGAGAAATATTCGAAATGTGGACGAAAAGAAAATTCTGAATAGCTTAGACATGGATAACCGATCTAAATACGTCGATAAGTATGCCGTCTATTTCGGTGCTGAATGCTACAAACTGTACCATAAAAAAATTAATTGTCAAAAGAATAAAAATTTATTTCTGTGTTCTTTGTATTATTTCGATCATCATAGTCATCTGCGGTTGATATGAATCGAATATATCAACCTGCCTTACGACCACAAACCGCAATTGTTACCCGATTTTCATGAAACTTACAGATTATGATAACATTGATAATATCTCAGAGTAGGCAAAGTTTCGACCACTTCCGGTTAGCAGTTTCTCGGAAACTGCTAACCGGAAGTGGTCGAAATTCTGACTACTCTGAGATATTTTTAAAATTATCATATTCTGTAAGTTTCATGGATATCGGTTCATGTGGTCGGCAGTCGTGCCACATGAAATGTGTGGTAACTTAATAATTGATATATCGGAAACTGCTTACCGGAAAGGGTCGAAATTTTGGCTACTCTGAGTTATTATTAATGTTATCGTGATCTGTAGGCCTAAGTTTCATTGAAATCGGTTGATAATTGCGATGCCGAGACAGAGACTTACAAGTGGCAAATAGCCCCGAGGTGTACGTCTTACCATGTGCATGTGGCAAAAGCCATCGGACGGTAAAATCCTGTATTATTTTCGGGCAATGAAAAATTCGACGACCTTTTTTTTCTATTAACGTTTAGAGAAAAAATATAACTAACTTATTTCTATGAGATCCACACTGCCCGAAAAGTATTTTCTCGTCTTTTTCTTGTCCACTGCATGCCCGAAAATATGCCCGAAGCTCGCTTATGATAGGTATGCCCGAAAAAACGGTATTGCCCGAAAATAGGTATTGCCCGAAAAACGGGCATCGCATCAATATAATATATACTATATATTGATCATATTGATTTCGATATATATACTATATTGATTATATTATATTGATTTCGGGCAATTTTCTCTTATGCCCCCCCCCCCCTGAATTACTTTGAGCTCCTACGCCTATGCTGATTGTACCAATTAAAAGCCGCATTTTTTTAAAATTTATTTAAGCCTGTTAATTCTATCTATCCAACTCTGAGTTATTATTAATGTTATCGTGATCTGTATAAGTTTCATTGAAATCGGTTGATGATGGCAAATAGCCCCGAGGTGTCTTACCACATGTGGCAACCCCAGCCATTCGTATATCGGACCGTAAATTCCTGTATTATTGAGCTGATTGTACCAATTAAGCAAAAGCCGCATTTTTTTTTTTTTTTTTTTTTTAAGCCTTTATGTTCTCTACCCAACTCTTGCGACCGCCTACTTTTTGATTTCCCGGGGGTGGGGGTGCAGGGGGTGGATCGAGCCGTACCAAATTCGTACGTGGCGAGGCTTGGTGCATTAAAATTAAACCACCCAAAACCAGCTTTTGTGGCAAAATGTTTTTTTATTTCACAGAATCAAGGGCTGCAAATTTTAGAAGCCTTATGTTTTCGAACAATCTGTTTAAACTTATGAAAAATAAAGAGAAAATTGGTTTAGCTTAGTTAAGGTTCACTGCGCACACAATAACTTCCAGTGGCTCGCTAATTGCGAAGATGTTTATTCCATCAATTTAAATCGATATAACACTAACAGATGTATATAAGGTATGAACATAAAATTCATTAACTTTCTATGTTGCATTATCGAGTTATCGCACCCGGATTCGAGGCGAGGTTCGTATATAATGGGTTCAAAAAGAAAGGCCCGAAAAAGTAGTGAAAGGGCATCAAAAAAGCACAGATGACTGAATCGACGGAATCTTAAAATTAAAATATTTGTTTATCTTTTAAATTCATTTATATAGACATTTCATAAGCAATGCCCACGTGCCGTTGACAAAGAGCCCACATAGTTCTATGGTCAATGACCGATATTTATTAATATAGCGACGTGACGTAATTTACGTCATTTACTATAAATAGACTTGTAAACATATGACAACTTTATGTATTCGTGCGCCAAAAAGCATAACAAAACACCCTCATTGTTGATGTTTCTTTATGATATTGGAAAATTTGTATTTGCATTACGGGGGAAAATACTTTGAATAATAGAATATATAACTTTTCACAACATTCATTGCAAAACAACAATGTCTAACGGTAAATATTAAGAGACTATATGGTACATCGGAGGTATAAATAGGTATTGTTCGGCGAAGGAGAAACAGGGAACAGGAAATTTTACTTATGCGTCTCTATTTTCTATAAATTATCGTAACAATACAGCTTTTATTTTTTGTCATATGATGGAAGAAGGTACAAGTGATGATATGTCTGACTATGTTATTGTTACAGCAAGACATTTAAACAGAAACGACAATGATCAGCCTGAACCTTTCCGAGTTGGGGCCGACATTTTGTGGCCCGATTTCAAAGCAGTGGTAAGCAATGGGCCTCCTAATAACTTAGCATCGAATTTGTGTTCATTGATTCAATGAATTAATTCCTTAATCACATCTTTATGTGGACTTAATATTGTAGTTTTGTTGTGGCGGTACATGTCAGGTTTAATTACAAAGGAGATAAGCTTACAATTAAATATTTTCCCCCCGGGTTAGCTAGTTGTTATTTTTATGTTGTTTACATCTGCACTCTGTCCAGCCACAGCTGGCATTTTCATTGGCTGATCAGCTGTTCGCAACATACCTCTGACATGTGACTTAAATATTGACATTATTTTTAAAGGTTTTGCAAATATTATTACACTTACTTATGTGTTTACAGCATATATAGAAATGAGAAAATTTTGATGCATTCAATAGCTTAGCAGATGTGTCAGTGCAGTTTATTAATATCAGTTTTGTCAACATTATTATCCTACAAGTCAGCCAAATAAAAACAAACATGATTGCACCAGAAAATGTTATATTTTATCTGTACAGTTTTTATGAATAGAAGGCATAAATCAAGCAAAGTGATAATTTCTAATCTGGCCAACAAACAGTACATTCAAAATACTCCCAGTTTGTACGTATAACCTGAAAGTACATGTACATGTATATATGCATGAAATTTAATTATAATAAATGAACCATCAGAGGTCATGTCATTGAAATTTGGCAGGGGTATTATAATATTAAGAAAGATATTTTTTTTTCATCACACTCTAATAAAGTAGCTAAGTCTCTAACTTAATATCATCCAAAATCTTCAACATTGAAAACACGATTTATTTGTCAGTTTAAATCAACATTGATGTTGTGATCTTACCTGGAAAAGATGGGCTTCTGATATCCAATATTTAAGACAAAATAAACATTTTACCATTGGTACACGAATCGTGTACCATAATGCGCTTCAACCCCAGTTGTATCAAGAGACTCGAGGGACGAGCCTAGACCACATTGCACCAAATCAAACAGCGTATGTAGACTGGAATAACCAGGCGCTAGAAATTTGCACTCGCTTGAGACTGCTGGCTTATTTCGCCGAACATAACTGATTTGAAATTGGAGTAAAAACGAAAACCATTGAATGTAAATCAGTTTATATACATTCATATTACAGTATTATATGCTTTGCGACCCACTTTTGTCAATTTCTAGGTCCCAAATGTTAGCGATTTAGCTCCTTTAAAGGAGCTAAGTTGCTAATATTTTGGACCTAGAAATTGACACAAATGGGTCGCAACGCATACAAAAATGTAATATGAATGTATATAAATTGATTTACATTCAATCGTTTCTGTTTTTACTGTAATTTCTAATCAGTTAGGTTCGGTGAAATATGTCAGTATTGTCAATCGGATTTCAATCTCTAGCTTCTGGTTGTTCCAGTCTACGCCGTTAATATTTAATGGACATGCTCTCCAGATAAGAATATGGCGTCACCGTTTGACATGACTAGCCTCGTTTTTCGAGTCCTTTATTACAAATATTGCTGAAACGCATTATAGTACACGATTCGTGTACCAATTGTAAAATGTTTATTTTGTCTTAAATGTTGGATATCAGAAGGCCATCTTTTCCCGGTAAGATCACAACATCAGTGTTGATTTAAACTGACAAATAAATCGTGTTTTCAATGTGGAAGATTTTGGATGATATTGAGTTAGAGACTTAGCTACTTTAAATAAACTCTAATACCCAATATAGCTGACAAGGAGTAGGGTTCCCTGCTCAACCTTGTGGGTTTTCTCTGGGTTTTCTCGGGTCCTCCCGTTTCCTCCCACTGATAAAGACCCCACGTGCAAACAGATTATTGAAATAAAATTGAACCATGTGTTAGGCCCAAAATGATCTAGCTTGTGTGTCAAGTGAACCATAAACCCCATCTCACTCTCTCTCTCTCTCTCTCTCTCTCTCTCAATATAGATTAGTATTAAATCAAAGAAAATCAATTAAACATTAACTAGGTCTTATTTATAACACCTTTAATAGTTACGGTAATACAACATATTTTTTTACACTATTCTTGACCCATTTTCCTTAAATAACTTGGCAATTATTATGGAGATTTTGATGTAGTAATAGGATTGCAGAGTACAGTATGTAACATTTTATAGCTTGTAATCTGATTTTTATACGCCCACATGGAAATGTGGTCATATATTGCCGTCCGTCCGTCCATCGTCCACAATTTCTTGTGAACACTCTACAGACTACATTTATCAACCGATTGTTTTGAAATTGATAATTGTTGTTTCCATTAGTGAGACGAAGAAGCCTATTTAATTTCAATAACTTCCGTTAATTTCTTCTGGAGTTATGGCCCTTGTTTCACTTTGTTGCACCTTGTGAACGCTCTAACGACAAAAGTTCAACCGATCTGTATGAAATTTATATGCATCATTTAAATTAGTAAAGCAAAGAAGCCTATTGAATTTCAGCAATTTCCATTAATTACATCTAGAGTTATGGCCCTTGTTTCACTTTGTTGAATCTTGTGAACGCTCTAATGACAAAAGTTATCAACCGATCTGTATGAAATTGATATGCATCATTTAAATTAGTGAAATGAAGAAGCCTATTGAATTTCAGCAGTTGATGTTAATTTCTTCTGGAGTTATGGCGCTTGTTTCACTTTGTTGCACCTTGTGAACGTTCCAACGACAAAAGTTATCAACCGATCTGTATGAAATTTATATGCATCATTTAAATTAGTAAAACAAAGAAGCCTATCGAATTTCAACAATTTCCGTTTCACTTTGTTGAATCTTGTGAATGCTCTAATGACAACAGTTATCATCAGATCTGTTTGAAATTGATATGCATCATTTAAATTAGTGAAATGAAGAAGCTTATTGAATTTCAGCAATTTCCGTTAATTACGCCGTGAGTTATGGCCCTTGTTTCACTTTGTTTTACCTTGTGTATGCTCTAACGACAAAAGTTATTATCCGATCTGTATAAAATTTATATGTATCATTTATATTAGTAAAACGAACAAGCCTATTGAGTTTCAGCAATTTCTGTTTATTACATCTAGAGTTATGGCCCTTGTTTCACTTTGTTGAATCTTGTGAACGCTCTAATGACAACAGTTATCATCCGATCTGTTTGAAATTGATATGCATCATTTAAATTAATGAAATGAAGAAGCGTATTGAATTTCAGCAATTAACGTTAATTACGCCGTGAGTTATGGCGCTTGTTTCACTTTGTTTTACCTTGTGAATGCTCTAACGACAAAAGTTATTATTCGATCTGTATAAAATTTATATGTATCATTTAAATTAGTAAAACGAACAAGCCTATTGAGTTTCAGCAAATTTATGTTAATTACATCTTGATTTACTTTGAACTTTGTGAATGTTTGAACGACAAAAGTTATCATCCGATCTGTATGAAATTTATATACATTATTTGAATTAGTAAAACGAAAAAGCCTGTCGAATTTGAACAATTTTTGTAGATTACTTCCAGAGTTATGGCCCTAATTACCTACAAAAGAATAAATATGTGAAAACCCTTGTCGACTGCTCGGACGAGTTAGCTGCTGTGGGCGTATGTTTAGTTGCCTGGCAACCTATCTTTCTTATTATTTTGAACAGGTTCAAGCTCAGTTTGAGTCACCACCTAGTGATGTAGTTATAAAATACACTGATGATGATAATGAAATGGTGAGTATTGGTAGCATATTAATTTCATAATTCAGACTTTTCATTAATGAGTATGAAGTATTTTGATTGATTAACAAAATGTTATACTAAAATTGCCCATAAAGCAAAGTAGGACTTGATAAGTTTTATGCCATAATGATTACTACTTTGGTTTGAACCCTGACATACTTGACTATTCTTAGTTAATTTATTGTGGTTTGAATCCTGCTATAATTACACAGATTTGGGTCCAAGTTCACAAAACATTCTCAGACTTAAGTTAAGAGTTTACTCAAAATTGTTGGCCTTATTTTTACTAATTTACTCAAAATTGTTGGCCTTATTTTTAGTATACATGTAGCCCTTTATAAAACTTTTGTTGTTTTAATGTATCAATGAAATACATCAATAAGAAACTATGTGCAAAGTTTTGTGTTTCTGGATCAAAGATATTTCTTATAAACAGTGATTGAAAGTTGAATAAATTCTTAACTTAATTCTGAGAATGCTTTGTGAACTCAGGTCTGTACTACAGACTCTGTAAGTAATAATACATTTTGAAACAAAAATAAAAATGGTTGGAGTGCCCAAGTTTAGATTTGTCATTGATTCCATGAAGTAGCTAGGTTTTAGAACGTTAAATACTGTGTAATTCAACATGGCGCCTGTGGTGTTTAATATGATGAAGGTACGGAAAAGTACCAAATGGTTAATTTGTATAAGAGTCAAGGTTTGGACTATAATGCCTTGGAAATCGGAAGTAGGAGGCGACTGGTATGTGTCTCTCTCTTATGGACCGATGTGAGAATGTCCGTTATATTAACTGGACGGGTAGGCCTATTCACCTTCGGTCAAGTGTCAATGTCAAATGAGCGGCTTCTTATCAACAAAATCGGCTCTGAACCGGTTTGATTCTACGTATCTCTCGTAACTGAGAGAATAATGATTTATTAGCCGAGAGAATATCTTCCGTCAAAGTGGTGGTTGATTCCGAGGTAAAAAGGAATCATGACCGATCGATTTGATCAACAAAATTTGCCATAACGAGATCGTAAGCAGAGAGTATAATAATATAAGAGATAAAGTGGCTCTGAAGACCTGGTTATCCCGAATGTCAGTGACTAGTTTCGTTCGTATTGAACTCTTCAGACTGGTTGGACTCAAGTGTTGGGCGTTTTTATTTATACTATTCCGAAACCCCGGTGGGGTTTTCATGGTTGCTAATTGGCGGCGTTACCAGGGTTGGCCCCTTGGCGGGGTTTGCGAGTTTTTTACCGGGGTCGGTAGCTCGCTTACCAGGGTTGTACAGAGGTTTAACAAATTGGCGGAGTTCCAAATTTGTTACCGGGGTTGTACTGATCGTTTAGATTGAAATGTTAGTGGCCATATTTTGGCTAACTGGGATGCCTTGGCAGGGTTTGCGCATTGTTACCGGGGTCGGTAGCTCGCTTACCGAGGTTGTACAGAGGTTAAACAAATTGGTGGGGTTCCGAATTTGTTACCGGGGTCGCTAGCTCGCTTACCGGGGTTGTACTAATCGTTTAGATTGAAATGCTCGTGCCCATAATTTGGCTAACTGGGATGCCTTGGGTTGGTTTGTAACATTGTTATTTGTCATAACAATGAAGGGATAGTATATAGACAAGGGTGTTGATTTAACACCCGTGAGAGGGGTATACGGCTAAATATAAATCCAAAGTTGGAACACTCAGGGGAGAGCATTGTGAAACAAAAATAAAAATGGTTGGAGTGCCGAAGTTTAGATTTGTCATTGATTCCATGAAGTAGCTAGGTTTTAGAACGTTAAATACTGTGTAATTCAACATGGCGCCCGTGGTGTTTAATATGATGAAGGTACGAAAAAGTACCAAATGGTTAATTTGTATAATAATTATAATTATTATAATAATACATTTTGTTAGCTGTTACCATTTACATAATTAAATCCTTGTTGACCAACTCAATGCATGTTGAAATTGTCATTCTATTGTTACTGCATATTATGATTTATTTTCCAGGTTACAATGAATACACAGGATGAATTATTTGAAGCAATTAAGGTAAGATATATATATAAATTATTATATATTGTAGACTTTGTAATAGCAAACAGGGCACCCATTTCTGGTTGACTTCAACCACATGAACTACACAGCTTAATTTCCAACTTAGCGATGTAGTTGGGATTTTTGGTCAAGAAATTTTCTCATAGGATATTAGCAGAATAACTAAAATAAGCTGTTTAATTATTAAAATATGAATTGCTCATATTTCTCCCCTTTTAATCTTACTTACAAGGATTAGGAGAAACTTGATAAAAATATTTTCTTTCTTTAATGATGATTATATATTATTTCTATTTCATCAGCTGGCCAGAAATAGTAATGGTATTATTCAATTAGAAGTTAAAGCTATTGAGAGCGATGGACAGAGGAAGACTTTGTTACAATTACAACAAGAACACACTGATGCTACCTTGATTCTTCCTGCCATACCTAAAAGAAAATCACCACTTTTACAGAAAATTAGACCTGACATTGCTAAAAGTGCAAGCAGGTAAATCATTCTATTTTTGAGTTCTTCTATGTGTTTGTGTTGATAAAGCAATGTTGAGACATGACCTATTTTGTATTCAGCTGACAATTGTTTAAGCCCAAAATGAAACTAGAATTAGTAAGGAGACAGGCAAAATAAAAGATAATTGTATATATAGCTACAATATTACTACTGGATATAACTCATCAATTACAACAATTTATTTTGACCTAAATCAAAGAGGTTTAGTTCTTTAAACTAAAAGAGTGTGGCTGTCCGAATGATCAAACCCTTTCAATGATGATAGGTCTGTCATTGAGTTTATTGGCAAGTTTTCGACCCATACTTGGAAGGTCACCTGCCTAACATCATGGATTTTCTCCTTGTCCTCCTGTTTCCTGCCACTGCTCAAGACTCCAGCACACAAGCGAATTATTAAAATAAAACTCAACTGTATGTGAGTCCTGTTATGACCTAGTTTGTGTTTAAACCCCATTTTTCTCTTGCTCTAGACTAAATTTATTTTTGTAGCTCGTCTGAGGCATCAAGTGATGTGAATGAACCAGCAGACATGGCAGAGACTGGTGAAACACCACCAAATTCTGAACAAGATCTAGAGAATGGTGAAGTTAAGAGAAAGGTAAGTAAATTTATATGGTAGTCATGATTTGTCAGTATGTACCAATAATAGGGTAACTTCAACTCACTTACACACTGATTGTCAAAAGATCAATATTTTAATAACTATATGTTACAGGTGAAAATTGAAATAGACGAAGGGAATTTAGAAACAGATAACTATGTTGAAGATAATCTTAGTGATTATGAAAAAATGGCTGGTAGCAATATTCCAAATTCTATGCCTTACCCAGATTTTGTTGAATTCATGGAAAAGGTAAGAAATGAATGTGTATGATAAATTCTTGTTTAAAAGGCAAGTCTCTAACTCAATATCATCCCCAGTCTTTGACATTGCAAACACGACTTATTGATCAATTCAATCAACATTGATGTTGTTATCTTGTCGTGAAACGATGAACTTCTGATATCCAATAGTTAAGACAAAGTGAAAATTTAAAAATTGGCACACGTTTTTGCGTCCCAGAATGAAGCGACTCTATGAACGAAGCTAAACATATCCCACAGGAAAATACTTTCTGGTGTAGACTGGAATAACCAGACCGCAAAGACTGCCATTCAATTTGGAATCTTAGCGTATTTCGCTTAACGTAACTGATTGAAATTACAGTAAAAACCGGAACAATTGAATTTGAATCAGTTTATATACATTCATGTTACATTATTATATTATGTGTTGTGACCCAATTGTGTCCATTTCTAGGTGCCAAAGTATAGAGATTTAGCTTCTCTAAGATTTACCTTTCATCTCCATTAGTTAAAGAGGCATTATCACTTTAATCAAATAATTAACTTATACTCAACCTAACCATCAAAATTCAAACTTAGATACCAATACCAGAATTTGTACAACTCCTAGATTAAAATTTGTATATCTAAGCGATGGCTGAACAGTTTTGTCTCTAATTTTGCACCCCCAATGTGACTGCATAGACTAATACAGTCAAATCAAAATGATTGTGCCTATTTTAATAAATTAGTTCACATTTATCTGATCTAATGCCATGTATAAACCTGTATTATTTATGTTATCAGCTGAAACATGAATTACGAAGTGAAATAGTTCATGATGTAACAAAGAAAACAGTGAAGCAAGTTTTACGTGGACTGGATAGTGCTCCTGTCAATAAACCTCTACGAGATCCATGGTCTGTTAATAGAGATGATATTAAACATGCACATCGTAAGTCTTTATATTATAGATGTACTTTGTATTTTGCAAATTAGTCTAAGGCGTTTTAAGGATGTGCTTTTTTTAGAACCCCTCTATTTTACTTTTGCATAAAGAATTCTTATTTTGTATACACTCTTCTTAAGGAAGTATATCAATAATATTTCTACTTATAATATGTTTCAGCTATTTACCTACATGAAGGTATAGTGTGTAACAATTGCCAAAAGACGATTCTTGGATGTAGATACAAATGTGGGTAGGTATTTTTTGGTTTTTGTTAGTTCTATTTTTAGATGTTAATTGCCCTATTTTTAGACGTTAATTGCCCTATTTCTAGATGTTAATTTCTCTATGTTAATTAAATTAAAACCATATTCAACATACCTTACATTCTACACATGACCGATCTATGTAGGTTGAAAACAAAGAACCACCTTTGATTGATTTTTCTTAGAGTAGCACTCACTGATCCTCTGTCGATTCTCATCCAATATGGGGCACATAGAATGCCCATATTGTACTTGAATAAAATTTCTGAAACCTTTTTATCAAGACGACCATCAAGGGTTTTTCCCTTATTTCTGTTGTCAAAGAAGATAAATTAATAAAAGTTGCCAAATAAAACAAGTTTTTCAAAATATTGCAGATATTCTGTTAACAATTCTGAGTACTGTAAGAATCAGATAATTTAGGCCTGAAGAATTTATTATGAATATAATATTTAATGTTAATTTTATTTTTACAGAAATTGTCCAGATTATGATTTATGTGAGAAATGTGAAAGCAAATATGGAATTCACAATACGGAACATGTCTTTCTTAAATTACGTCGACCTTGTAAAGAAAGTCGAGATAGCCGAAAAACTCCTTTGCTGAAAAGAGTTTTATACAAGTCTGATATAAGTGATGCTTTTGATAGGTAAGCTACATTATGTTACAATAAAAGATTTTAAGATGCATTATGTAAGAGCTAAATCTGCTTGTTGAAGGTCTTTTTTTCTGGCTTCCAATGCTGTTCAAACTATTATAACCATTATCAACTCTCTTGATCATCAAATGGCTTGGATATTAATTGGATAAGATCATCTGCGCCATTTAATCAGTTAATGGAAAATCAAGACTTCATTTATTATCATAGCAATGACAATCAATACACTATTTTTGCCAAACTTAAAGCATTTATGACATTGGTCAGAATAAAGTAATTTGAAATTTTCAATGTATTCATTTTTCATTATCTTTTTTAAAACTATTATAGCAAGAAAGACCAGCTCTTTCATAATGCATCTTTAAGATTCAAAACAGTAACAAGTACCATGGAAATTGAGGTGTTGTGTATGAATTAGTAATTACAGGAAGAATAGGTGGAATATTGCTATTGGCAATACACATAAAAACTACCATATGTCAAACTGAGAATGACCAAATTCTTATATTGACAAGATGTTTAACTATGTTCCATTTCCTTGTCTTTGAAAAGTTTTATTGTACGTTTGTAGATTGGGTGATAAAAGACAAGAAAAGCTGAAGAAAAAAGCTGAGAAACTGTTTGAGAAAGAGAAGAGAAAGGAAGAAAAATTGAAAAGGAAGCTAGAGAAGTATGATGGTTTGAAAGATTCGCCAATGAAACGAGAAAGATATGAAAAATTACCTGTTCCCATGCACCAGCATCTTCATTTTTGTTCAAAAGAGTAAGTGATAAATTAATTCACTATTGATATAATATGATGAAGAGAAAATCTTTATCAGAACGTGTTCTATACTCTTAAAAATGCATATGTGCACCAAAATAAAAGGTGAGTAAGGCATTGGCTCACTAACCAGGAAATCTCAGGTTCGGTTTTGGTGTTGGCTGAGAAAGTTCTCAGAATTTTCCAGTATGATTTCCCCATACCAGTGATGTAATAGCAAGGAACAGAGTCTAGTTGTTCAGATGGGACTAAAAAAAAGGTTCTGTGTACACAATGCTGTGTGCGTATATGGACCTTTGATGATTGGAATTTGATGAAAAGTAAGCTGAAATGCTGCTGTCTAGACAAAATTTGTCTCATAGCACACTGCATAGAGAATGCCTCTCTTCATGAACCTGTTCGATGCAGAAAAGTTAGATGTTAAACCCCATTTTGTTTTATTTCACAGCATTAAATGAAAAGCAAGCTGTAAAAACTGAACCTTAAGACAAAGACAATTTTAAAAAAAAGAGACCATATTCATTGAATGAAAAGATTTACATTTGAAAAAGCAGTTGTCAAATGGAATACTGAAATTAACTGATTCAAATATTGTCTGTAAGTTGTGATATATTATTTCAGATATAAGCTATTGGGAGGTTCGTTTGTTCGAGATATCACCATTCCTGATGGTACAGCTGTTCAACCTGGCACCAGGATGTTTAAAACATGGCGTCTCTTAAATACTGGTAGCACTGCATGGAGAGATACTTCAATGGTAAATATTCATTTGATTAAACTAGATGAACATTTAATTCACACCACTCAAATCATTTGTTAAGACAAGAACTGTGTCAGATCAAATTGAAAGGGTTACTGCTATATCTCTGCCCACAGCTGTTTAATCCCATGGTGTATTTACTGGTTAGCTTGTATGTGAATTTCTGAATTCACAATACAAATGCTGCACATATATACCAGATCCTAATTGATGTAATCAAGTTAGACACGACATGACACATGGTCCAGTAATTAGTAGGAATGATGCTGGTGAAGAGTTTCTCTTTTGCATGTTTGATGTATGTTGCAGTTAAAAAAATGGACTCTTCTAATTAAATTTTTACAAAATAGTGAAAAAAAAAATTAATGACTTTTTTAAAATTGATTGTTTCATGCCAATTGACATGTTAATCTTGCCAACTGAAATCTCTGATTTTACAGTGTGCCATGTACATGTACCAGCTGAGTCTTCATGTGGTATTTAATTGATATAATTGTATTATGATGGAAAGTAATTACTGTACTTAAGAAAATTTCATATTTTGATATTATAGTTACGATTGATGTATGGAACCATACCAGCTGTAAAAACAGAAGTAGCTGTACCACATTTAAAGCCTGGTGAAGAAGGGGATGTAACAGCTGAATTAACAGCTCCTGAAGAACCAGGTAATGCTGCATTCCACTGACTTCACTAACAGCTTATTGCACTTGTGTTAATATACTATTCAAAAAAAGTAGGGGATATTTGATTTTGGGGGCATAATACTAAAATATGCAAATGACTACGAAAAAAGTCACTATAGAACCTAACAGAAGAAACATTTCCAGTTACATGTGACGCCCAAACGCACCAATAGCTACCGCATGGAATGCAGGTGATGCTTGGGATCATCATGGGGGTCCAACCCAAGATTTGCACGACTCTGACTTTGAATGTTACAGTCATTGTGGCATTGAATTCCAGGGTGGAAACATCAGTTTAATTGTTTTAGTGACCAGAAAACAAATTTTGATATGCGTCGGCTTACCCAAAATGAAAGGTTACGTGCCCTTGGCATGCTACAGATCGGCACAACACAGGCGGTTGTGGCGCGGACGATGAATGTTTCTCAGTCTGTCATAAGCAGGCTATGGTCCAGATACCGTGATACACAATCTGTACAGGACAGACCACGCTCAGGTCGACCAAGGGCGACAACTCAAGCCCAGGATCGATTTATCCGTACCTTAGCCTTGAGAAATCGTGTCATCACAGCAAATCAGATCAGCGCTCGTCTTCAAACAGACACTGGTGTGAGAGTGAGTGGCCAGACGATTCGGAATCGACTGCATAGGGGTCACCTTCGCGCCCGACGTCCTCGCGTGATCCCTTGTTTGAGAGATCATCACATTCAGGCAAGACGTCGTTGGTGTAGGGATCGTCAACACTGGGATAATCGACGCTGGAGCAATGTGATGTTTTCAGATGAGTCCAGGTTCACTGTTGATTTTTTGGACAGACGTAGGAGGGTGTGGCGTCGTCGAAACGAGCGCTTCCAAGACGTTAACGTCATCAGACATGATCGATTTGGGGGTGGTTCTGTTATGGTGTGGGGAGGCATCACTGTTGCTGGAAGAACGGCTTTACATGTTGTTGCAGGGCGTGTTACAGGCCAGTACTACCGGGACAACATCTTGGCAGTCCATGTTGTGCCGTTCGCACGACGTCATGGCCGCCGTTTCATCTTCCAGGATGACAACGCAAGATGTCACAGGGCCAGGATCGTTACAGGTTACCTCCAACAACAGAACATCACCACATTACCTTGGCCAGCACTGAGTCCCGACCTCTCCCCCATCGAGCATGTCTGGGACATGCTTGGACAGAGGTTACGTCAACGTCAACAACGTCCTGCCAATGTCCAAGAACTTGCTGCTGCGTTGCAACAGGAATGGGACAATCTGGACCAAAATGACCTTAGACGTCTCATTAGGAGTATGCCACGTCGGATCAATGCTTGTTTGGCAAACAGAGGAGGATTTACCCGTTACTGACTTGGTTGTGATGCTGTGGTAACTTTGCTGTTTGACCCCGGGTATCATTTTACCCTTATAATGGTCAGTCTGTGCCTTACTTAGTCTAACGATCATTTGGAATAAATCGATGAATGTGAACTTCATTTCATTTTGTCATTTGTTTCTTCGTCAGTTTCATAAGGTGACTTTAATAACACTTAAAAATCAAATATCCCCTACTTTTTTTGAATAGTATATATTTTATTGAAAACATTAGAATACACTTACAGCTCTCTTAGAGAGAAAAATAAAACTCATAGACTAAGCACTAATCTGAAATATCTAGTATTTTGTCTGGTTTTTCATCTCCAAAATGAAATGTACATTGGCTATGTGATGATTCCAAGAAAAGTTATAAAATTAGAATTGCTTTATATAACCTCAAATCTGTTTGCAATGATAATGAAATAATTGATATACCGTTAATCATAACTGCATTGCCATAACTAAAGTTTTTACCATTTAGATTAAAGTTTATCTTATTATTCTCTTTTTAGGAAGATATCAGAGTCACTGGAAGTTATTTGATAGAGGTTTGGCATTTGGTCACAGAGTATGGGTTATGATTAATGTGGTACCAAGGGAACTCCTTGAGCCAAAACCAGTTGAACCACTACGTGTTGTAGAAGAATTCAAGGAAGAAGAAGTCACCAAGACTGAAGTAAGTAAACTATGAATTTCCAAAATGAATTTTGCTTTGAAATCATTTTATTGATAAAAAGATGTGAGCGAATACAAGTGAAATATTTTTGCAAAGATCTCAGAGGAACAAATATGGTGATGGGAAATCAATTGAAACTAATGTAAACTTCAAATGGCTATGAATTATGTTAGGATTGACCAATTTTAATAATTTCTTTTTTGTTAAGATTATTCTTGATGTTGTATGATCTTAAAACACCATATTGCCCTCTTTTCTGGTCTGCCATCTGTTTTAAGCTCTGTAGTCAGTTTTAAAGTACAATGAATATTTGTGTATGTATTTGCAGGCACCAGAAGATCAGACAGTTGTTAGAGATATTGAAACACCTGTGACTAGGTGTGATGTACCTTTATATCGTTTGATACCAAGCATGCTCGACCAGGTCGATGAATTGGAACAACAACCAGCCATTGTTGACACACAGCCTAGCCCTGTTAATGACTTGAATAAGACTGATTCAAAAGGTGAAGAATCCTTCACCAAGATTGAATGTTTGAATGTTGATGGAAGTGAAACTGATGCTGTAGAATTAAATTTGAATTCAGCTGTGGCTGCCATGGAGAGACTAACTGTGTCTGATCCTGTTGATGTACCAACCACAAGCAATAACAAAGATTTACTTTCGTTTGAGTTTTTGGATCGTACTCCACCTAAAGTATCACAAACAGCCACCCCTAATAATACTCCTCTTGGTAAGCATTTTTTTTCAATGCATTGATGTATACCAAAAACTATTTTTCATATAATAATTTCCTGGATGGCTTAAGCTTTAGTGAACCTAACCAGCATTTATAACTGTCTGCAGAAAAGGCAGAATATAGTTATGTCAAAAAGGTGTACTTCAATTGTATTTATTTTTCAGATGTAAGTCCACCTAAGTCCCCTATCACTACACCACGATTAGAGACCGTTCTATCAGCTAGTAGTAGTATGGAACTAGTTAATGGTGAAAATGAGGAATGTGTACCTCTGTTAGCTGAATATCCCCATGAACGCATACAAAGTCTAGAATTTAGACCTGGTGAGTCCTTATTTCTTTGAATCCGGTTAAGGATACTAATAAGGAAAACGGTTTTTGATCAGGATTTTTATGTTACAAAATTAAGACCTCACCATTTTGGCTTTCTGATTTTGATTTAATGCTGAGCAATGAATGAGGATCTTATATTTTATCCTGTAAGCTTATTTAAAATTACAGACTAAAATTGCCTGATATTTATTATGCAGAATAAACAACCGGTTACTAAGTAAAGTCTAAACTTGTCCATTCATTGTCTTCCAAGTGTAATACATAACAGCAATTGTAGAATACTAAAATTGTTTCCGTTTGTGTATCACAAAAGAAATGTTTTTGATGCATGTAAATATGTCATACTTGTAGTTTGAGTTTGTTTTTTGATTGATTGTTATGCATTGAGGGTCGCAACTGCTAGTAAATATTTAAAAAGCACTGGTCCTGTTTTTATTTGACAGATATATTAGATGATGTGGAATCACTAGATAGTTATTCTGACGACGATTCAAGTTCTAGTGATGATTTCTTCTTGGTACCATTACCAGATTGTTTTGATACCAGTAAACCTTTAACTACATCCTTTCGACAAAACAATAATAACACAGTTAATACAGGTAAGCATAACTTAATTTACTCAGGATTTGATACAATTCTTATATTCAAATTGTGTTTCAGTGAGACTCTTATTATGTATATAATACAGCTTTACTGAATAAATTTATTTGGGCAGCTTATTTTTACAATGTGTTATGAACAAGTGAACTTTAAGATACCGGGTTACAAAGCCAGCATCAACTAGAGAGAATATATCACCCTATCACCAAAAGTGAGTGTGCTTGATGTGTTTGATTCCAATTTTGTCAATTGGAAACACTCTGGAATGGTAGTGTTGAGTACCCTCCCGTAACTCGACAACTGAGAAATTTTAGTTACGAAGAAAATTTCTAACTTTTGCATGTTTTTTTTTTTTTGTCATTTATTATGTACAATTTGATTAATCATTTTCAGAAGTAACAGTTGAATTTGATGGTGATGAGACCCCGCTTTCACAACTGACAGTTGATGATATGTTACAAGTATCAGCTTCTGTTGATACCAGACCGCTCACACCAGAAGTTACCTCCCCAGAAATTATACGTGATGTGGACCAAACAGAAGCCAGTTCAGGAGAAAATCAAGAAAGTGAATCAGTGGCTAATATATCTGATGGTGCTGTTGGAGAATCTCCGGAAAGTCAGATTTTAGGTAGGGCTCTTACCATTGTTAATTTAGGTCCTAATTTTTAATTTGATAAAGTACTGTATTGCTGTAATACTATTTGATCAAATATTACATGAGTACACCACAGACAATCCAGACTAGCTAAATGAACCCACCAGAAGGCAATATCCATCTTAATTGATGCGCATTACCTTCTAAGAATTTGATATATTCTACTTTCCTCTTGCTCTTTAAGGTTCCTTTACATGTAGATTATATTTCTACTGACCATGAAAAATAAAACTGAAGCCACATATTGCATAATAAGCCCACAATAAATTAAAGAAGTTCATTATTACAAACATTCAAGCACTATTTGGTTATCTGTAATCACTGAGGGCACATGGGATAATTTTGGTATTATTTTAAATCTACTTGACTTCAAGTATCTTTTAAGGATCTTGACTGTCATGGAGACATATCTATCATAAGCATTGTTTAGTATTATTTTTCAACGGTAAATATACAGATATATGCAAGAGTTCATTTCAATTATTTGTAGACTCATCATGTTATGCAGCGGCTAGTGGTCGACCATTAACAGATGCAGAACATCAGACCCAGGTTATACAGATTGATGAAGGATGTTCTCAGGCTGCTGAGAGAACAGAACCAACCAGTTCAGACTCGTCACAACAGGGAGCAGATGCGTCAGCTATAGCTGCTGCCACTGCTGAACAGTAAGTTAACACTTCATTCTTACAACACTTTATGAATTTCTTATAATCTGTGGTGATATTTTAACTATTGACCAATAAAGCTATGATATTCTTCGGATATGAGTTACAGTTTTCAAGAAATTATCTCTTACAATTAAAATCTTTGATAAATACCTTTCAGTAAGCTATGACATGTAAGAAAATTCTTGACATCATTTAGTCTTTTCTGAAGGAAACAGTTATAGGACAAGTGGTATAATTAAATAAATATTTTGAATAAAATTTAAGTATTCAGTTCATTTTGTTTTTCAGAGAGTCAATTACTTGTGTCGATATTGATTCATTATGTGTGTCAACTGTCATTTTCACAGTCAAAACTGAGCTGTGAATTTCTCTATCAATAATATTTAAGTTTATTTCTGCTACATTTTCTCCTTTGACAAGACACTGTAATATTTTAGCTTAATTGAGGCGTATGTTGAATTTATTAACTTGTGTTATTTTTCAGACAAGAATTTGCCAAACAATTACTGGACGTAGCTGTAACTGCTGCTGCTAATGCAGCCTCGAATGCCTTCTGCAAAGTAAAAGATGTATTTAATACCTGGCAAGCTAAAGATGTAAGTTTGGTTTTCCATTGGGAGTTTTCATCACATTGACAAAATAAGCATCGTTTGTTGGCTTTAAAATGAACCTGTGAGCATTCATTCTGTCAACATCAACGGCTAAAAGTTTGTAGATCACTGGAATAATATTTCTGTTTAATTAATAGCTATTGTTGGTTATTTAATTTTAGATTGAGCGAAAACAAAATCAACAAAAAGTTGCTCAGAACATAAAAGTAACAAAAGAATGGAGTCCTAAACCAGATACATATAAACCACCCCAGAGTACTTGGACACCTCCAAAAGATACATATGTACCCCCAAAGAGTACTTGGACTCCTCCTGAAGATAGCTATACCCCTAAGGAATCCTCAGCGACTGATACCAGAAGGGAAGAAGCTACACCGATGAAACGATTGATAGAAATGGGCTTTTGTAATCGGGAAGTAAATCAGGAACTGTTGACACAGTATGAAGATGATGTCAATCAAGTTATATCTGTCCTTATAGATATGCATAAAGATGACTGGGCTGCAGATAGACATTAAGTAATATAAATCCTGAAGGTGGGTGGGAGTCTTCAAAATTTAAACTATCCTTCAATTAATGTCTGTAGGTCTAGACTTTTCACATTACAATCTGACTTATATTATTAATACTTTTTTCGATTTAATTTTTACTTCAAGCATCCTACAAACTGATTTTCTACTGTCAAGGTTCTATTGAAATGCTGATGTTGTTACTCATCAGAAATTTCTTTTTTAGTCGCTAGACTGGGAATATGGACACTGTGAGTTATGAAAATCGGACAGAGCGGCAATATATGAACCAGATATAAACATTATAATAAAAATTATCTTAGATTTTTGTCTTAGATATCTGTTTTAATTCATATAGCTGCTGTATAACATCCTACATGTTCTTCTTGTATATCTTTAAAGCTTCAATAATTTTATGTTGCTTTTAAATTTATTACTTGATTTGTATTGTTAATGTTATAGCTCCTATAATTTGTTTCTTTGAACAAAGTAAATTCTTGAGAAAATAAAGTATGCAAGTAGTATCTGAGAGGAACATATCTATGTAGACAGAAATGTCTAGTAAATAATGGTTTAGGATTTGAAAAATGTTCTGAAATTTTTAATCTTTATAGAATGTAAATACATGTAGTTATTATTATAATTTAATAAAATGTACAAAGTAATCATGCTTGCAAAAATATATGTTTTTTTTGTAACAACACTTGGATCTGGAGTAATCGGGATGTCATGAGACTTTTTTTTTAAGACTGTGAGTTTTTACTTCAATTTCTGTTGATTGTTGAAAGGAAAAGAAAGTAATCTAAATCAACATTGGTACAAATCATCTTTGTATTTCAGATAACCAAAAGCTACATGTAGCATGATGGAGAAAAAAAAGTTCATGACATCCCAAAAATTATAAGCAAATATTTTATTCTTTATGATTAATAATTATTATTATATTTTGTTAATGTATGTTTATGATATGTGTTTATTATAATAATAATATTTGAATTATTATAATATCTTTGTGAACTGTGATGGATAAATGAAATGAAGTGCGTTTTTGTTGTTAGTTTTTATAATTTTCTTTAGTTAGTTTATATTTAATCAAAAGATTTGAATTCAGCTTATTGTTTATTAAAGTTTTTATTCAGTATTTCAAATTAAACTTGTAAAATTAATGAGGTGTTAAAACAAATTTAAAAAAAATAAAATTCTTCCTTTGATTTAACCACTTAAAAAGCCTGCCCGAAATAATTCAATAAATAAGACAAATGAATAAAAATTACTATTTGAATAATACTTTATGGTAAATGTTTGAATAAATGACTGGAAGTGTGGCTGTATGGGTTTGAAATTACGTGACTTGGAAGATTTGTAAAAAATCTGTCACTCCCCGCATCATTAGTGCTACATGTAACATAGAAAACTATTGATATAATGTACATTACCATGTTAATTATTACTATTATTAATTGATCGATTGATACATACACTTATAAATATATAAATATGATAAAATGTCTGTATTAATATTTTAAATAGATTTGTGATTTTGCTTGTATATTTGCTTCTTCGGTTTTATCTTGTGTAGCTTAATATATCACCCAAATAAATAATGTTGTCATTAACTGTCCTCAGTCATATATATCCCAGTTAAAATGAAGTGAGCCACTTAATATAAAATTTAATTACATTCTTCACAACATAACCTACCTGTCAGATGCACTTTTGGACAATTTTACAATATTAACCTAGAGATTTGAATATGTCTTAATGTAGTCACATTAAATAAATAATTTTCTTTCCCTCTCTTCCCATTTTAATGTCATTTATTTATCATATTAAGTCAATATTCAACTGGAATTTTTAACCATTGCTGTGTGAATATCTTTGTGAAGTCTTGAAAGAATAAGAACATACTTTTTTAACTGTTAAGCCCCATCTCAAGCCCTGCAGCTTTTTGCCTGATTCCTAAAACTGTTAATTTTTTAATTTAATAATACATTTTATGGCACGCTTTCTCATTTATATTGTAACATTTATTAATTACATGTTTATTTAATTTTTTTTTTAAGAAGGAGCTTTCAATATTAAAACGTAGACTATCACATGGTAATATTGTGATATATTTATTATTATATTTTGTGGTGGAAGAGATAAACATTTAAATACTGTAATAAGTTAAGGAGAGAGACTTTTTATAAAATAAGCAAGAAAGATGACAAGAGAGTTTGAATGAAAGAAAGTTAGCGAAATAACGTTTGTGTTCTGTCAAGTGATTTCTTCTGTATATTGCTACAAATAAAAACATAAAAATGTAACCTTTGTTGTTGTTACATTTTTGTCCCCCGCCTTTCGAAGAAAGCAGGGGACTATTAAAATGGGTTCGTCTGTCCGTCTGTCTGTCCGTCACACTTTTTGGGACACAATAACTCTCTTCCTAATTGAGCTAGAATGTTCAAACTTGGTGTATGTGTTTATTAGGTCAATGCCTTGATGGAGTTCGAAGATGAGCATTTTCCGCTTAGGGTAAGCAGAGATAAGCAATTTGATTGGTTGATGCTTTGGGACACGATAATTCTCTTCCTAATTGGGCTAGAATGTTCAAACTTGGTGTATGTGTTGATTAGGTCAATGCCTTGATGGAGTTCGAAGATGAGCATTTTCCGCTTGGGGTAAGCAGAGATAAGCAATTTGATTGGTTGATGCTTTGGGACACGATAACTTTTAATTGAGCTAGAATGTTCAAACTTGGTGTATGTGTTTATTAGGTCAATGCCTTGATGGAGTTCGAAGATGAGCATTTTCCGCTTAGGGTAAGCAGAGATAAGCAATTTGATTGGTTGATACTTTGGGGCACGATAACTCTCTTCCTAATTGAGCTAGAATGTTCAAACTTGGTGTATGTGTTGATTAGGTCAATGCCTTGATGGAGTTCGAAGATGAGCATTTTCCGCTTAGGGTAAGCAGAGATAAGCAATTTGATTGGTTGATGCTTTGGGACACGATAACTTTAGTTCTAATTAAGTGAGATTGATGAAACTTGGTGTATAGTTTCATTACAGTAATACCTTGACTAAGTTTGATAATGAGCATTTTCTGCTCAGGGTAAGCAGAGCGATACGCAATTTGATTGGTCGAGACTTTGGAAAACAATAACTCTCCTACTTTGATTGTCCCCCGCCTTTCGAAGAAAGCAGGGAACTATTAAAATGGGTTCGTCCGTCTGTCTGTCTGTCCGTTCCGCTTATTTGTGATAAATTTATATGTGTCCTCTAATTATTTTCCTATTTCGGCGGGGGACATCAGCCTCACTGTTGGCTTGTCCCTCTACAAACTCCTAAATGTTCCTACGATGGGTATGGATATCATGTACAAGGCAGAATATGCTTACCATACTTTTTTTACACCCACATTGCTTGTTGGCACTCTAGTGGCTAAAGTTATTCATTGTGTTTATGGTCATGAAACAAAGAAGCCTATTGATTTTCAGCGAGCAGAACAGTACGTAGGACATTTAAACCCAATTTCATTTCATGTTCAGCGATTTCTAATAATTACATGTACTACCTGAGATATGGCCCTTGATAATTTTGAAAAATATTGTGGATACTCTAGAGGCTAAAGTTATAATTTCCCATAAGTATTGTCAAGAGTTATGGCCCTTGTTAAATTTTATAATTGTAAGGGGGATACTCGATTGAACGTTCCCGAATTAAATTCTTTCAATTCCAAAAATAGTGTCAATCGAGTGCAAGGGAGAATTTTGGAGAACATAGCATGTGTCGACTGCATAAAAATATATCCCAACCAATCATGACAGCTGAAACATATTTGTTACTTAAAATATGTCACGATTCTACTCACACTACCTCAGCTGTCGAACTGGCAGAACTGTGACAGGGCTGAATTCTGAATCCCTTGATTGCAATTCTGTCAATTCGGGACATTCTGGACTGACAATCGAGCACCCCCTAGTTGATGGTCTAGAGCCTCAAATTATTACACACTTGGCTTGAAAATTATGCATGGTGTTTATGGCCGTGAGACAAAGAACATATCCTGTGTGGCCCGTCAAATTCTCAAACAAAAGAATAACATTCTATTCACCATTACAAATATCAGGGCTTCAGCCATCCCAATAATTTATAAATATGTCTTCATTAAATTGTCCTGGGGAGCAGCCTCCTGAACCTGATTCTGGCTTGCTGTTCACTTGATGCCACTGCTCATTGTACTCATGTTGGAGGGTTGTTAATTGTGTCCAGCTTGATCATATAAACATTTTTGATTAACTATTGCTCTGTTCTTGTACGGTTTGTTCTTTGTTTTGTTGAGCAGTTGTGCTGCATTGTCAAGTAGGTCGATGAACCATTCGAACCCATCTTTGTCCTAGTTTATTCTGGTTATAGAGAGAGAGAGAAATGGGGTTTAACATCCACTCGACACAAACTACTTTATTTTGGGACTAACACATGGTTAAATTTTATTTCAACAATTCGCTTGCGCGTAGGGCTCTTTAGCAGTGGGAGGAAAGCGGAGGCCCGGAGAATTAAACCCACGGCACAAGATTGGACAGGCGAACCTACTCCTTGTCACATACAACCGGGGAATCGAAAGCATGCCAGTTATAATTGACTCGCAATGACAGACCTTATGATACAGTGCGCACGTGCTAACCATTCCGCCAGCTGCCCCCCCTATTTGGTTATAGATCATTTAGAATTATTATGGCAGTAATATATTTGACAATGCCCAGATATTTGAAATGTGTAGCCAACTGCTAATTGAGTAATTCATTAGAAATTGGTAGGTGGGGGGGGGGGGGCATGTCTGTAATATATTGAATTTAAATGTAAAATGCTTTGGGCTGTAATGTTAGAGCAAAGTTCTTACTTTTGGGATTTTCAGTCTAGCTTTGTGCATAAATGACTATAGTTATAGTGTCTTATATTAAGTTGGGTAAATTATATGATGCCCCATTTGGTATACAGACAACTCATCCCAAAGACAACTCATCCCAATAAAAGACAACTCATCCCAATATAAAAGACAACTCATCCCAATTGCTTTCTTTGAAGACCACTCAGACCAAAACCAATCTGATTTTGTTATCTTAAAGGGACAATAACACTCTGGCTGTCTTGACAGCTCCAGAAAATAAATAATTGTCCTACCGGTTGTGTAAATTATCCATTACATCCTATTTTACTTGTCCAGAGGGTTCGAAAATATTTTTAAATCCAACTCACATTTGAAAAGGTTTACGTTAGGCTTTTCAAATCATTTAGTTGAATTTTTCCAATTTTTTAAATTAGGTGTGTTAAGATGAAATTTGTATCATCAATTAATTGGAATACTGTAAAATAGTACAATTTGTTGACCAGAATAAAGATTGGGACATGTTATTCAGTTACAACAAGAGTGGTATTGTTGTTTTAATCAAATTGATATTGTTGTTTTAATCAAATTGATATTGCAGTGACCGCCCTAGACTCTTAAAACCTTTAGCCAAATTTTTAGCCAATTCAAAATTTTATTAGCCAATTCAGAAAGTTTTAGCCAAATATTTTATATCATTTTTATTCATATGTTTGTTAATTAAAAATGAAAATAAATGTGTGTGTGTGTTTGTTGTATTTTACGTCCGCTTCCACCGAGGTGATATCGCGGACAAAATAAATGTTTAATATGTACTTTTATTTTATGATCAGTAGTGGAATATCGCGTTTTATCAGTGAAATAAAAGTGTTATTCCACTGGCTAGTTGTTTTTACCTAAAATGATTGTAAAATCATAAAATAAATAGAACATTTGTCGTTTTGTCGTGAATAACATATTTTATTTCATCTCTAAGCAAGAAAACGTTTATGTTTTCACTCATGCTACGCATTCGTGAAAATATAAGTTTTCTTGCTTCTCGATGAAATAAAATATGTTATTCACTCTAAAACGACAAATATCCTCTATATATAGTACACAAGAATATTATTTTATCTCCTTGTTCATGCAAAAGTTCACATTATTGAGAGAATGAATGCAGATAACAAAAAAATGTTTATAGGACGTACTTCACAGTCACATGATTTAATTTACTTCATCGTCATAACAGAAAAGACACGACGATTCTTTTTAAGACACCGCTGATTTGAAATTTATGTCCGGTCCATCCATTTTTATAAGCATGAGGTCATTGAGGGTTAGCTCGACGGTCTCGGTTAAAGGTCTAATTTTTGTCCACATGTTGATGAAGCCAACGAAGGACTTGCGTCCGAGATGACACGCTCACTCACGGAAGTAGATTCTGGACTAACAGTAGTCGTAGGAAGGAAAAAGGAATCTATCCTTATTTTGGGTTTACTAGTATTAGTTGTAATTAATGTGCGTTTTATTTATTTGCTGCGTAAGTAAAGAAAACTTGTAGTGAAGCGAATGTAAACAACGCAGTGCCACACAAAAGGGGCGTAACTGTGTTTTATAGTCTCCAGACTCGATCTTTCGGTCGTTTTAATGCGTAATATTGTAACATTGACTGATTTGCGACTTGTAAGATTGAGACTAGAGTAATTAATGTACTAAAAATAGACACTCCATCGAGTCGATCGAAAGAAGCGTTTAACGAGACGATTTCAAGTTTAATATTAGCAGATTTACGAAATAACACTCTCTAAAATTCATTCGCCAAATTTTTCGCCAGTATCATCACTTTATTCGCCAATAAAAATAATTGTCGCCATTGGCGAATTGGCGAATGTCTAGGGCGGTCACTGATATTGTTGTTGTAATAAACTGATGATTACTGTTTGTATTACTGTTTTAGTACTTTGTTGTTTTAACAGATTGGTAGTTGTGTTTTGTTTTATTTTTTCATCATGAAGCACTTCAAAGAAAATTAATCAACAAAACATCGATTAACTAAACTGAGTAGTAGTATTTCAGTATCATTTTTCAAAATGTCTGATAGCTGTATAGTTTGTGAGTCAGTTGTTCGCCCAAGACCGGAGGTTGTTCAGTGCGACGGATGTGAACGATGGCAGCACAGAACTTGTAATACTGGTACGAAGGCACCAGCAAAAACAGACAAGAACAGCGCAATTCAAATTATTTTAACTGTGGCATTCATACACAGACCAGACTATTAGTACCAACCAGTTACTAAAGAGAGGTGGGGGAATTTATGGACCTAACTGAAGGACAAATTTACTAAATGGCTAACCTACTGAATGACATACTGACAGAAGGGAATTTATGGACCTAACTGAAGGACAAATTTACTAAATGGCTAACCTACTGAATGACATACTGACAGAAGAAAAAACATATTTATAAAAATGTATTAGTTGATCATGATATAATAAAATGTATTATTTAATAAATTGTTGATGTAATAAATAATAAAATGAATTATTTAATAAATTGTTGATGTAATAAATAATTTAACATTATTATTTTTATAAATTGTTGATCTAATAGATTATAATATAAATTGTTGATATAATAAATTCTTATATAAATTGTTGATATAATAATAAATTATTATATAAATTGTTGATATAATAAATTCTTATATAAATTGTTGATATAATAAATTCTTATATAAATTGTTGATATAATAAATAATAAAAAAAATCAATATTTGTTGCGATATTTATTTGTAACTTGGAATGATTATTGTTTTTTTTAAAGTTGGGATGAGTTGTCTTCTAACTTGGGATGAGTTGTCTTTTGACTGGGGATGAGCTGTCTTCTAATTTGGGATGAGTTGTCTTTTTATTGGGATGAGTTGTCCGGGATGAGTTGTCTGGGATGAGTTGTCTTTGGGATGAGTTGTCAGGTATTCCCCCATTTCCTACCGGTATATATGTGGCGCCACCAAGGTACTTGTTGAACGGAGCTTGTGAAGCGTGGAGTTTATCGTGTACGTGACGGCACGAGAAATTACGAGATATGGGGCGAATATGGCGGATAGAAGTTCAACGCATGAGATTACTCACTACATAAATGTTGAAAATGCAAAGATTGTAGCCTTTTTGATGGTTGTTGGATTTGTTATGTACCATAGCATAATCCACCTAAAATATGGTACCTAGTTTTGTTTATAATATCCATAAACTGTCGCGCAGCTAAGCCTAGTCTAACATTCATTTGTTGTGTACACAAAAATATAATTTTTTGGAAACCATGGACGTTAGACTATGTAATTACTTTGCACACAATTAGAAAAAAACCCCGAGAATTATTAATATGTTTAAATTTTAAAAATCGGTTCAGAACATTTATTTTTGTAGCTGGTTTTATACCCATAGATAAGCAGCATTTTGCAAAATTCTGTCAAAAACATTCAAAAATGATAAAAATTTGACAGACTCAATTGAATGACTTTGGAGCATGCTCAAATTTGACTTGCATACGCTAGATTTATACATATACTAAAATCCACCACAAAAATATTGTTTTTAACATTTATTTCGACAAAATTTAAAGGAAATCGGTCATATTTCGTACAGAAAAGTAATAAAAATAACTAAAATTTCATTGGTCGATGCTTTACTTTAGGACAAGATAACTTTGATTCTATCTGATAGAGTCATGAAACTTAGTGTATAGTTGATAATCTGTTTGATTGCTGGATACTTTTGAAAAATTAAATTTGCGATAAATGAATGTGTCATCTATTTATTTTTGGATTTTGGCGGGGGACATCAGCCTCACTGTTGTCTTGTTTAGCTTATTCTCTGTCCAGCTCTTGCAAAATGTGGGCGTATCTTGCCTGGCAACCAACCGCTGGTTATAATGATTTATAGATTGAATTGTTAAAATTGAATTATAAAATTGTTAAGAGAATGCAATTAATTTTATCACTTTTAAGTTAAAATCTCTGCTCATCATTTGGGGGATGGTTAATTCCTTGTAAACTACAATATTGTGAATGTTGAATAGCTAAAAAAACCAAAAACTAAAAGAGTACATTTTCGCAAAATGGTTCAATTCTGTTCATTGTTTACAAAGTTATGAGGAATTGAAAATTTGTCAACATTCGGCGTCCACTGCAGCCTATAAGTAAGATAAAGTTAGCACAATCCATGATTTTCGTAGAATCTTTTGATGGTTCTCTTTTAATCTGAGTGCATCCAATTTGGGAGATTATCTAATGCCATACAGAGACTAACAGTCCATACATTCAGGCATTTCATTTCTTCATCTTTCTATTCTTTGACAGCTGACATCAATTCGAGTTTAGATTAATTAAATAAGTTTCATTTAAAATATATGATTAATTATGTACATAAATATATTTATTACACTTTTCTATAGCACAAATTGATGGAAGCAAGAAGTAGTTCTCCAACTGCACTGCTTAATATGATTTCCTTATTAAAAACAAGAGTGGATATTAATTAAAAAAAATATAATTGTACAACAAAAGGATCAATTTCACGGTAGAAAATTTCATCACCAGATCTGAATTGATAATCAGCTAATGATGACATTCAGCTAACAAATCGATCTATTTTGCACTAAACATGGAGCAAGTTGACCAGAATGTGGGTGCAGTATTGAATTTTAATCATAATCCTATTATTTCTCTAATTGCAGGAAATGATTCATGTAAATGGCTTCTTAGTGATGGACGTTTCCCAGGTTACAATACTTGGCAACCGTATGGATGTATGACCCACAAATACACCAAATCGTAAGTATTTATAGTCTTCTAATACTGGTGATGTCGTTCCATTTTATTATACTTGAACCCATAATCAGGGTCGACTAGAGGTAAAGTATTATTTGACAGGAAATAGCAATAGTCCATTTAGTTAAAAACAAAAACCAGTTAACCAATGGCAATTTTGGCATATTGGCTGATACCGCCAACATCCAATAATCGGGTCGTCACAACTGACCATCCACATCTGGCAATTTGAATTTTTTCTATTTCAGAGATGCCCGAATGTGTATGCATTATATATCGTATTGGGGAGGAAGGAACCACATTGTTTTTTTAGGAGATTCTCGTATTAGACAATTGTACTTCCATTTTATTAATCTGATCAGTAATGATGAAGTCAAAAAGTTCAAGGCACACAGAGATGTCCATTTTCAAGATAATAAGATCAATGCAAGAGTGGTAGGTATTTTCTTAGATTTAATTTAAGTGGACAGTGGATGTCTCAGATTGGCTCATTTGACAACTATTGATGTATCGCTGAAAATGGCTTTAGATTTGTAGTTTGATTATCTTTATATTGGACATTCCCAATTATTCCATTACTATATATCAAGAATTATACTGAGTATTATATCAGATGGTGATCTTGTTAGAAAAGACTATGCTGAAAATTGTCCTGGATAATGATGATGTTCCCCATATTTATATTCAGATATATAATCTATGGTTTTAGATCATCAAATATAAACTGAACTAACTTCACCCATGATATATTTATCTTATCAGGTGATGAGATGGTAATTATCATGGTTTTGCGGTTTCAAACACATTTCGTCTTTAAGACACACAGATTCCTGGAGTTGGTTTGTGGGATATTACATCGACAGGGACTTTTAAAATAGAAATTTTCAAAAATGACATTAAGCACCTGTGATTACAACTTTCAGAGATAAGTTTTAAAGAACTTCATGTTTTTGTGTTTTTCAGGATTTTTTATGGCACCCAATGGTTAATATATCTATGTATAATGTATATAAGAACTGGTTGATTAGTGAACCCAGTGCCAGACCTAATCTAGTTATAACAAGTAGTGCTACAGTAAGTATTCCATGCCATAGGTGTTCCAATATTTTATGCTATTCTTGAATTATACAACAAATTCATACGCATAGTTAGTTTTTGTACGCCCACATTTTCATGTGGACGTATTATGCCGTCACCCCTGTCCGTCCGTCTGTCCACAATTGTTTGTGGACTCTCTACAGGTCACAATTCTTATCCGATTTTGACGAAACTTGAAATATAGGTTTATCCCCAAAAGATCTCGGCTGCTTTCGATATTGGCATGTATCGGATCGAAACTTCATGGATAATGGCCTCTGATTGTACGAAAAATCACGTTTTTAGCTTGTGGACCCTATAGAGGTCACAATTTTTATCCGATTTTGTTGAAACTTGAAATTTAAGTTTATAACCCAAAGATCTCGGTTCCTTACAAAAATCGCGTTTTTAGCTTGTGGACCCTATAGAGGTCATAATTTTTATCCGATTTAAAAAACCGTATTATTATATCACCGTTACACCCTAAGGACGGCTGAGTTCGAATTTCGTGAAAATCGGCCCAAAATTGACAGACAAAATGGCCGTCATTCGTTCTCAAATAGCGTAAAAATATGGTATATCATGGTTGTGGACCCTATAGAGGTCACAATTGTAATCCGATTTTGTTGAAACTTGATATGTAAGTTTATAACACAAAGATCTTGGTTCCTTTCGATATTTGCGCATATCGAATTGTAATTTCCTGAATTATGGCCCTTGATTGTAGGAAAAATCACTTTCTTTTTAGCTTGTTCTCTATCCATCTCTCGAAAATGTGGGCGTATCCTGCCTGGCAGCCGCTGGTTACAATTATTGTAAACATATGGTTATCATGATTTTAATACTGACATATACTATTCAAAAAAAGTAGGGGATATTTGATTAAGTGTTATTAAAGTCACCTAATGAAACTGGCGAAGAAACAAATGACAAAATGAAATGAAGTTCACATTCATCGATTTATTCCAAATGATCGTTAGACTAAGTAAGGCACAGACTGACCATTATAAGGGTAAAATGATACCCGGGGTCAAACAGCAAAGTTACCACAGCATCACAACCAAGTCAGTAACGGGTAAATCCTCCTCTGTTTGCCAAACAAGCATTGATCCGACGTGGCATACTCCTAATGAGACGTCTAAGGTCATTTTGGTCCAGATTGTCCCATTCCTGTTGCAACGCAGCAGCAAGTTCTTGGACATTGGCAGGACGTTGTTGAGTTGACGTAACCTCTGTCCAAGCATGTCCCAGACATGCTCGATGGGGGAGAGGTCGGGACTCAGTGCTGGCCAAAGTAATGTGGTGATGTTCTGTTGTTGGAGGTAACCTGTAACGATCCTGGCCCTGTGACATCTTGCGTTGTCATCCTGGAAGATGAAACGGCGGCCATGACGTCGTGCGAACGGCACAACATGGACTGCCAAGATGTTGTCCCGGTAGTACTGGCCTGTAACACGCCTTGCAACAACATGTAAAGCCATTCTTCCAGCAACAGTGATGCCTCCCCACACCATAACAGAACCACCCCCAAATCGATCATGTCTGATGACGTTAACGTCTTGGAAGCGCTCGTTTCGACAACGCCACACCCTCCTACGTCTGTCCAAAAAATCAACAGTGAACCTTGACTCATCTGAAAACATCACATTGCTCCAGCGTCGATTATCCCAGTGTTGACGATCCCTACACCAACGACGTCTTGTCTGAATGTGATGATCTCTCAAACAAGGGATCAGGCGAGGACGTCGGGCGCGAAGGTGACCCCTATGCAGTCGATTCCGAATCGTCTGGCCACTCACTCTCACACCAGTGTCTGTTTGAAGACGAGCGCTGATCTGATTTGCTGTGATGACACGATTTCTCAAGACCAAGGTACGGATAAATCGATCCTGGGCTTGAGTTGTCGCCCTTGGTCGACCTGAGCGTGGTCTGTCCTGTACAGATTGTGTATCACGGTATCTGGACCATAGCCTGCTTATGACAGACTGAGAAACACAACCGCCTGTGTTGTGCCGATCTGTAGCATGCCAAGGGCACGTAACCTTTCATTTTGGGTAAGCCGACGCATATCAAAATTTGTTTTCTGGTCACTAAAACAATTAAACTGATGTTTCCACCCTGGAATTTAATGCCACAATGACTAACATTCAAAGTCAGAGTCGTGCAAATCTTGGGTTGGACCCCCATGATGATCCCAAGCATCACCTGCATTCCATGCGGTAGCTATTGGTGCGTTTGGGCGTCACATGTAACTGGAAATGTTTCTTCTGTTAGGTTCTATAGTGACTCTTTTCGTAGTCATTTGCATATTTTAGTATTATGCCCCCAAAATCAAATATCCCCTACTTTTTTTGAATAGTATATTATCCAGATATCCATAAATGTTGAAAACCAGGCCTTGAAGTTTAAGAATTCTGCAGTAACAAATTTTTATTCATGTGAAATTTCAAATTGCATTTGAATAATTACTTAGGATGTTCAAATAGGAAAATCTGCACTGGCAGTTCCCAAGAGTGTTCCACACTTCTTTCTAGTATTAGGATGGAAATGCAACATCTTCCTCTTAATGTGTTGCCAGAAAAATTATTATACCAATTCTATATATGTGCCGATCTGTAGCATGCCAAGGGCACGTAACCTTTCATTTTGGGTAAGCCGACGCATATCAAAATTTGTTTTCTGGTCACTAAAACAATTAAACTGATGTTTCCACCCTGGAATTTAATGCCACAATGACTAACATTCAAAGTCAGAGTCGTGCAAATCTTGGGTTGGACCCCCATGATGATCCCAAGCATCACCTGCATTCCATGCGGTAGCTATTGGTGCGTTTGGGCGTCACATGTAACTGGAAATGTTTCTTCTGTTAGGTTCTATAGTGACTCTTTTCGTAGTCATTTGCATATTTTAGTATTATGCCCCCAAAATCAAATATCCCCTACTTTTTTTGAATAGTATATTATCCAGATATCCATAAATGTTGAAAACCAGGCCTTGAAGTTTAAGAATTCTGCAGTAACAAATTTTTATTCATGTGAAATTTCAAATTGCATTTGAATAATTACTTAGGATGTTAAAATAGGAAAATCTGCACTGGCAGTTCCCAAGAGTGTTCCACACTTCTTTCTAGTATTAGGATGGAAATGCAACATCTTCCTCTTAATGTGTTGCCAGAAAAATTATTATACCAATTCTATATATGTTGCTTAGAATTGCAGAATGTGAAATTTGATGCTCCAATTGTCATCGATTGTCAATACTTTTAAAAAAAGCTGTTAGTTGTATGGGCAATATTACACGTAATTTATATGAATTTCTTTTATTTTTCAGTGGAGTATAAAATTAAGTAATGGAAGTAAAGAAGCATTGAAAAATTTTGAAGGTACAACCTTTTAAAATAGAAGTTTTTTTCTAATCACTACATGATCAAAGTTTGTGATCTGAAAATAGTAATTCTCAAGCATCGACTGCCGTTAATGAACTCTAGGAGTATTATTAAAGTTTATGCTTGACTTCTGTAATATAAAACTAGAAAATATACACCTTTATGAGATTGAAAACCATACCTATAATAAATGAATCATATGATGTTGGGATTTTGTTATGGTAAATTTAACATTTTCTATTTTGTCGATAATGAAAATATATTATTTAATAGATAATTTAACAATATATGATAAGGATATTCTTTTTCTTTTCTTTTTTATTCAGTAAATTTAACATATATCTTACCATTTGTCAATAAATTGAAAGATTCAACAAAGATTTTGTGGCTTTTGCAAGGTAAATATACTGGGCTTAAAAACAACACTTCAGATTGAATCTGATTAGAAACTTTGTCACTTAGTTTGACTGTTAGTGTTACTTATCTTTCAAATATTAAAGTTCATAGAAATATACTTGAATTAATGTAGAAAGTGCATTGCCATCATTTTATAGCATAATTTGTAGACCCTATAGAGGTCACAATTTTTATCCGATTTAGTTGAAACTTTAAATGTAAGTTTATAACCCAAAGATCTCGGTTCCTTCGATATTTGCGCATATCGGACCGTAACTTCCTGAATTATGGCCCCTGATTGTACGAAAAATTCCCTTTTTAGCTTGTGGACCCTATAGAGGTCATAATTTTTATCCGATTTAAAAAACGTATTATTATATCACCGTTACACCCTAAGGACGACCGAGTTCGAATTTTGTGAAAATCGGCCCAAAACTGACAGACAAAATGGCCGCCCCTTGTAAAAAATATGCTATATCACGGTTGTGGACCCTATAGAGGTCACAATTTTTATCCGATTTTGTTGAAACTTGAAATGTAAGTTTATAACCCAAAGTTTGTGGTTCCTTTCGATATTCGCACCGTAACTGCCTGAATTATGGCCCCTGATTGTACGAAAAATCGTGTTTTTAGCTTGTGGACCCTATAGAGGTCATAATTTTTATCCGATTTAAAAAAAACGTATCATTATATCACTGTTACACCCTAAGGACGGCTGAGTTCGAATTTCGTGAAAATCGCCCCAAAAATGACAGATAAAATGGCCGCCCTTCGTTCTCAAATAGTGTAAAAAAATATGGTATATCAAGGTTGTGGACCCTATAGAGGTCACAATTTTAATCCTATTTGGATGAAACTTGAAATGTAAGTTTATTACCCAACGATCTCGGTTCTTTTCGATATTCGCGCATATCAGAACGTAACTTCCTGAATAATAGCCCCTGATTGTACGACAAATCGCGATTTTAGCTTGTTGAGCCCATAGAGGTCATAATTTTTATCCGATCTAAAAAAACGTATTATTATATAACCGTTACAGCATAAGGATGGCTGAGTTCGAATTTCGTGAAAACCGGCTCAAAACTGACAGTCAAAATGGTTGCCCTTCATTCTCAAATAATGTAAAAATATGGTATATCAAGGTTGTGGATCCTATGGAGATCAGAATTTTTATCCGATTTTGTTGAAACTTGAAATGTAAGTTTATAACACAAAGATCTCGATTCCTTTTGATATTTGCGCAAATCGAATTATAATTTCCTGAATTATGGCCCTTGATTGTAGGAAAAATCACTTTCTTTTTAGCTTGTTCTCTATCCATCTCTCGAAAATGTGGGCGTATCCTGCCTGGCAGCCGCTGGTTCTAAGATTGTATAATTAGATTTTATTTCTTTGTCAGTATGTAAATACATTCATTAGGTTTTTTTTTATATACATTGACTTTAAATATGTTTTTCTTTTTTTTTTTAATTTTCAGATCCTGTAGTAGAAGAAAAACTGAATGCTAACAGATCAGCAATAACTAATGAACAGATAGATTATTATAATAAAGTCTCTCTAGATATACTGTAAGTATTTGAATGAAGAGATTATAATGAAGTCCCCTACCTACACTGCAAGTATTTGAATAAAGAGATTATAATGAAGTCTCCCTAGATATACTGTAACTAATTAAATTATAATAAAATATTCCTATAATACTGTAATCTCATCCACAGCAGATTAAATGAATAGATATGATGATAAAGTCTCTGTAGTTATACTGTACTTGAATATATAATATTAAAGTCTCCCTATATAAATTGTAAGTACTTGAATGAAGATATGCATGCAGCAAGAGTTTAAATGAAAAGATTTATTTTAAGTGTGCACATGACTGAAACATTTGATTAAATTATCCATTAAACAAGCAGCTCATGCATCATTTTGGGCAGAAGAAAGGGCAGAACTACAACATAAGGGAGACAACTTGTGTCAACTTAAATATAAGGTTACAAACCACAATGATATAGAATATACCACAATATGACATTAGGGCATAGTTCTAGAGGATCCTAGTTGAAAAGTTGCTCAGTAATACTAATAAACAGGCATCGTATTTGTATTCCATGGAATTCTCCAGTTCAATTACTGCCATTGTATCACCCTCTGATGATGTTCCCCATATTTATATTCAGATATATAATCTATGGTTTTAGATCATCAAATAAAAACACTGAACTAACTTCACCCATGATATATTTATCTTATCAGGTGATGAGATGGTAATTATCATGGTTTTGCGGGTTCAAACAAATGAAATTGTTTATGAAATGTGATTTCAAACTACATGTTTTAAGAGAAGAAATTATTGATTTATTATTACTGCAGATATGAAATTGTACTTAAATAAAATGCATTATTAAAACAATGGCGTTCATCAGCTGATCCAAAGTAGGGTGTGGTGGAGTCATTTTAGGTGTGTTCTGTACATGTAGATATGCAAGTTATAGGGACACTCCCGAGTATGGTCACCTGTGAAACCACTGAGGTGACTCGGTTAAGTGCTGGCTTGCTAACCTGAAGGTCCCGTGGTTTGATTCTGGTGTTAGGCAAGAATGTTGGAATTCATAGCACACATTTACCAAATGATAGTTGTTAGTGTCAAGTTGATGTTAAACCCTATAAAGGTCTCTTTACTCAGATGGGCTAGGATCGATAAAAAAAATGTGTCCAGATTTTATTGATAATTTAAAGATAACTATTAAAGTTTCAAACTATTTATATTTTTTACAGAGAGAATAGTGCTGCCACACTATGGAGTTCATCGCGGTTAGTAGCTCAAGGCATGAGGAAAGAATCACCAGATGGATTACATATTTCAAAGTCAGCCTTGGAACTGGTAATTATTTCACCCTTCAGACTTTTTATTGATTCTTAAGTTCAAGTGTTTGCTTACAAACACAACAACCTTGTTTCAGACATTAAAGGAACAGTCCTTATATATTGTAGTGTTGAAAATCGGATCGAGATTTGTGATCCGAATAGTTTTGTTTGCTATCCGAATACTATTCGGATAATTCAGAAATGTAAACATCTTGAACAGAATCACCCCAATATTTCATATAATCGTAATTTTCTTTATTTTATTTCAATATGTGTGTCATCCGCGTCCGGTGGGAAAATCGTACTTTCGATTTTGCACATTTTTTGAGCTGCGAATAAAAAACGTGTTTACCTTAGCTGCATATTATGACTATCCATGATATCCCAAAAATCAATGAGGTGAAGAAATTTGTGTATCACTGCCCCTCTTATTCACAACCCTACCACTTTTCATTTTGCTCAATCAACTCGAATTTAAGTAAATAAAAACACGTCATATTTATCCCACCAAGGTCAGTCGCTTCGTTCTGGCGATCTAGTGTTATTCAACCAATCAGAAAGTGAGAATACATGTGACCTAGGTCGGTATGAATAAATTTCATTGCAGAAGTCTAAACTCAGTCCCGTGTCCCGTAAACCAACGCAGGGAATGAATATTATTTTTTATTTCGTTGCATTGCATTAACAATTTAATGCTGAACAAACGATAGTGATAAAAAATTAAACACTCCAACGGTGAAATAATGTAGATGATTCTACTCAGCACTATATATTTAGTACCCAATTTTGTCATACATTATACGTCTCACTATCAAGGGTATGTTTCAAAATAACCAAATATTAAATTCAACAGAGAACGCAAAGAAAAAAAAATGATTAAATATTTGTTGATATTTACTCAACACAATTATGGTATATGTATAGAATGTTAGTTAATTTACTTTTGGATTATTTATTAAGGCTTCTCTCAGAAAGATAAGCTTGTCTACTGTACCGGGATCGAGATTTGATCGCTTAGCGGTGACGGTGTTCCCGGCCGTAGAAAACACTTGTTCCGATGGAACAGATGTAGATGGGATTCCTAAAAAATCTTTTGCTAATTTGGACAACAAGGCGTACCTAAGTTCGTTAATTTTCCACCACTGAAGAGGACACGTATCAGCAGAGCACACATCTTCCGATTTAAAACAATTAACCTCTCTTTCCGCACGACCAACTGCACAACCAATCATTTCATTTTTGCTACAGGATCCATCTTGTACATAATCTCCCACCAAAAAATCCAAGGCAGATTTAGTTTTTTTCGTTGGAGGGCTTACATCTATATTACGATCATGATCAGAATTTGGATCAAGATCTGGAGTTATCTTTTGCAAAATAATTTCCCAAACTTTTGACCTCTGAATCTTTAGGCAAAAATAGCAAATGTTTGTATCTAGGGTCTAAAGCTGATGCTACTATTTGAGTGCATGCACACAATTCTTCGTCTGGTGACGATAGATATCTTTTTTTCAAAGCTGCAGAAATGGTATTTTTCATATTAGGGACATCAGGACTATCAAGTTCATTAATTTGAAGATGCTTGTTTATTAAACCATAAACTATGGGATATACCATTCCAATAGTTGGATATTATTGGGCTCTGACAATCGTTGTTGCTATTTCAAAGGGTTTTAAAACTTTTAAAGTATCCTCCATTGTTCTCCAGTCTTTGTCAGCCAGTTCTAGCACCCGAGCATCAGACGGCTTTACAATACTACTATCGTGTATAACTGCCATAATAGGCAATCACTGTTCTATTAGTCGTTCAAACATATAATATGTGGAGTTCCAGCGTGTTGCCACGACCTGGATCAGGTGATGGGAGGGGGTTTTGAGTTGTTCCTGTTTCATTTTTAGAGCATTACTTCCTACAGTTGATTTGTGAAAAAATGCCACAACTCTCCGGCCAGACCCCACTGCGTGATTTACAAAAGATAGATCAATGCCGGCTTTGACCGCCAACTGTAGACTATGCCCAAAACAGCGTATGTGTTTCCAACCTAAATTTCATACACACACGTCCATATTAGCTGCATTGTCCGTAGTAATACCCAACACTGGCACACTTCGGTGATTTCAAAATCAGCAAGGATTCCTCTAATATCATCAGCTAAGTGAATACCTGTAATGGCGCTCCACAGTTTCGTGTGTAGCAAGAACGTGATTAACTGGCTTCCAGTTAATGTCCAGATAATGGGCCGTTAGAGTTGTATACGCCTCTGTTGCTGAGCTTGTCCAGGCATTTGTAGTTAGGGCTAAACTTGGCTGAATTTTTAGTTTGGCAATCAACTGCCCTTTTCCAGTGATATACATTTTATCAATATAATTTTTGATTGAGTATGGCATGGGACTCGGTATCGAGGGTTATCGTATTTATCATATCAATAAAGCCTTGCCCGTTTACAATACTCAGAGGGCGCATATCTCTTGCACAAAATTCGGCAATTTTACTGGTCATAGTTTGCCATTCAGTGGAGTATATTGGGATTGGACTTCCGATCATATATGAAGAAATCGCCATTATCATGATTATTATTATCAGCGTTGACGTCGATTGACATTGAAGTCGAGCCTTTGGATAAATCAACCCCTGGGTGTTTATACTTTAAATGATTTCGAAAACTTGATGTTGAACCCTTATATGCAAGTTTCACATGACACCGTGTACACTGAGCCTTGTTGTCTGCTACCTTATCAAAGTATTGCCATACTACGGAACGTGTGTGGTCGACTTGCGCCATTATTAAAAAATTTGCCAGCGTACGTGATCAGTTGCATTGGGGAAAATTTCAAAGTAATCAAATGTAAAAATGATTATACAGGGGTAGAAACTAACCTGAAATGGTCACTATAGCCATTTTGGCTAGTAGCTTTCAGATCTTACTATCCCAGCCAACATTCTACTAGCCCGGTAAGAAACTGACACGAGACATAAAAATTCTGATTTAGACTGTTGTTTTGTTAATCATAAATCAATCAAAAACACCAAAATACATGCACTTAAATTTATTTTGGCACATTTAATACTTTAATATTCATTTGAATTTGTATTTATATTTTATTAATGTTTTATAAACTCAGTTGTGATGTGCAAAATAATATGATGTAATGGTAATGTCCTTAAAATTTAATATCATAAGTTGTCACCGAGTGATGAAGTTATTTATACTAGTAACTATAGCAGAGCACGTGTATTTATGAGCGTCTTCATTGCCGTAATATATCGCTGTTATAAAACCTTTTAACATCCATTTTCTTTGCTACATTACTTCATGTTTATATATCAACGATTATGTTAGGCGATTTATGATAATTAACCTGAAATATGACTGAAAAGTTATTCAATTATATCGACTTTCGCTTCATAATTCCTCGAGGTGTAAACAGAGGCTGTTCGGTACCCTCCCTCGTTATCATACAATTTCAACCAATCAGCAAGCTCGCTTGCTCAGATTTCATACTGGTATGGCGAAATGGAACAGCCAAAGATTAAAAACATGTAAATAGTGATGGCGACGATTTTCGGAAGTTAGTTTCATGACAGTGTTCATTAAGTACAAATTATCAATTATTACAACTACCAAAATATCAGGTCGCCCGATCGCCCGTTAGTTTATATCCCTGCATAGAACATAACGGAATTTCAGAAGATTGTAACGGATAGTAAAATGATTCGGATAACCGTTATTTTGTAACCTTTAACGAATATCCGAATAGTAGTTTCAACACTAATATATTGTACGGTCATCTGGTGAGATTTTCTGTGGGTCCTCCAGTTTCCTATCACTGCTAAAGACCCCTACACACACATGCAAACTATTGAAATAAAACTGTATTATTTGTTAGTCCAGACCCAGTTCGTGTCAAATAGACTGTAAACCCCATTTCTTTCTCTATCCCTCTCTCCCGCTCTCTCACTTTCTCTCTCTCTGTTGATGATGTTCCCCATATTTATATGTAGATATATAATCTATGGTTTTAGATCATCAAATATAAACACTGAACTAACTTCACCCATCATATATTTATCTTATCTGGTGATGAGATGGTAATTATCATGGTTTTGCGGGTTCAAACACACAGTTTCTGCTATTTCTGAATATATCTTAATAGTTGGTTAAGGAAAATTTGCACCCTTTTTAGCTTTTATCTCTGGGTGTCCTTTCCAGTTAGTAGTAAATATGTATTGTATGCAACACTGAATCAATTTGAATTTGATCTTTTGTTCTTACTGATCTTAAATAACCTTAGGGAGCAATGATTTTTGTAGATATAAAAAATTACATATTTGGAATAAAAACTTTTGATAAAAAACGGCCTTGTATTTTAAGGGAGAGGGGTGCAATTGTATTAATCCATGGTTTCTGTCCCAATCATCAAACTTAGTGGTATTGTTTTGACTTGTGTGAGGATGAACTCTGTGGAAATTCAGATTTGCCTGTGAATTGTATGCATAGATGTTGCCCCTGACCCATAAAGGCATATACTTTTTTCCTGGCAATGCCCTGTTTAAATCTTTTTGGTTTGTCAAGAAATAGGTTTTACTAAAGACAAAGTGCTAAAATTCAGATTTGAGTAATGTGTCTATTTGTGGGTATACAATTATATCTAAATACGGATTGTAATTTTGTATGCAAAGGTATATACAGTTATTAGTAAATATTTATTGTAATAGTGTATGTTACACAGTTATAACTTATATATAAGTATTGTAATTGTGTATGTTACTACAGGAAATATAGTTATATGTAAATATGTTCTGTAATTATGCATGTTTCAGGATATACAGTTATATGTAAATATGTATTGTAATTGTGTATGTTACAATATATACAGTTATTAGTAAATATGTATTGTAATAGTATGTATATTACAGTATATAAAGTTATATGTAAATATGTATTGTAATTATATATTACAGGATATACAGTTATTAGTAAATATGTATTGTAATAATGATATGAATCATAATGATGGTACATGTTGTAATACACCTGAAGCTACAACGCCGCTACAGATTGTTACAGCTTCTGTTTTTCTAGTATGGTACGTTTCTTTATTTTGTACATTTTTATACACCCATATTCTGATAGGGTTAAATACTGCCATGCCCATCTTCATTAGCCCAGATGGAGCAGAAAAGAAAGCTGTTATCCTCATTTTACATCATTTCTACAAAATGTATTTACATGTATTACGAGATAAATATGTCTTTTAGTTCCTGAAAGGAATCAAACTGGTTTCAACAATTTTCGACAAATACGCAGTTACCCCCCTGTTTTGTAAAGTCTTATTAACGCCTTATTATCATTACTAATGTTATATGTATTTGAAGGAAATATTTTTGGCTTTATTTGGAAATTGTTTTTGTTTCAGTATTGTATCCGCTATAGCGTTATATATCTACAAGCGTAGACTACGAAGAAATGGTTTAAAAAACAGGACAGCAGCAGGTAAGACATTTCACAAGATATCAACATCTAATGTTCATATTATTGGTACTTCCAATTGATTGACCACTGTCTTTTTTCGCCTATTTGATGGCTGAAAGAAAATTTATTTTTGTCCATGAACATGAGTCCAAGGTAGCATTTAGCATAAGATTTTTATACGCTCGCATTTTCATGTGGACGTATATTGTCGTCACCCCTGTATGGCTGTCCACAATTAAATATTTGTGCATATCAGACCCTAAGTTCCTGGATTATGGCCCCTAATTGTATGAAAAAATCACAATTTTAGGTTGTGGACCGTTTATAGGTCACAATTTTTATCTGAATTTAAAAATCGTTAAAACATATCACCATTACACCCTGATAATGATTGAGTTCGAATTTCATTAAATGCTGCTCCTTGAAGTCAAATAGTGTAAAAGTATGCAATACCAAGGTTGTGGGGCCGGATAGAGGTCACAATTTTGGTCTGATTTTGATGAAACTTAATATATATGATTATATCCCGAAGATCTCAGTTCTTTTCAATATTCACACATATTGGATCATAACTTCCTAGATTATGGCCTCTGATTGTCCAAATATTAAGTTTTTAGCTTGTGGACCCCCTAGAGGTCATAATTTTTATATGATTTATAAAAACCTTTAAATATATCAGTGTTACAACCTAATGACAGTTGAGTTTGATTTTCGTGAAAATCAAAAGCGAAACTGCCAGACAAAATGGCCGCTCCTTGTACTCAAATAGTGTAAAGTGTGTAATACAGTAGAGTTCAGAATTTTTTATCTGATTTTGATGAAACTTAAAATATATGTTTATATCCAGAGATTTCAATTCCTTTTGAAAAATGGCTTTTTTATTTTAGCTTGTTTTCTGTTCACCTCTTGCAAACTGTGGGCGTATCTTGCATGTCAACCGCTTGTTGTTTTAATCGTCAAAATTACCATAATACATTTATGTTGTTGAATGACAAAGTTTAAAAAGAATATTATTTTTCAGAAAATGGTCAGAGAAATGGTCAAGCCACAGATTTAAAAGAAAACACAACAGAATCGGCAACAGAAGTCATGTCATCACTTGCTAAATTAGGAATCATTATGTTCTATTTTTATCTTTGTGACAGGTAAGAAATACAAAATATAACAAAATGTCTGTTCATGAATAATTTATATCAAGTTGTCAAAACCATCATGAAATCATCCACACGGCAGAAGAAATTCCAGCATGCGAAAGCTGAAATACAGTATTTTATAATTTATCTGCTAGTTAATTAATAAATCTGAAATATACTATTCAAAAAAAGTAGGGGATATTTGATTTTTAAGTGTTATTAAAGTCACCTAATGAAACTGACGAAGAAACAAATGACAAAATGAAATGAAGTTCACATTCATCGATTTATTCCAAATGATCGTTAGACTAAGTAAGGCACAGACTGACCATTATAAGGGTAAAATGATACCCGGGGTCAAACAGCAAAGTTACCACAGCATCACAACCAAGTCAGTAACGGGTAAATCCTCCTCTGTTTGCCAAACAAGCATTGATCCGACGTGGCATACTCCTAATGAGACGTCTAAGGTCATTTTGGTCCAGATTGTCCCATTCCTGTTGCAACGCAGCAGCAAGTTCTTGGACATTGGCAGGACGTTGTTGACGTTGACGTAACCTCTGTCCAAGCATGTCCCAGACATGCTCGATGGGGGAGAGGTCGGGACTCAGTGCTGGCCAAGGTAATGTGGTGATGTTCTGTTGTTGGAGGTAACCTGTAACGATCCTGGTCCTGTGACATCTTGCGTTGTCATCCTGGAAGATGAAACGGCGGCCATGACGTCGTGCGAACGGCACAACATGGACTGCCAAGATGTTGTCCCGGTAGTACTGGCCTGTAACACGCCCTGCAACAACATGTAAAGCCGTTCTTCCAGCAACAGTGATGCCTCCCCACACCATAACAGAACCACCCCCAAATCGATCATGTCTGATGACGTTAACGTCTTGGAAGCGCTCGTTTCGACGACCCACACCCTCCTACGTCTGTCCAAAAAATCAACAGTGAACCTTGACTCATCTGAAAACATCACATTGCTCCAGCGTCGATTATCCCAGTGTTGACGATCCTTACACCAACGACGTCTTGCCTGAATGTGATGATCTCTCAAACAAGGGATCACGCGAGGACGTCGGGGGCGAAGGTGACCCCTATGCAGTCGATTCCGAATCGTCTGGCCACTCACTCTCACACCAGTGTCTGTTTGAAGACGAGCGCTGATCTGATTTGCTGTGATGACACGATTTCTCAAGGCCAAGGTACGGATAAATCGATCCTGGGCTTGAGTTGTCGCCCTTGGTCGACCTGAGCGTGGTCTGTCCTGTACAGATTGTGTATCACGGTATCTGGACCATAGCCTGCTTATGACAGACTGAGAAACATTCATCGTCCGTGCCACAACCGCCTGTGTTGTGCCGATCTGTAGCATGCCAAGGGCACGTAACCTTTCATTTTGGGTAAGCCGACGCATATCAAAATTTGTTTTCTGGTCACTAAAACAAGTAAACTGATGTTTCCACCCTGGAATTCAATGCCACAATGACTGTAACATTCAAAGTCAGAGTCGTGCAAATCTTGGGTTGGACCCCCATGATGATCCCAAGCATCACATGCATTCCATGCGGTAGCTATTGGTGCGTTTGGGCGTCACATGTAACTGGAAATGTTTCTTCTGTTAGGTTCTATAGTGACTTTTTTCGTAGTCAATTGCATATTTTAGTATTATGCCCCCAAAATCAAATATCCCCTATTTTTTTTGAATAGTATACTAACCTATCAAAGCTGTTTTCTTTATTTACACAACTGAAAAACATAACCCTATATTTAGCCAAAATAAAGATCGATTTATCTGTATAACCTAACCTGTTATTTTAAAGATAAATGTATTTGGTTTAAATAAAAATATTCCATTTGTGTCTATTAGTACTTTATTGTATGTAGATACAATAACAACAATACAATTATTTAAGATTAAGTTTAAAATTGTATAGATGATACAAATTTAAGAGAAGAAATGGTAGTTTATTTAAAAAGAGTTTAAAATATTTTTATTACACTTTCAGAACCAACTTTTTCATGAAAGAGAACAAATACTACACCCACGTCAACTTTTTCTTGCCGTTTGCATATGTTATGATTTTAGGATTTTTCTTCACCGAAAACACAGAACGGGTAATTGTCTTTAACATGCAAAAAATTTTATTGACTGCTGCAAAAATGCAAATATGACAATTTTGTTCAACAGTAAATCCATGTTCCCTCTGATGATGTTCCCCATATTTATATTCAGATATATAATCTATGGTTTTAGATCATCAAATATAAACTGAACTAACTTCACCCATGATATATTTATCTTATCAGGTGATGAGATGGTATTTATCATGGTTTTGCGGGTTCATACACTCAAAATCCTTTCCTTTCAACACAGATTCTCAGAAAAAACATGCAACAAAGTGATTCATCTAAACAACAACTTTTCTTGTCCCAATTCACTCAAATTCAATTTATCCATGATAAAACAATCAAGTTTTGATAAATTGGCATACTGTAAAAAAAACCCAACAGTTGTTTGTATCAATACATTTCTTTTAGCCTTGTTTATCCATACTTAGCTTTATATACTGCAACATCAGGGTAATTACAGATTGTGATAACCATGACGTAGACATCATCAATACTTTTTAGGAAAAACTTGGACATCAGAGAACAAATTGTTATTTTACACCAGGGTTTAGTTGATTCATTATTTTTCTTGGAATAATTAATGTTGTCAATACAATGAGATATAGATTGAATTATCACGAAAATTTTTTATTTTGAAATGCTTGCATTTTCACTGTGAGGTGTAAGTGTACAGAATAACTGGTTAATACATTTTATCTTCCAGACTGCTTTATTACATCGAGATCAAACAGATGAATGGAAAGGTTGGATGCAATTAGTTATATTAATATACCATTTAACTGGAGCTAGTAAGGTTAGTAATTAACAACTTACTCAAAACTAGTAGACATACATTCTGCTCATCAGTTGAATTGTAGATAAATATTTTTTATGGACTTAATTATATTAGTCATTAAATGCATCCAACTCCGGCCCATAATTATAAAGCTACACTTACCCCAGTCATGTTATTATTTACATTATTTGTCACCAAACTAATTAAAAATTAACACTTGTAAAATTAAAAATGTTGACTCTTCATGTCAACGGAACAATGAAATGTTTTATTTTCCAAAAATGTAATAATTATTCCATTATCCTAAGACGAGAAATTTATTTGTTTTGTCGCTAGTATCACCGAGAAAAAATGGAATACCGGTAGATCTATAAAATTTGAATCATAGCGAATATAAAAATTACTCATCCATCAACTGAGCAGACTCTATATTTCATTCTCGCGATATCTCGTAAGCCTTGCACATCAATAATTATTCCAAAATCATTAGCCGAGAAATTTATTTGGGTCGTCATTATTATTGCTGAGAAAGTAGGAAATAACAATTTGACAGAAGATATTCTCTCAGCTAAAAAATATTTATTTTCTTAGCTATGAGAGATACCCTAGAATCAAATCGGTCCAGAGCCGATCTGGTTAAAAAGAAGCCACTAATTCAACAAAGACGCATAACCGAAGGATGACAGGCCTACCCGTCCACAAAAGAGAGACGCATACTAAACTATTGCTTGATTGTAACACTTGTGGGATTGAGGGAATTGTCAAGGATCCAGAACAGGAAGTTAGCGAGATTGTCATATTTTATGACAAATTTTATTTTGTGATTACCAATCAATCTTTTGTTATTTTACAGATCTTGCCTATCTACATGCACATCCGTGTTTTAGTTTCATCTTATTTATTTTTAACTGGATTCGGCCATTTTACATATTTTTGGAATAAAGGAGAATATGGTCTGTTCAGATTTTGTCAGGTAATCCATTACTTATGTACACCTATTTGTTGATGTGGTACATTGTCTTCAACCCTGTCCGTCTTTCTGTCTCAACTTTTAGTCTATTTTTTAAATCCAATAGAATTTTAACATTTTGAGTTATGCAACTTTGTTGCAAAATTTGTCAGCATTCAGATTCTGACAGGTTTCGTCAACTTTGTAAGAACATTTTTTGAATCCAAGGTTCGTTTAAGTGAATCCCAAACAACAAGATGCTCTCCTTGCCAACCCTGTAACTCTTGATATGTGGAAATGAGGGTGGAAAATCCCAAGTAACTTTTTTATATTTGAAAAGGGTTGTGCTATTGGGTTCATTGCCATCTCGCCGACTCACTGAGTTTTAGGGGAAAAATTTTGGTCGGTGTTAAGGGGTTGAGTGGCCAAGAACAATAGACTCCAGCTGAAGGATGAAACTAATTAAGCAAATAACTTTGGGAGCATTTATTTTAAAAAAGTTTATAACAACCTTTAACACATAACATAACACATAATTTTAACTTTTTGCACGCATAAAGTGTCCAAGATAGTCCAAAATTCTAACAAATTCATTCTTCCTTGTTCATATGTATGTTTCAAATGTTCAATATTTCTGTTGATATCGGTGTATTTTTTCTTTTTATGTGGTTGTCGCTGGCCACTTGAATACTGCAATAACTGAATTTCAATCGTCTTTTGCCCTTCTTGCAAAAATGCCATTACTTCAAAAATATTATGACGAGCTTTTGTAATTAAAAGTAAAATGTTGGCGATGGTGGCTATATTATCTTCTGTCCATTCATCATTCCGTTTACCGTTTATTTCTTCTTGATAAAGTTGGGTAATCGGAGTTGTCGTAGACTGTACCTTTTCCTTTAAAAACTACATCATTTCTGTAATCTATAAAATAAGATTTATTTTTTAATAATAATGTATAAATAGTAGAATATAAAATTAGAAGCTTACAACAGAAATGAAAAGAAATTGAGAATTGAAGTGCAGTTTTAACGATGCTTTTTATAACACAGTAACATACTTGTATATCGGAATGGGCTGGTGGGTGGTTGTAATCGACGTCTATTCTGCTAACTATATCATTAATGGTAGATGGTGTAGCCCTACATCCCTTGTTTTTTTCACAGCACTGCCATATCACTAAGTCGTTATTCTTTCTCTTATTCAGTCTATACTTACAATCAGCAACACATAGGTATCTGCCACCTTTTACTGTAGGAATAAACTTAGATTGTAACTGTGCATTAGCCATCGTAGAAAGAAATGAATATGAAATGTCTTGGAATGATTTACATATTTTTACTTATTATGAGAAATAATCACAATGAACTGAATTTCGATCACCTGTCAGCTTCATGTTGAACTGTAGCTTATTATTTTATTAATTAATGAGTGAGTTGAATTCTGACAAAAATCAATTTAAGTGAACTATATTAATAATGACTGGTCCCTGCCTCATTAATGCTTTTAATCCGTTTTTAACCCATCAAAGAGTGCCGGGGTCGACTTTTCAAATTCCGTTGAGTCGGCGATATGGGAAGACCCCGTCCCCGTGCTATTGATGTTAGAAACATTACCAATGAATTGCATAATCCATGTTTATATAAGATAATCATACTTATTTATTTACAGAATTTTTATCTGCTCACATTTTATGTTGAAGTATATTGCCCTTTACATCTTTCTCTTGATTTGTCCATCTGTCCATCCATTCACAATTCTTGCCAACACCCAACAGGGCGGAATTTTGGGGATGTCTTTTTTCAACCTTTCTGGAACTTCACTCCTGTTCCCAAGGAGAACACCTTTGGAACTACAGTTAATATTTTGATTTTATTTTCTAAATTAAATATTAAAAGTGAATTAAGCTATCAAAAATTAAATATTGTCCAATATGACAAACAGCTGCTTTAAATAGCCTAGCCTTACTATATTTTGTTTCGCACTGCATGATTTATGCCAGGTAATGTGATATTCTCATGTTTAGATTTTACTTACTGATATAGTCCTATTAAAATAAACAGCTCGCTTCGTTATTTTTTGGTCCATTTTATTTTTGTTAGTTGTGAAACAAAAAAGTTGCAACATGAATAGCTAACTGCAACAGTTTACCATAATTATTGTTATGAAATGTTATATCTGATATATTCAGGACTTCAATTTTTGCATTATAACTGAATTTTCAATACATTCCTGCATATTCATATTGTAGCTTATGTATTAATTTCCAGGTTTGCTTTTCTTCCTGTGTATGCTATATAATGTATACATTTCTTGCATGTTTACTTTTCTTCATTTCCTTGTGACACAGTCAACAATTTGCAACTGATTTTGTTACTTTTTAGGCGCTTGGTTATAAATGAAATATTACACTTAGTGTCCATCGCCTTTCAAAGAAAGCAGAGGACTATTAAAATGGGTCTGTCCATCTGTCTGTCCGTCTGTCCGTCACACTTTTTGGGACACAATAACTCTCCTAATTGAGGTAGAATGTTCAAACTTGGTGGAGATGTTTATTTGGTGAATGTCTTGATGGAGTTCGAAGATGAGCATTTTCTGCTTAGGGTAAGCAGAGATAAGCAATTTGATTGGATGATGCTTTGGGACATGATAACTTTAGGTTCAATTTCATTACATCAATACCTTGACTAAGTTTGATAATGAGGATTTTCTGCTTAGGGTAAGCAGATCAATAAGCAATTTGATTGGTCGAGAGTTTGGAACACAATAACTCGACTTCTAATTGAGGTAGAATGTTTAAACTTGATGTAGATGTTCATTAGGTGACCGAGTTCAATAATTAACATTTCCCACTAAAGCTAAGAAGAGCTCAACAGTTTCATTGGTTGATGCTTTGGGACAAGATAACTTTGATTCTAACTGATAGAGAGTGATGAAACTTAGTGTATACTTTCACTACCGGGTACTTCAAAACCTTGACTGAGTTTGATCGTGAACATTTTATGCTTAGATTAAGTATAGATAATCAGTTTGACTGCTTAATACTTTTTAAAAGATAAATGTGCAATTAATCATTTTATTTTTGGATTTTGGTGGGGGACATCAGCTTCACTGTTGGCTTGTTTATTTCTGAATTGGAGACAAATAGCAGGATGAAAAGAAATGAATTCAGTATTTTGCTTTCCCCAACAAAAAAAAACAAATACACAGAACTTAGGCCTCTTCTGACATATTCCTTAACCACCAAGTTTATCTGCCATAGAGGCCTATATCTAAATACATAACGGTTGAGCTTGCTATGAAGATTTTTTTGAAACTGCTGCAGTGTACTCAGTTTTGTATTAGTAAACAATGTTTGCATGTGTTGATTGGTTTTGTAGGATTTATTTCTCAAATGCAGAAATCTATCTGTAGCTACTAACTGATTTACAGGGCAGTCACTATAACATTTATATATTATTTCCTGCTTCCACAGCATTAAACATATATTATGCTATTGGCAAAAAAATTTAATTACCTATATAAACACTAACTACCCCAGCCAAGTTTGAAAATATATTTTAGAAATTTAATTAAACGGACCGACACAGATCAATAATTGCTCTGGGGGGAATGGGTTTTGATTGGAATAAGGATGCAAAGCAAAACCTACAAATAAGACATGCTATATTTGTAGCATTGACACCAACATATTGTGGTATAAACCAGATATATGTGAATCAAAGAAAGCATCATATAGCAGATTACAGTGGATGCTTACAGAACCGAACCCCAGATCTATTTAATTAATTTGATAGTACAATGTACCTTGTCATTTATTATTTATTACTCAGTGTCTGTATGTAATGTGTCTTGTCTGAGGGTTTTCTTTTTGAGTTTCTGTTTGCTTATGTGTAATGAGGCACTTTTAATTTCAATTTCATTTGATTTAACTAATCAATGATATTGGACAAATTTTTGACATTCTCCAGATAATCACAAAGTCATACAAATGCTTTGGTTGTTTCAAGGTGTTCATTCAATATGTAGCTCTTGGATTTTCCCCTAATTAGGTTAATTTAAGAGTTTTTTTGTAATGTGATATTTGTTAAAAGTAATTATATTTAGTGTTGGTTTAAACAGTTATTTCGAAAATATTGTACAATTTTCTTGATGAGATTGGTAACACCATTCTAATAAAAAAAAACAAAAGAAAAAAAAAATCTTAAATCAAGTGATGATATACATGGAAGAGCAGTACCTGGCCCTCCATTTCATGTACAGCTGTTACTATATTCTTACAAACGGTACATGTAGTTAAGGCTTACAACTGCTCAGTTTAAGTGCCACATTAATTAACCAAAGAATGAGTTGGTGACACCACCAGTACTACCAGATCTTTCAGTATGTTGTCTGCAAGGTGAACATTGCTATTAAATTTGTTTTATTTTCTGTGTTAAAATTAACTGATGGTGTTCTACCCTTTCCGATGGGCAATTGCTAATTTTGGTTCAGCTGATGACATCATGAACATAATCTTTACTTTTGAACAGAGATGTCTAGAAAGTTTTATTCTAGTAGCTGTCATTGTTATCTTTTGTTTAAATATAGAAATCGGTAGCCTTTTCTTTATTAGTTTTAAAAGTACTTATTTTAGGTTTATGAGCACACTTTCGAAAAGGCATGATGTGACATGATAAGCGTACTTTTTTTAAGGGCAGTACATTGTACGTGCGAATTTTAATGTGGCTATATATTGCCATCACTTTGTTGGCAATTCAACTGTTTTTGTTGTTGGATTTGAGATTTGTTTGATAGTTTGGCTAGCTGTAAGGAGAAGTCTTATTATATAGTTTATTGCTTTTTCATAGTGATAACCCTTTTCAACCATAATCAGCATTTTAATTTCTGACCCAACTCAAAGAGACAGTGGCCTTCTAGAACTATTATTTAGCAGTTTGTAATTAAGGATTGTAATGGCTCCAGTCTCCGGTTATGTTCATTATATTTGCATTGCATTATTTTTGTGTTTAAGGCTATCTATACATGTATATGAATTATATTTATAAACCAGCTAACCACAGTAGATAATTCCCCTTTCCCTCATTAATCTTTGTTTTTGTTGCCCTTTTCCTTGCACTATATATTATGATTGTTTCAGCATGGGTGTTGGAAAATATCACATTATTGGCAAAACAGAAATAACAGCTTTCATCGTATGCTTGAAGTAAGTTCTGTATACTTGGTTTCAACTTTTATACAGTAGTACATGTATTACAACTTCATTGATAATTTATCATGGATCTATAGATTAGGGCTAGTCAAAATTAACCGTTTTCACTACATTGGGTTGACAAAAAAAATCATACCACAAATCGAATGATCAGAACTTAACACACTAATAATAAAATCATATTTTTCTCATGTGAACAGCAATTAATAAATTGTCCGTGCATTGAAAATATAGAGAAGGGTCAAAACATTAGTATGGAGCATTCACAAATTGAGAGAATAGCAATCAACTGATACAGAATAGAGTTCTGTCAATAATAGAAGTGTTTTGATTAGAAATGGCCAATAGGACATACCGGTAGTTACTATGGTGCATGCTTAAAGAGTATTTTATTCATAAACAAATGGTATTGAGCAACAGAGCCTGTATTTCCATAGATACAAAAGTATTAGAGGAATATGGTATTGATGGAGGTATATCTCCTAATATGCTTGTATTGACTCTTTTAACAGGATTTAGAAAATTCTAATTCTCAGATAACCAAGTGAAACACTAACACCACCTTGCATGACTTGAATTAACTCATCATTATTGTTTATATCTTTGTGTTACTGCATCAAATATGCAGTATATCTTGCCATACCTTAAAAAGACTAATGCTTGAAACAGTTGAATGAAGAAGAAATAAAAACATTTGGATATGAATAAATTGCTGGATTCTTCTGATGGTGTGTTCTCTTTAAATTTAATATAAATATAAAGAGTTATTTTTACCATCAAATATAAAATAAACTTGTTCACCCATAGTGACATTATGTCATTAATGATCTTTATAGTTTATACAGTATTTGTCTTAGTTTGCACAAAAAACGGAAAAGAACCTTTATAACATTTCTTTTTGTTCTATACTAATAACTATAACTATCAGTATCAGTCACACATGTAGTCTATTCTAACAACAACTACCAGTTATTATTCTGATAACCACAAGTTGTTATTCTAATAACCATCAGTTATATGTAATCTTTAACTCCTGGTTACATGTAATCTATAACTACTGGTTACGTGTAATCTATTCTCACAACTACCACTTACAATAACTACAAGTTACAAGTTATATATAATCTGTTCTAATAACTACCAATTACATGTAATCTATTCTAATAACTACAAGTTATATGTAATCTGTTCTTATAACTACCAATTACATGTAATCTATTCTAATATCTACCACTTGTGTATAGTCTTTTCTAATAACCAACACTTACATGTAATCTATTCTAACTACTACTTCTTGCACATAATTTATTCTAATACGTACAACTTACATGGGACATACTGGTAGTATGTCTATTCTAATACATGTAATCTTTTCTAATAACAACCAGGTACATGTGATCTATTCTAATAACCACCACTTACATTTAGTCTTTTCTAATAACTACCATTTACATGTAATCTTTTCTAATAACAACCAGTTACATGTGATCTATTCTAATAATCACCAGTTACAATGTAATCTTTTCTAATAACTGATTACATCTGATCTATTTTAATAACTACCATTTAATTTACATGTAATACTTTCTAATAACATCTGGTTACATGTGATGTATTCTAATAACCACCACTTACATGTAGTCTATTCTAATAATTACAATTACTTGTAATCTATTCTAATAACAACCAGTTACATGTGATCTATTCTAATAACCACCAGTTACATGTAGTCTTTTCTAATAACTACAACTTGCATGTAATCTTTTCTAATAACTACCACTTACATGTAGTCTATTTTAATCACTACTAGTTACATGTAATCTTTTCTGTTAACTGGTTACATGTGATCTATTCTAATAACTACCATTTACATACATGTATAATCTTTTCTAATAACTACCACTTGCATGTAATCTTTTCTAGTAACTAAATCTAGCTTGTTATCTTTTCTAATAACTACCGATTACGTGTGATCTAAACATACATTATGCAAGAGCTTTCTTTAGGCTCGAAATGTTATCTAAATTATTAGACATTAATTAACTCATTCAGACCTTAATCAACTCTCGATGTCATCGATAGCCTGCGATATTTACTGGATTTAAAGTGGATCTGCTGCTCAACGTTCATTAATGATTAAATCAAAAAATTGGATTATCGAGACTGTTTTTTTTATCGCACCAACAATGATGATCGAGGCTAGGCCTAAAATTCAATCACTAAATTTTTGGTTCAAGGTGGATCAGTTTTCAGCAAATTGCCTTTACATCATCTAGTTTTTAACTATTATAGTGAGAACTGCCAGCTCTTGTCTAATCTGCCATAATGTACATAATGTATCCTTAACTATGTTACATTGAAGTTGAATACCTGTACTTTTTATTTTATTTTATTTTACTTTTTGTTGTCGAGTTATTGTTCTGTTTAGGTCATCTAAAAACAGATTGTATGGTTCTCCACCGGTTAGTTTAAAAGTATATTATTTGGCTAGGTTGGGTTTAGTTTTATTCACCTTCATTCATCCTCAGTTGTTTTTGAAATATTATGATGAAGCTACTATGGTCGTATTTCGTTACAAATTATACATAACGGCTTACTCTGGGCAACTGTAAGTGTAACTGGGAACCATGCAATTTTTTTTTTTTTTTTTTGATGACCTTATTTGCAGTTTAGTTTTGAATAATAAATGTGAATGTTACCAAAGCTACCAACCAAATCACATACTAATGGCATGATCCTTATTATCCTTTCACCCTCTTACTCTTACCTATTCACGGCTGGGTAAAATATCTAACAATTATTTACTCTCCTCCATTCACAAAACCATATTAATACTGTTTGTTTTAGTACATTCCCAGATGATAATACTGCTGGTGGGTGGTGTATGGCTTTGTTTTGTTGCCTGTCAAACTTTTGAATATATTTTTACAATTGACAAACTGAAATTGTATTTCAAAGTTCAATTTCACATATAAAGGTTATGAATTGGAAACATTATTATATTGTTTATAGTATTCTCCTGTAGTTTAAGCTTTGTGATTGTTTTTTGCATGCATATTTGCCTATTTATAACTATTTTTGCTTCTACTTTTTATTAGTTTTCCTATATGGCTTCTTAAAATAGAACTACCTTGTAGATTTTTATTTTTTTGAATACTTATTTTGTTTTGTTATCAATAATCTTATGATCCATGGAGCCCAACTCTGTGGTTATTTTCTATAAAACAAGAAATTAATGGAATTTATAAATGTTTATTTAAGCTGCTGATCGTCATTTGAATACCTTTCAAAGTACAATATTGTGGAAGTTGACTCTCTAAAGCGGCATCAGTCCCAAACTGATGCAAAGATATGATGCATTGTAATTTTCACAATATTCAGCATCCTATAGGATATATGCCAGCACAATCTTCTAGTGTTTGGAAAAAAACTTTTTTTCAAAGATCATGATTTTAAACTGAATCCAAGCTGGGAGATTCTCCATTGTTGACATTGGGTTGTTTTGTTGTTTTTTTAAAAATTGAATGTCTAAAAATTAATATGAGAACATTTAAGTGTGGATTAAGCAGTCTGAAAAATGCACATGTGGGTTGAACATTATGGAAGTAGTAGATTGGTATCAAATAATTACATAAATTGATTGTACTTTAATACTTTATTAACAAACAGAAGTGTGATTGAAATGAGGATGGCTGTGTTGAATCTTGTGTTTCTTAACCTTAAATATCTTGTTTTACATTAATTAGTTTTATGGATTTTTTTATGATTTAACAAGATTATTACTTTAGTTTATAATGTAGCACATTTAATCTTTTATCTACCTACATTTATATGTGGTTGTATATTGTCACATTTATGGTCCACCATTCCCTGTGGATGCTTTACAGGCTATAGTTATCATCTGATTGTCTTCAAATTAATTCGGTGTTTATGTTGAAGAGACAATGAAGTCTATTCATTTTCAATGATGTGGTCCTTGATCACTTCTAAAAATCTTGTGGCTCTAATGGCTAAAGTTGTCATGAATCCTATCAAATTTTGGCAATTTCTAGAAATTACTTAGAGAGTAATTGCGCTTGATCAAGCTGAAAGTCTTTGTGAACACTATTGAGGCTAAAATTATCCAAATGTTACAAACTTTTTGTACTGCTCACACAACTTACCTGCTGTGATTATGTATCTTTATGTACCTGTTTTTATTTGACAAACGCCATATTTGGAAAAGTTAGAATTTTTTTCAGATATTGACTGCATTCACATCAGAATCAAGAAACTGAACAACAAATGCCTCTAATAGTTATAAACAAAGTTTATTATTGAATTTTTTTGAGTAGAATGAAAATAAGATTGTTTTGTTGTTTTATTTAAGGTTTTATTCCGGTTGAATTTGTTAGTGGTATTATTATGTTTTGTTATGAACCGACCATATCAATTCTACTATTTCGTTCCACTTGTTTCATATTGGTTTGTTATTATGTATGTTACAATGGCAATTTGGCCACACCTAACCAAAGCTTCAGCAGAAGGTAAGTCTAGGTTATGATTTTTGGGCAAGAGATAAAATGTTAAGACAGCTACTGGTAATTTACCGAAGTGTGTATTTCCAGGCCAGTTAGGGCACTTGGAACTTTGCATACACTGAATTGTACACACAAAGGTTGGGTATGGGTAGTCAACCCAAGCCGTCCAGAAATGCCCTATATAAATAGATTTTACGTATGAAAATGCCATTCTCAACTTGCTGGAAATAGACAACACCAGTTTACCGAGACAAGGCTATGCACCATCTTAACTGTACATTCAAGAAACTTTGTTAAAAACTTAGATGTCTGTGACTTATTAGCATCACAGACTGTCAATCACTTTATGGACTTCCCATCTTTGATTTATTACGTAGAGTAATTTCATTTGAATTAAACCTATCCAAACATTGATGGCGTGTTCTCTTTAAATTTAATATGAATATAAAGAGTTATTTTTACCATCAAATATAAAAGGAACTTGTTCACCCATAGTGACGTTATGTCATTAATGATCTTTATAGTTCATACATTTCTGCATTGATCTAGCTTAAACTAGAGTAGATCAATTTCATTATACTGAACAAAATTTTATTTGTAAATTCCATTTCGAAACATTCATGTACTTGTTTCTTCAAATGAAGAACTGGACACATGCTAGCTCTTGAAACAACGTTGATGTCTGAAGAGTATTGATGAGAATAAGGGCTTCTTGCATATTTACTTAACTGTGTGGGTTAAGATGAGGGCCAATTCCTTCCCTCCTTTTAGAACTTGCTGTCTTGCAACTTCTGTCTTATAAGTTATTGTGGGTTAAGACTCAGAGATTTATCACCTGGTTGTTTTAACAAATCCCAATCTATTTTTTATAAGTACATGTATATTCTTTTTTTTTCTGTTTCAGCAAATTCCTTTCATTATTTATATATGATCATCAAATTTATCATCTTAATTACCTGTATATCTTTATTTTATTTATCTGAGGTAAGTTCTTGATGATATTAATTGTTTATTGAAGGAACAAGTCATAGTTCTTTTTTTTTTAAATAGAGTTTATTATACATACAATTACACTTGCAATTTCTCAAGTCTGGCATTGTCTTTAAATCTTAAGAAAAGATTGATTTTTCCTTTCTATTCACCCACATTGTAATGTGATTGTCTATTTTGCCTTACTGGTGCTCCAGAGGTCAATTCGATATTCATGTAATTTATATTCAGAGTCATTGCCCATTATCTGTTCTATTAATCTTGTTGTAACTCGGCAAGAGGCTAAAGTTATCTTATGATAAACATATTTTTATGCAGTATTTAGGCGACTCATTTGATAAAGCAACCGATCCTTGACATGTTATGGTATTGGCATGTTGTTTCTTTTTCAGGTGTTCTTTGAGAAAGTATTTTTAACTCGTCCCTTTAAAGCTTTATTTGTCACATCAGATGATTCTATCCATGAATGGAGATTTAGATGGCAGTTAGATAGATATGTAAGTAGATTCATTATTCTTAAATAGCCCTTCAGTGATTGTTATTTCTAGTCTGCCTGGACAGATATTTAAGAAATATGGGCATTCTTTTATTTGAACTCCACAGCATTATCTGCGATTCAGTGATAGGTAAAATTAGTCTGAACAAAAATACATAAACATTCAGTTATTCTTTCATCTGAACTACCCAGCAGAAGTAAAACGTTACATTTATTTGATTGATTGATGTTACAGAGTGTGGTGTACGGTATGTTATTTGCATTTGGTTATCAGATGTTATTGAAGTATAAAATAGTCAGTGATAACCTAACTACAGATTTATTCTCTAAACCTCTGTCATATATTGTAACTGGTACAGGTTTAGTTGGTCTACTGGTAAGTATACTATATTTATAACACAGTGGCATCTTGTTCACTTTGTACAGTCATGGGAATGCTGTATTGTTCAGATTAGTGCAACAAAGCATCATATGTATTATTAAGATCAAATTTCTATTAACTTCTAGAGTTATTGCTTTTGCATCATATGTCCTCATTTAATCACCTTGAAAATTACATACTTAGTCTTGATTTTAGCAAGAAGTAAGCCTATCAGTTTGCAACTATTTCCAATAATTACTTTTTGAATCCTTGGTTAATTATGTTGTCAGTGCTCCAGTAATTATCAATATAATTGTTTTGCATTTAATTTACCATAAGGACCTGAATGCTCGGACGACTTAGCTGTTATTGGCATTGCCAGACAAACTATCTGAATGCTTTTTTTTAAATTATATATTACTATATTTCAGGGGTATACCATATTTGCTTGTTTCTGTAGAAATAAACCAGAGTGTAATGAGTTTCACTCTTATCTAACTTTTATACCTGTAAGTTATTTGAAAATATTTTTTTGTGAATGATAAATATTTTTATATCTAAAGTGATATTAAAAAGTTAGACATTTATAACCCTTCCGGGCATAGAAATTTGTTAAAAACTTATAAATTGATTCATGTCAAGATTTTCAAACCTGAATCCTTGAAGATTTTGACAAAAACATTTGGTTTAAAAAAAAAAAAAAAAATACCGTCACTTGCTAGATATCAAATTCTAGGTCTGCATTGCAGACATTTTGATAGTGGAATAATTGATCAAACCATTTCTCTGGCATAAAGTGGTCAACAGGGCTTACACATTCATTAAGTAAATGTGATCACCTTGAGAGCTGAATGACCTTGAACAAATTTCCTTTGTAATTTCCTCATAAAATGTCTTACCATCTCCATTGTTAGTAGAAATAAGCTGATAATTGAAATGTAAAAAAGATCAATGCTATGTTTTGTAGGAATATAAAAAGGTTTTATTTTAAAGATGAATAATTTTATTTCAGATTGTATCATATATATTTTTACGTAATGTACCTGGTTGGTTAAGAACACGATATAGTTCATTCTTTGCTTGGTTTGGCAGAATTTCTTTAGAAGTAAGTACACAATTTATGTATAATGTCAGAAAATCTCTAGCTGTGAATAATGATTTGTCTTTTGATGCCAGAACCTTTGAAGGGAAGATGTTGCTATGTACAAGTAGACAGAATATGTTGAAGCTCTTTAAAGATACTTTCCCAGAAAAGTATGTATCGGGTGGTTATTTCCAATGAAAGTATGGCAATTTTGTTATATGTGGAAAGTAGAAACATCCAATTTTACTAGAAAAATACTGGATTCCCTGAAAACACCCATGGAGTGCATACAGGGCAAAAATGTAAGGGTTTCCCTAACCGACAACCCGACGATTAGTGATGTCTGCTCGAGTAATGTCATAGGTAGCATACAAAGATTGCCTAATCTCCCAGCGTTAGTGAGTGCTTGATGTATATGTTAATAAACTTGATGGTGCAACAGTTCCTGAGTTAAAAACCATGGAAAAAAACTTGGGCAGTGGATAATCCGAGAATTTATTGGGCTTCGATATTTGTAATAAATAGTCAGCTATGAAAGACAGCATCGTCTTGTATATGCAATGAATTCTCGGCCAGCTTCGCACCCGTTGCTAGGTACCGAGAGAGCTAAGTCACGTGACACAAACATGACCTCTTTTGATCAATTTCTTTATAGCAGTGGTATTCTTTGACGATTAGAATGTTTTGAGAAGGATTTGAAGCAAAATTATGATAAATTAATTAGTTTGAATATGTTTTAGTCCAAATATATCATCAAATCACCCAGTTTGTACGTGGAAATGTATCTTTAAGTCTCCTCACCTCTTTTATCAATGTACCTGTTCAACTAGTTTTGTTGGCTTGACTTTGTCATCTGAAGAAAGTAAATGTGGGCGATTTAAAAACCAATTCAAAAACACCAGCTCACTGCCTGTTAAAATGGCTTAAAATTGCTACAGCTAGCTTAGTCATGCACATTTTATGTGCATAATTAAATATAATCTTTCTGACAGTGGCTGTCACAACAGTAACACTGGTTTTGTTACTCTCCTGACATACAGTGTTTTAAACCAAGTTGCTATATAACTGTCTCAATGACGTATTGAATTATCTAAGAATTGATGGCGTGTTCTCTTTAAATTTAATATAAATATAAAGAGTTATTTTTACCATCAAATATAAAATGAACTTGTTCACCCATAGTGACATTATGTCATTAATGATCTTTATAGTTCATACATTTCTGTATCATGTATCCATCTATATTCATACTCTAAAAAACCATTGTTTGACTGTCATAAAATCTTTCTGAAAATTTTATATTTTTCAGTTATTCATCACCCAGTATCACATATGGTTAGCAGCTGACACACATGGTGTTCTTGTCTTAATACCCAGTTATCCAGTCCTAAATGTTATTATTACTTCTTTCATATTTATTTGCATAAGCCACGAGATTTCAAGAGTGACAGGAGTGTTGGTGAAATATGCTGTGCCGTCAGATTGGAAATCTTTGTTAAGAAACATTATTTTATTTACTGCTATTTTGTTACCAGTGGGTATTGTAAATGGTATGTTTTATTAAATTCTTTGAAAAAGAGTTTCCCCATCAACAAATGTTATGCCAAAAGGGCTTAATGTCGGTCTTTTTGTAGAATGGTGAGATTGAAGAAGAGTTTGTTAAAATCATTGTGATATTTCTCTTTTAGCAGGGTTCTTTTAACACTTTTCCTGTATGTGAAAACTCTCTTTTGCCAAACATTCTAAGTAATGTGAAATATGGCATAATTCTTTGAAGTCGGTTTTCAGATCATATTAACTGACCAAACAAATTGTTTGTTGAAGACATACAAGTTTGTGTTTTGTTGAAGGATTAGAAAAAAAATATATATATTTTCTTTTAACACATCACCGGATACAAAACAATCATTTGGTTGTGAAATTGACAAATACTGAATCCTTAAAGCCACGTTTCATATAATTTTCCAATGGGTTTAGTATAGCGGGTAATGAATCTCTAAAATGGTAGCGATCAAAAACTTCAGCTAAATGTCAGGGTCATTATATCTTTATTCTGAACTTGACAGAAAGTACGTATTTTGTAATGAGAAAAATCAAAACTATGGTAATAGATCAAAGCAGTAATAGAAGTGGTGATGTTGTGGCGATACTTTATAATTATATGTTTTAAAGGAAAATAGAAATATTGTGCCAAAGATAAATTAAAATCTAAATCTAAAACTAAATTAAGAATAATTTAGTATGTGTTGGAACAAGTTTAGATTGTGTTACACTATACATACTATATATATTTATCATAATAAAGAATAATGCAATTTGAAATATACTGTAAATAACTTGGTATATTATATATTATTATTAATACTAATGGATGTTAAACGGAATTAAACCCCATTTCATTACCTCTCGTATATTTCATGTAAGCATGGGTTAACCTATAGGGAAATAGTATTTATGATTGCTGGGAAGTTGCTTCCTACCGTAGAACTTGAAATCATCAAGACTTGTGACAACAAAAAAATAAAAGATTCAACTTCTGATTGAATGAGAAAAGTGTGCATCATGAATATGTCAACATAATGTCAATTACAAATGTTTTTGTTTATGCTAGGTTCTCACTGTCGTGCAATGCGTTACAATAGGAGTGTCCCTATTGAGTCCAAGCACTGATACTTGCAGGTACATTCGGATAAATCAACACGATTGCTATGACTGAACTCAATATATGATAGGATCACCACAATTACTCCTGGATTAAAACCATGATTTCAATCGCAGCATGAATAATGGTTGTGGGAACCTAGCATGAGATATAAATAAGTTTATGGTTGAACTTGAACAGATAACCTAATGCTATACTGGAGGGAACATACCTTAAAAAGAATACCTGCGTTAAGACTTTTAACTTAAGTCAAAGATCCCTTCCAATAAACAGACATTTTGTATTACAAATTCCTATCGTACTGTGTTTATTTCATTGAGTAGAAAATTAAAACAGTGTATAATAGTCAGGTCAAGTTCTTTATATTCTGATGATTATTTGAGATCTTGTTTTGATGTCTCCAGATGGTTTAGTCAGGAAAAAAAATAAAGTGTTTGAGCTTCGTATGCTTTCTCAAAATTTAGAGAGGAGATGCTGATGCTGAACATTTATTCTATATTTATCAAAACTAAACATGTGATTTTTAGCTTTTTTAATTTATTTATCAGTTCCATTTTGTTTGAGCAATGCAACAAAACCAAGCTTAAAGCCTAGTAACATGTTCTTAAGATAATGGTACCTGAGAATGCCTCTCAAACAATTGCTGCATTACATAACTCTGATCATATTATGACAACAGAAGACTTGTGTTACAAAATTTAAATTTGGAAATTTAAAAAAATTTCTTGGAGTGAAGATAAATGCTGATTTAGCAAATTAAATATTTCCTGTGTTGTGTGTAATCCATAGTGGCTCTAACAGTAGGCTGTTGGCTCACTAACAAGAAATTCCTGGGTTCAGTCCAATGGTGGCTGAGAAAGTTTTTCTGGATCTTGGCAGTGGTGCAGGTTAGAGGCCCTGACAAGTAGGACATTAAACACTATTACATTTCACCTCTGTTGTGTGTGGATTTTGTTTTGGATGTGATATACCTCCATGCTGGCAACTGCTATTTAAGTACAAGTTTGGGTTGTGCCATGTAACATGGGTTTTTGAGGCATTCTATATACATGTACAGCAATCTTTAGACTGTAAACCTGTACATATTGTATATACATGTATATTTATATATATATATATATAGAGAGAGAGTAAATATAATTATAATTTCATTTTTGATTATTGACTGTAAATTGTTTCAAATCAGCTTCTTATAATGATAATGGTTGACAGCAATCAAGAGATTTACCTATAGTGTATTATAATTGTATATAATGTGAAGTGCCCGTGTTTTATAGCCATTGAATTTTTACACTTGATTATTTACTGTTTCTGTGTTCTTTTTATCTTTAAATCCTTGCTCAAATGTTGACTACTCAGTCTTGGAAACTTTCTCTGGTTTTATTAAATTCATAAGATCTGCAATGGTAAAATGGTTATGACGCTTGCTTTATGTCATGTTTTCTTCAGGACAATGCCAGCTGAACTATTAGGGCTTTTGTTCCCTTTGACATTGTAATTTTACAATACATTGAAAGGATGATTATTTTAAAATCGTTATTAGATTGTATGGGTAATTAGCAGAATGACATTTAAGTGGGTAATATAAGGGAGAAAGTTTCTGATCTGGTGTTATGATTGTAAACAGCTACTTGTATAAGTGTATTATTTAAGTTAAATAAGATTGATATAAGAATGTTTGTTAAAGTTATCTTTAACTTGAAGAAATTAAAAAAAAATCAATTTACTCATGCCGTTTTCAGTTTTTACCCCTCAACTAAATTTTGTTCATTTGGCATCATCACATGGCCAATTGTTCTACTGTAACATCTGCAGAGCTATCATATAGTTTCGGAAAGACACAAAAGCATTGTCTGTTAGTGGATAACAGCATGATGTATGAATTAGGGGATTAATATACATTAACTTGTATGTGGTCTATTACCTAAAATAATTTCAGTCAGTACCAGAAATCATACAGAAAGTAACTCTTATTGCCAGAACCAGAAAATGTCTGTTTACTCCATGTTGACAAACATGTTCAGTTTGGTCAACATTGATGTTCTTCCTGAAACAATGGTAGCATGTATTATCTGGTCCTTAAACATGTTTCATGTATCTTGTTGTGCAGTCTGAAAAATATTTGGGGTGCGACATCGATTTATCAAATTTTGCATGTCAACTAAGAACACTATAAATTGTGTATCCCATATGAACCACAAAAACAGTGATGTGAAAACATAAGTTTTTCTATTCACACACAAACTAGTGCTAGAAATCGCTCACTAATCAGGTCAGATCCCTCTGTCCTGCATCACTGATATAAAGAGCTCAAGTTATTCGATGGGCCTGAAAATGAAGATCCCTGTTCACAAGGGCATGCATGTAAAAGATTCAGTAACCCTTCACAGTTCAAATTTGAAAAAGGATAGGTGTAAAAGACATTAAATGCCATTCCATTTCTTTGTTCTGGAAAAGCAAAAATTTCATGGGTTTTTTTTATTCTATCAGATATCTGTCCACGATATTCCAGACATTGAATAATCAAATCAGTGGTGCATTGTCCCTTTTAAATCACATCATTCTATTTCTGGCAATTTTCTTTGAAACTACTAAAACTAAGAAATTGGACTGATTTTATTTCTTATTTATATTTTACACCTTACAAATGTTCCTATATACAAAATATACACTATGATCATATTATTCATACAATGTTACATTAACAGGTTATACTTCGGAGTAATTTCCAACAAAATGTTTGAGGATAACACCACAGACAACTTTCCAATTAAATAAACCTAAATTTGAAATAACCCCTGCATATCAGGACAGTTCCAAAAAAGCAGAGTAAACTATTAAAATATACATTACTTGTACTTTTAAACACATGAATAAAGCAAAGACCTAAATTACTAGTAAAGGTTGAAGCCAAGGGGGGTACAGAAATGTTGCCCTTTTCTTTAAACTAAATCATCTTATTTTTGGAAAAGTTGCCAGATATGTGTATTCTTAACACAGGTGGATAGAAAAGGTCTTGAATTTTTGGAGAAAGCAGAAATCGGTTAGTCATAGTTATACTGGATTTGTCAAATTTATTGCTTCAAAAAGTGTCTGAAGGTAATATTTTGGAATCAAATAAGTTGAAATTCAGGTACAGGTATTTATTTTCAATCTGAACTGGAAGTTTTTGAAACTTGGTGCATACTACAGTGATCCTGAATATTTTTCGGCAGAAGTCTGTCTCACAACTCTTTGTATCCCAACAAGAGTTCAAAATATTTAATAATACATGTATAAATAAAGCAATATTCAATACCAACTAAAAAGTCATTTTGGGGTGGTTTTATATTCATAGTTAAACTCATTAAAACATGAGTCTAAACAATACACAAAACATGTACAACAAACAATACATAATATATAAACATTTATTGGTGTTGCTGGTTTTGCCTAGCTCCTTGCGTATGTATCTTTTTTTATCTCTATTTTACCACAGCCAAGAATTCATTGTTGAGTACCTTCATTTTTTTTTCAAGTGGGTCTTTTAAAAATATAAATCATTAATGCGGTATCATATTTATTATTTATTTATATCTTTTTCTGTTTTAATTTTTATTATTAGAAATACTGAGGATGGTATTGTTTATTATACAAGCCTACCATTTTACTTCATGGTTAAAAACAAGTAAGGTACCAAGTCAAACCGGGTACCTAGTCAAACTGAGACATACAAATAAATATAATATAAAGTTTACAAAAGCTTAATAAAACAATTAAAGGGAAATTATTATATAAAGAGTTGAAAGTTCTCGCTATAATAGTTAAAAAAAAGATAACATAAATAGAATATGCTGAAAATTTCAGTCAAATTGCTCCACTCTGAACCAAGATATTAGCTGTTGAATTTTAGGCTACCCTCATTCATCATTACTAAAGTTGGTACAATGAAAAACAGAGTCTCGATTATCCATTTTAAAGTTTATTTTTCTCCAAAAAATGTATTCCAATCCGCTAAATATCACAGGCTAGCGATGGCATCGAGAGTTGATTATGGTCTGGATAAGTTTATTAATGTCTAATTAATAATTTAGATAACATTTTAAGCCTTAACTAAGATTTAACTCTTGCATAATGTATGTTTAATTGGATAAACAGCCGATATTTTCATTTTGAGGAAATCATATATTCAATAATAAAGGTGATTTTGTTACATTTACTCTCAAAGTTTAATAATATTGCTCTTAATATACTTTAAGCTACATTTCATAATATCCTGCACTCAAAACCTGAGAATCTTAAAGGACAATATTGGTGTCAGTCATTATTACATATGTGATAGAACTGGTTAAATACATTCCAAATATAATTTTAACACAGAGATCATTGCTACGGGAGATGTGTAACAAGCACGTGAAGAAACGGGAAGTGACGCCAAACATGACAAACACGAGTTATCCTTCTATATAACTGAATAAAGTAATGAGCGATAACAGACAAACTATCGAATTTCATTTCACTGATAATTCCGTTGAAGATGAAAAGTTATTATATGGGACGGTGAGAGGGTATCCCACAATTCAAAAATAGAATTGGCTGTCACTAGATAAGGGAAAACATGAAAAATAGAAAAATCCCGTGCATTCCCCTGTTTTTATTCATTCTGTTCTTAATAAAAACATGGTAATGCACAGACTTTTTCTAATTTGTTCGTTATCTTTTATCTACTGACAGCCAATTCTTTTTTGGAATTGTCAGATATCCTCTCACCGTCTCATATAATAACTTTTCATCTTCAACTGAATTATCAGTGAAATGAAATTCGATCGCGTGTCTGTTATCGCTCGTTACTTCAGTTAGTTATATAGAAGGATAAATCGTGTTCGTCATCACTTCCCGTTTCTTCACGTGCTTGTTACACATCTCCCGTAGCAATGATCTCTGTGTTAAAATTATATTTGGGATGTATTTAACTAGTTCTATCACATATCACTGACACCAATATTGTCCTTTAATATAATTCAAGTGGGCTGTATGCAGGTGGTCTTCTTTTTTTAGCTAAAGTCAGACCATGGCATATAACCCAACCCAACTCCATGAAATGTGTCTGAAGTTTATGGTTCTAAAATTTTGAAATTCAATCTTCCTTATGCCCCAATGAACAACGATACAAAGTTTACAACATTTCATTGAGAACTTTGTCCTGTAATAAAATTTAACAGTCAAAATGTGAACAGAAAGATTACTCCAGCATTTAGTAAAAAATTACATTGAGAACTTTGTCCTGTATCCCTGTTCACAAGATTTATCCGTCAAAAAATGAGTAGAAATATAACTTAGCTACCTGTGTTCGAAATTTATGATCCTGAAATTTGGAAATTCAAAAACGAACAATCCCAAAGAGTTTTAAAACTTTCCATCAAGCACTTTGTCATGTTTTGTGTTTAGAAGCTAGCTTTCATACACACATTGTGTTCACAAGGAAAATTGGACAGGCATGTGACGACAATGTCCACATAAAGTGACCAAGTCACCGCAGAAAAACAATGAGGGTTAAAAAAAGGTCACACAATATTGAATTTGGTTTGTCCTTAGTTCTAGCCAATGAATCCCACAAAGTTAGAATATATAGAATACAAGTACAGTCCACCCTGCTCTTTTACTTAAGTGATTTTTTTTCTATGAAAAAGAATCTTGTGATTATTATTAATCGTTTTTCTAACATTTAAGGTTTACAACATTTATTCACATTTAAATAAAGAAAAAGGAAATGGTTAAAAGTTCCACTAAAGTGGACAAGAGAATGTTTTATTTCCTAATTATTTTTTTGCAACTAGAATTAGCAATGAATTTGAGAATGATCGATTATAGATATCCATACTTATTCAAGGAAATTGCATTAATAATAAAGCTTTGTTGAAGAAGAATATGTACTCTTTACTGATGGGCGATTAAAAGTCTCTTGCTTCTTAATTAACCCTTGTAGCACTCTAGAGTAGGACAAACTTTTGTTTAGAATATAAACTAATCAGAAAAATTTAACTCCTTCATTTCCAGCCATAATTTCACATTTTCCTTCAGTCTGCAGACATTTTAGAGATCTAAGTAGTAACCAATTTTCTAAGCCATGAAATTCTGAAAATGAAAAAAAGTGCAGAGACTGAATTAAACTAAATATAAGACAATAAACTATACATTGTTTTAATCATCCTTTAACAATAATATTCAAATGAACTTTCACTCTCTGAGGCCTTGTGGTTTGAATACACAAAATCATATTCTAAAAACAGGAAGCAGCTTCGGCTCTCCTATTTCTTGTCTGCGATATCACTTATGTGGAAGCAGACATAAAACACTAGGATACTACTACTACTAGAGTCATCTTCATAACCTAGTGGGTTTTCTCATGTCATGTGGCTTTCTCCCACAAATTATGTAAAAAACATATACCACATATTACTGCTCAAAAAAATCATTTCTCGACCTTTGATTTGACTAATCTCTGTTCATATAATCAATAACGCCCTTACCTGTATTTTCAGAGTCTTCTCCATTTGTTATTTCATACATAGTACAAACTGTATTCTTCATTCCTTTATCATCAGCCTGAAAATAGTATCATGTATTTACCTACGCCTTCAATAGTATAGAATAACTGAAAAGATAGATTGCCATCAAATAAAACACATTTTGATAGCCAGTCAGATATGTTAAATACAAATCAGTCAACAATTTTTTCATTGGGGTAGTTTGATTGTGAGTTGGAAACATACCAAATTGGTCTCAAATGACACTGTAGTAAGGATTGGCGGAGATGTTATTGTATTCAGTTAGCACAGGTCTTGCCATCTAAAATTCATTTGTTTTCCTCCTTTTTCACATTTCATTCAATTGAGAGAATTTAATTCCAGAACATTCAATCTGGTCTTTAACACAAAATAAATTACTTTTATTCCCCAAATTATATCTACAATTATTCCTTTAACACCAGTACCTGTGACTTATTTAGAATCACTAAGGCATTTAGGGGAATTCTCTTTGCCTAGGTAAAAGAAGTGCACAGAGATAATCCATTGGTTATTATATTAATGACATTAACTAACCCATTTATAGATGGTTTTTCCCCATTCTCCTGGTGTTCTCCACATAATTAAACATTCTTTTTTACTTTTATCTTTCCATTCTATGTGACCTAAAATAACATTGATATATCTTTAATTGTACATTGTTTAATAACAGACACGATATAAAAAAGTTATCGGATTAAAAGGATACAAACTCTTATGATTTGTGTATTTTGTTAGTAATGGGGGCATTTTCTGGTAAATAAAACACACTAAAAACTGATCAAGAGTAAAAACCAAAGAAGTAATTACCGGTATCAGAAATAATTAAAATTTGATTGACTTCTAGTTCTTCCTAGAGCTAATATTTATCATAAAAAATATATACTGGTAATCTGATGATAACTTCAGCAATTCAAATTGTGTATAAATTTCAAGTCAATTGGATGAGAACTTTAGCTTCTAGAATATCTACAAGAAATTGTTTACAAATGACCAATGGATGGACAGGAGTGACAACAGTGTGTGTCTCATTTGATTAATTAAATTGTCTTTTAGTTTGTTTGGCAAATCTGTGGGTGAATATTAACCTTTTTAAGTCCACAGACAGCCAATTTTGTGTTCAACAGTTAACCGTTTATGCCAAATATGAAACAAACAAGCAGCTGCGATGCAAGATATGCCCACTTTTACCAAGAGATGGACAGAGAACAACCTAAAAAAAAACAACATTTTTTCATACAATCTGGGGCCATAATCCAGGATGTTACGGTCCAACATGTGCCAATATCGAAAGGAACAAAGATTTTTTTGATATAAGCATATATTTTAAGTGTCATTAAAATTGTGATCTCTAGAGGGTCCACAAGTTTAAAACATGATTTTTTGTACAATCCGGGGCCATAATCCTTGAAGTTACCGTCTTCTACATGTCAAAATCGGAAAAAAATTGAGGCTTGTAGAGGGTCCACAACCAAAATGAGACTGGACACACTGACAGACAGGTGGACGGACAGCATAATACGTCCACATGAAAATGTGAGCATATAAAAATAGTATACACAAAATAACTTCTTAATCTTTCAAAACAAACATTTAATTTAATTGTATATACAAATGTCTCATCTTTACTCAAAACAAGGCAACGGTGAGGCTGATGTCTCCTGCTGCAATCCCAAAATAAATAGATGACACATATTAATTAATTGCACATGTATTTTATTGAAAAGTATCCAACAATCAAACTGATTATCTATACTTAGTCTAAGCAGAAAATGTTCATGATGGAACTCAGTCAAGGTTTTGAAGTACCTGGTAGTGAAACTCTACACTAAGTTTCATCACTCTCCATAAGTTAGAATCAAAGGTATCTTGTCCCAAAGCATCGACCAATGAAATTGCTTAGCTCTGCTTAGCTTTAGCGGAAAATGTTAATCATTGAACTAAGTCAAGACATTCACATAATGAACATCTACACTAAGTTTAAACATTCTATCTCAATTAAAAGCAGAGTTGTTATGCTCCAAAGTCTTTACCAATCAAATTGCTTATCGCTACTTAGCCTAAGCAAAAATTTCTAATCATCTAACTTAGTCAAGGTACTGATATAATGAATCTATAATCTGAGTTTCATCCCTCTCACCAAATTAGAACCAAAGTTATTGTGTTCCAAAGTTTTAACCAATAAAATTGCTTATCTCTGTTTAGTGGAAAATGCGCATGTTTGAATTCTGTCAAGGCATTCACCTGATAAGACACCTACAAAAGTTTGAACATTCTACCTTAATAAGGACATTTAATGTATCAAAAAAGGTATGATGGATGGACGGACGGACAGATCCATTTTAATAGTCCCTGCTTTCATTGAAAGGCGGGGGACAATAGAACATCAGAGTAACTAAAAGAGGTTTTTAACCTTTAAAAATATTTGAATACAATATAATGTTTTTACCCCTTTTATTCAATTCGTCTAAAATTGTATATATACCATCTACATGTAATTTCCCTGTCATCTGGTTAAGGAAAGAAAAGGTGACAATACTGAACATCTTAATCCAATATTTGATAGCATTTACTGTTGCAACATACTGGAGAGGATAAACTGTAATTGAAATACAACCCCAAGTACATCACTGTTTTGAAGGAAATTAAGCAATATACAACAAGGTTGAATTAGTTTGAGTATTTTGTCATTTTGATAGATACCTGTCAAATACAAGATCTCCATAAAACACCAATAAAATGGAGGTATCTCACTTCAAATGTGGTCAATCAGTGAAGATCTGATAATGCATACCAAGTTTTGCAAATTAAATCTTATATCTATATTAGAGCTACAAGTCTTCTTTGTGGAACTCCTGTGTCCATATAGCAGAAATAAACTTTTAGTGACATAGTGTAGTATGAAATTACATGTATAGGCCTACATGTATATATGAAAGCATCAATTCAGCCCTTTAACAGCTTGTATAAAAAATTGTTGTTTGGTTAAACAAGCCTAGAAATATCTAATGTTATTTGCATGAATATGTCTGTAGATTTAAATAGTTTGTATTTTTTAAAGAAAATGGCAGACAGAATTTGGAGATGTTTTTTTTTTTAAATCTTACTAATATTGGACCCTATTTCAAACCAGTTGAGAAGAAAAATTTGGGGAATTGGTAATTTAAAGACTTTGGCCCCTTTATTAATAATCATCTGACATGGTACCCATTTTGAACAGCTCCTTTTCCACGGGACTTGAGTGATTACATGTCATAATTATTTGGTTTCGCAGTTTTAATAAGATACATATCTTATAACAGCTGAGAACTGATTATACCCTTCTTGTTTTCATTTTCCAATCCTTAGAAATCCCAGCTAGCTAGAGTGCTTTTATTTAACCCAAACTGTTTATTCTTAATATATAGATCCTTAATTCTGTATTTAGTCATATTTTACTTACAGACATAGTAAATTACACAGGCTTACCATCCTACTTGCAAAACTGTCATGGTAAAGGTCAATGTTTTTTACTAAAAAAATGAAAGGTAGACCTACCGTACCAAGACAAACCGGGCACCTTGGCAGGGCTAGAAATTTGTCATTTTTTTCGAGAATCTAAGAGGATTCTCATATATGGAATCTGCGCAAATCCTCCAAATCTTAATTAATAATACTGTCTAAAAAAACAAAATTGTGTTTATTGTGTTAATCTAAAACACCAAAATACAACAACAATGATAAAAAAAACCCAATCAGATGGAGTTTTTGGTAAACGCTTTAATTGTGTCAAAAGGAATATCCAGAAAATGCGTAGTCAAAATAAGCTGATCCAGCACCATGGCATTTCTTCAAAGCAAAATTTGTAGTCTTTTGTCCATTATGTAACTAGTCACGTAACTTGCAAACGTTTTTATTCATTCGTCGATGATAGACAAATGGCACAATAATCACATGACAACCATAACTGAAATTGCTATAAAATAAAATTCTGTACGCCTATGATATAGCCTTCAATAATATTTTTAAAATTAAGCCTCTGTCAGCATGTATATAAAATAAAAAATCATAACGGTAAACGCTATTTGGAACTGGTTTATTGACCTACTTCCAACCTGTTCCAACCGATATGTCACGTGTCATTGGAATTCGACCGCATTTGAGATTCTGTTGGGAAAATATCCACTGCTTCTCTCTCCGTGTATTCGGTGTTCTATCAGGGGATTATATTCAATGAAGATTTAAATTTACCTAACAAGTAGTCAGTGAATCCATCAATGTATGATACAGTTATTATTTTAATATCTACCGGTACCTGAAATTTACACGGACGGAGAGTGGAAGATGCGCGATTTGCAAACCATGCCGAGACTGTCTTCATTCACCACATGGCGTATTACTGAACCTATTATGAATTATCAGCAAGCTTGTTTTGTTTTTTTACCGGATTATCAAAATCACCGTTAAATGTGCTAATTACTCGGATTATGAACCACATATGGTCGATTCTCACTAAGGTATGACTGTTGTTGTAGCCGACACTTCTTTATTAACAAGTAATAATTAACGCATTGTAATATTACCCAAAAGTTGATTGATTTATGATACCATGTGGCCGATTCATTGTTTTACCAATCGGCTAGATTAACCATCAATCGGCTAAATCCCACAAAACACAGCCAATTAATAACACTGACCCTGACTGACATTCAACAGTTTGACTTTTTTTTTTTTAAGAATTTTTTTTCGCAAATCCTTATAGATTCGCAGCGTAAGCTCTTGCGAGAATCCTTGCGCGAATTAGATTCGGAGATTCGCATGAATTTCTAGCCCTGCTTGGCCTACTAAGTCAAACAGTAATACCTTAATTAATAATCCCAATGTGAAGTTCTGTGTAATGCCAGTATAAATTAGGATATACCAGAACCAAACAAAAAATATAATTTAAACATTATTTCGTGCTATTTTTATGTGTTTTTATAACTTTAAAGGATACTGCTGAGTGACTTATTATAAAATAATGGTGAACTTTGAGCTTCTGTTATATTTAAACTATAACTCTTTGTATGTCTATGGTATGATAGTATTAATGAGCACCATGCTTCTAACTGTTTCTTCCTTGTTTCAAGATTAGGCTGGATTCTGAAATGAAAAAATATTTTGTAACATTCCCTCTACAGAGTTTTGAATAGTACATTTTGTTTGGGTTTTTTCGGGTACACCTACAGTTATTCATGACAACTGTAGCAGACCCTTACAATTTGGAAATGCGAAGTTTATTTAAATTCCTCCTTGGTAATAAGCACCCCGGTGTTTTGTATTCACTTTCAGTTCACTGAAGAAAGACAGCAGAATTCTGAGAAATTAGAATTCTGTTTGAACAGTAAGGTAATAGGCAAAATACTCAACCAAAGTCTGAGTTTTCTTCTCAAATTTTGAGGCGGTATAAGTGTAAATTTAACAAGCATAGTAATACAAAGAATTAAGTTTTAAAATGTTAATTACGTGAAGAAAGGTGGGAATTTGTATTGCCATGGCCATTCGAAGTCAGCCATATTTCCCAATTTTAGAGTTATGCCCCTTTTAGCACTCCCTCAATAAAAAAACAAAATTAACACCCATTTCCGGGTTGGAGTTCTTGAAGACAATTTATTTTACAATGACGTAAAACTTTACAAAACATAAGTTTATTTAACAGTTTTGTATATTTTTATTAGTGTAATTACAAATTTTGACTTTATGGTAATATATATTTACATTTTTTCGTGTGAGATATCGTTAAAATGCACACTACAACATCGATAAACCTACCGGGTACTTCACTCAACTGTCCGTTGCATTCTCAATCTCACTCAACAAACCGTCAAACGACTCTGGGCCTAGATCAATCAATGTTTGTTTGAATAATATATCGATATACTGTATGAATGACAATTTTTCGTTTTGTTGAACAACGACCATCAATTCCCTTTGCAAATGCTCGAATTGAATACGAGTTAACCCAGCTATGCTCGTATTCGTATGCACAACTCTCGTTTAAATAGTTTGCTAACCGGGAGGTCCCGTGTTCGATTGCTGTGTTGTCAGAGAAGGTGCAGGACAGATAGCCTTGGCAAGGGACAATGTATAGTTGTTCAGTTGGGACGAAAAACTGAGGTCGCCACTACACATAAAAGAGCCTGTGACAGTTGAAATTTGAAATAAGAGTAGGCCGTAGTGCCACTGTCGGGACATTTCCTTCATAGCACATTGTATAGCATATGCCCGTCTTCATTAGCCCAGTCAGTGCAGAGAGTATGACGTTAAACCACATTTCATTTCATTTCAATTGCTCTCCTTATTATTCTGCAGCTGAGTAAAACAAGATTTTAAAAGTCCCATGTCATCACATATTTCATCTCATGTCACATGGTAATTCGAAAGTCATATAGCCCTAAAAAGTCACAAAATGGTAATTTTATCAAAAATCCAGGAACTAGCCTACTTGTCAGAGCATTTTGCCTGTGAATCTTGAAATGAAATGAAATGAAATGGGGTTTAACGTCCTACTGTTCTGCTTCTAACCTGGGCTAATGAAGACGGCATAAGCCATACAGTGTGCTATGCGGGAAATTTTGCCCGGGCAGCGGCGATACGGCCTACTCTTATATCGAATTCAAACTGCCAAGGGATCTTTTACGTGCACGCCAATGTGTACACAGGACCTTGGTTTTTCGTCCCATCCAAACGACCAGACAGCTGTCCTTGTCAGACGAGTCTTGAAAACCATGTACGGTACATTTGCAATGTTAATATGACACATAGTTGTACCAAATGAGTCTTAGAATGCTGTATCTCAGCAATGGATTGACAGACTTGTTTCTGATTTTACATAGATTACAAATTGATTTGAGTTTGATGTAATTGGTGTCGGTCATTATCACATATGTGATAGAACTGGTTAAACACGTAACAAATATGATTTTAACACAGCGATCATTGATGTGATAGATGTGTAATGAAGATTTCAAGGAACAAAAGTGCCGAAAGCAAAAGGAAAACACAAGTTATCCTTCTATATAACTGACTGAAGTGACGAGCCACGAGTGATAACAGATACACGGGCCAATTTCTGTTCAGTAATAATTCCTTCGAAGACCAAAAGTTGTTACATGAGACAATGGAAGGATCTGACAATTCCAAAAAAATAATTGACTGTCACTAGATAAGAGATAACAAAAAAAAAATAGAAAAAGTTTATGCATTACCATGTTTTTATTAAGTATAGAATGAATAAAAACAAGGGAATGTACGGACTATTTCTATTTTTCTCATTTTCTCTTATCTAGTGACATTCACGTTTTTAGTTTGAGGTCACAATTTTCATCTGATTATGATGCATGTTTACAACCCAAAGATCTTGGTTCCTTTCAATATTCGTGCATATCTTATTGTAAATTCCTGATTTATGGCCCCTAATTGTACGAAAAATTGCATTTTTAGCTTGTGGTCGCTCTAGAGGCCACAATTATTATCCGATTTAAAAAAACGTTCGAACATATCGCTGTTACTCCATAATGTCAGTTGATTTCGAATTTCGTGACAATCGAACTGAAACTGTCAGACAAAATGGCCGCTTCTTGTACACAGACCCTGTTGTGGACCCTCTAGAAGTCACAATTTTTATCCAAATTGAATGAAACTTGAAATACATGTTTATATCTCAAAGATCTTGGTTCCTTTCAATATTCGCGCATATAAGACTGTAACTTCCTGGATTATGGCCCCTGATTTTACGAATAATTGTGTTTTTTTAGCTTTTCTCTAAATGTCACAATTTTTATCCTGATTTTAAAAAATGTTTAAATATATTACCATTCCACCATAATGAAGGTTGAATTCGTATTTTGGGAAAATTGAAATGAAACTGTCCAACAAAATGGCTGCTCTTTGTCAGAAATTGTGTAAAAGCATGTAATACGAAGGTTGTGGACCCTCAAGAGGTCACAATTTTTATCCGATTTTCATGAAACTTAAAATATATTTTTATATCCAAAAGATATCAGTCCCTTTCGATATTTGCACATTTCAGACAATAACTTTCTGGATTATGGCCCCTGATTGGATGAAAAATCGCTTTTGTTATTAGCTTGTTCTATATCCATCTCTTGTAAAATGTGGGTGTATTTTGCCTGGCAACTGTTGGTTAAAAAATGAAATGATTTTATTTGCAGAAAAATGATAACCTTATCTAAAAAACTGAAACAAACTGGAAGGAAAGAGGTGGAAGGTACTCCAAAAAGAATATCTATAAGAGATAAATTATTAGTCAAAGGTATGTAGGTTTTACTACTTTACTCAATAATATATCTTAGAGAGTATGTGTCATTGGCTATTTTACTGGTTTCCAATCATTGTCATCATGTGAGTCATAGCATGGATAAGTTGCTGTAATTGAATGAATAAGTGTGGACACCTACAGATCTGCAATCAAAATTGGGAGTTTTACCAGATTACTCAACTGGAATTTAGTATATAAGTGAGACTAACTACATCCATACTTTATCACAGTTATCTTGATCATCAAGGTACCGTATTATTTATTATTAGTTATGTGCGAAGATGTCTAATGATAGTACATATACATGTATAAAAGGTTGTGATATGTTTTTATTGTTTTATTACAGAGGTTTCTGAAATGCACGAAAATTTACCAAAGTCTTGTCAAGTGATATTTGATGATCCCAATAAAATACATACATTTTCTCTAGTAGTTGTACCGGACGAAAGTTTTTGGCAGGGAGGAAAATTTAAATTTGATGTTTTTGTACCAGAAGAATATAATATTGTGGTGAGGAATTGTTTGGGTGTAATGCACCCTTTTAACTTTTAATAGAAATTTCGCTTAAAAATACATGTAATACCCTGACTTGGGGCGGTTGGATGGCCAAATGGTTTGCGCTGTATCATATATATAAGGTCTGTCAGTAAGTCAACTAGAGTGGTTTCGATTTCCCGGTTGTATGTGACAACCTCGTGGGTTTTTACTGGCTCCTCAAGTTTCCTCCCATTGCTAAAGACCCCTATGCGCAAGTGAATTATTGAAATAAAATTGAACCATATGTTAGTCCTGAAATGACCTAGTTTGTGTGGAGTGGACATTAAACTCTCTCTCTCTCTCTCTGTACCCTGTTTTCTAACATATCTTCTGGCACATTCAACTAAAGATACATGAACCAGTTACAGAGTTCAGACTGAATGAATGAAATAGCTTACTCAAACAATTGGCGATTGGCTTATTTTTATATTTTAGCCACCAGAAGTAACTTGTTGTAATAAAATATGGCATCCTAATATAGATGAAACAGGAGAAGTTTGTCTTAGTTTACTACGTCAAAGTTCTTATGATAGCTTAGGTTGGTATATACATACGTGTGTTTTTTCATTATTTGTTAAAACTTGAATCTGTGAGAGAAGAAGGGATTTGATACTGTATAAGACATTCAGAAATAATATATTTCAATCAGTTTATTGTATGTATTGAGATACTCATTAAAACAAAATAACTGCTTTGATTTGGTTGAAAAATGAAAGTCTTGATATAAATAAATTTGATGTTGATTTGCTTTATCAGGAATCATATGTTTGCAGGTTGGGCCCCAACAAGAAAACTTAAAGATGTTGTATGGGGAATAAATTCACTTTTTTCTGTAAGTATTCAAAAGTTTTAGATTTGAAGTAGCATGAAATCACTTGCAGACATTTTTTGAAGGGACCTTGAGGGTAATATTAACAGATAATCTATTTTGATAATCTATGGTTAGAACCATACATCTTCTCCAAAAATAATTATTTGTGTTGATGAATTACATTTGTATCTCAATGCATATCTAACTGAACTGTAATTTTATGTTATAGGACTTAACAAATTTTGATGATCCTTTAAATGTGGAAGCTGCCGAACATTATTCAAAAGATAAAGTTAGTACTGGTTTATTTATAATTATTTTCCCTATATCCAATATATAATTTTACATAAATTTACAGTAGCATCAGGGACATCCAGAAGGCCATGTATCTGCCCCCTGATCATATTTATCTTCAAAGCTACTGTATTACTAAATTCTATAGACAGACCCTTCTTAAAATTTTATGTATCTGTAAGCTTACTAATAGGGATTTGGTTTCAATTTTCATGATTTGGTAATGTTAGAATAAGTTGTCAGAAACTGATGTAGGCCACAAGGTGAGAAAGAACAAACAAGAAAGACATACATGAATCAAAGAATGCAAGTGGTGAACAGTTGGACACACCGTACCTGACATGACTCTTTTTTCATGAATCAGATGTCAGTCATTTTAAGCATTTTGTCCAGTCAACTGTGTTTCTGCCTACTCTTCTTCAAATTCCAACTGCCAAGGGTTCTTTTACATGCATGCCAATTAATGGTTACACAGGACCTTGGTTTTTCATCATATCCAAATGACTAGTAAGTTATCGTTGCCTGGCCCCCCTGTCCTCCACGACTCACAACAAGGGTAAATCAGGAATAAAAATCTAGAGGAACATTCTCAACCATTACTGGGATCACTGAGCTGTCATGGCTGCAAAAGAAGAAGAGAAAGAAGACAGTAATACACTGATATTCAGTGAAATAAAACTTCAATTTCTTTTCTTTTCAGGAATCTTTCAAGTGCAAAGTTAGAGAATATATACAAAAATATGCCAAAAGATAATATTAACTAACTCAACTAGTTACTGTTGTGATAATCTGTAAAATATGTGACCTTTGACCTTGTATAACCCAAATTCAACATGCCTGTTCTCTCTATGTTTCGCTCAGCATGCAAGATATTCTTGGAACCCCGGTGAAATTGGTTCATTATAACCTGGCTATGGCTGCAAACATTGTTATAGGGGAGTCATTGTGTAAAGGTCTTGATATAACAAGGGTCTTGTCTGTGGAGCCATACATCAGTGTTATAATAGGGTTGGTGCAGTGTATGAAATAGCTTACAGAACCTAAAATTTTGATGGTTTTACAGAGTGAAGCAATGATTTTAGTGCTTAGTGAAATAAATCGAGAACAAGGTTTTCATTTCTTGATTTGAAAGGTTAATAATTCTCAACTAGTTGTTGGGTATTACAAACTTTAAAAACCAACATGTACTAAACTGTGTCAGCTGTTCAGATTTACATTAAATATTAAACATGGTTGACCAATTGTATTTGGGTTATGAAAATCTGTTGCAAAGTTTTTGTGGTTTACAATTATTTTTACATCAAATTTTTAATATATTTATGTTAAAAGAAAATCAGTGTTAATTCTTCCTTAAATATACTGCTTTGTAAATTGTTTTGTGAATTCTGGACTGAAACATATGATGTATTACAGTTATAATCCTAAAGCCGACCACACAATTTGTGATTAACTGCCACCATTATTCAGACTGGTTTCTTGTCACAAAGTCTGCACTTGTTTTTCAGTTTAATATTTATTTTATCTTTACAATAAACGAGAAGTCACAATTTTTGCTTCATCCCAGAAAAATCAAATGCCAAAATGTGAATAAATAACCTTTTTACCTTATCTCAAAGTGTCAGCTTAAAATATTAATACATTTAAAAATAAGCTTTTTATTTTCATTGAGTGACCTGTTAAATGCAAATATTTGATTGTAAGCTTTGCCAAGAGGTAATTATAAGTGCTGCAGTAACCTTCCATTTTCTTTTACTCATTGGAAAACAGCAAAGTATAGCAGGAAGTTCACTGAATTTACAGACAGGTTCATCCAGGCGTAAGGTGCATGCTAGTCAAAAAACTTATCTCCAACTCCACAGGAAAACTGGTTGTGGGTAAAACATATCATTTTTAGACAGAATTAACCTTTTTTATTTTATGATCAGTAGTGGAATACCGTGTTTTATCAGTGAAATAAAAGTGTTATTCCACTGGCTAGCAGTAGTCCATGTTGTTTTTACCTGAAATGATTGTAAAATCATAAAATAAATAGAACATTTATCGTTCTGTCGTGAATAACATATTGTATTTCATCTCTAAGCAAGAAAACATTTATATTTTCACTCATGCTACGCATTCGTGAAAATATAAGTTTTCTTGCTTAGAGATGAAATAAAATATGTTATTCACTCTAAAACGTCAAATATCCTCTATATATTCACTGGTAACTGAGATTTGCATTTTAAAGGGACATAATGTTGACAAAACATGACAAAACAGTCTCAATATACATGCGAGGAGCTCATCCATTTCAAGTGTAACAGCTTAAGATTTCTATTGCAATAGTAAGATTTTATTGTGCTCTGTAAATTACATCATCCAACATGATTTTTCGGCAACTACATTAAATGGTAATAAATCAGATTGTGTGCTGGGCTTTAGCAAATAATGAGTGTTAACAGTGACTTTAGGTTTATTGTTTTGCCATAAGAAAACTATGGGATGTGTTATACACATTTCTATAGGCATTTTGTTATATTAAAATCTCTGATTGACATTTGAGGAATATTTACAATACAATATAGTGAAAGTTAAATCTCTAAAAGGAATATCAGTCCAAAAATGGTTCATTCCGTTTAGTATTTCCAAGCTAGCACCACCTATAGTTTCGCTAAAATCTTTGATGGGCTTCTTTATAATCTGATTGAGTTCAAGTCAGGAGATTATGTACTGTTGATAGTTTGATTTATTTTTCTTAGGTAAATACTAAATAATTAATTTGAGTACATTTTAGCATGGATTAAGCTGTGAAAGGTTAGATATTGCAAATAACGCACAGAGAGTTTTAAGTTTGATATCTAGCATTGCCAAAAGAAATTGATACTGGTAGAAATAATGAATAGAAAACTATTTTTACTCCAGTGAGGTTTATTTCATTATTTGTAATGAATGTCAACACACTATTATGGTAAAACCACCATTTTAATTTGCACCTTATTGGAAAATTTATCTTGATATTAAAATCCAAAAAAAATAAAAAAATTAGAAATTTAAAACAAAATAATAATACGATAATGGAAGTAAAGTCTCACTAAAAAGTTAAATAATTATGTATTTTAGTAGATGAAATAGATTTCTTTAAATTGAAAGTGTTGTTATCAAATAACTGTTTATACATAAATTGAAAATAGTTTGTATGCTTCAATTTGCTTTACACTGAATTGAATGGAAAATAGGGCCAAATTATAGATGCACCATATAGCAGAAATAGTTGGCATATTATCAGAAAGAGTTTGAAAAGTTGCATTAACTGTTTTGATACAAGAGAAATGTTCTTAATAATATTTTCAGGTTCCCTGTGGTGGGACTATTAAAAAAATGATATAAGTTTGGTTGAAAGTTTGCAAATCTTTGTAGATCCATAAATAAATAGTAAATTATAACTTCTATGTTTTGTATCCACAATACTCTGAACATATTGTACTATAATATAATGTATAAAGTTGTTTCATTTTTATTTTTCTGGGTTAGTTTGCTTTCTTATTTAAAAACTGACGTACATAATACAAATACATTGTGTCAAATTCACACATATATAACTTGAACAATCTGCTGATGAAAGACATGCAACTTTTATTGATTTCTACAATAATTCATATAGTATACATGCTACTTATTATTGATTTCATAGAATATTCTTGCATCCAATGATCAATACATTATCATCACATCTCCATACCAAACTTGGTGGTCGAATGCACACTGTAAATTATAAGATCTGCTATCTGTATGCAGTTCATCGGTTAGATCTCGCACTTGTACATGGTAAGGCAGTCTGCTTAATTTTGTGGGTTTTATGTGGGTACTCAGATAGATGTGTTATTTTTGAAATGGCATTTTTAGTATTGAGTAAACAGGAAACTCCTTTCACACTCTCTCCACCTGTCCTCCACAATCATCACATCTTTTTCCAATCTTTGCCTAGCCAGATCATCATTTTTCATCATCATCACTCCTTTTTATGAACCATCAACAGACTTCCAAACTGTTACTCTTCTTTAAAGGTTCTGATCATATTAAAATAAGACGGTACTAAACAGTAAAAAAAATATTTATCCTCCCAAATAAAACAATATGTGATAATTACAATTTTTTTCCTAGGCTTTCTAGTCGCAAAGACTTGGGTAATTGACTATTTCTTGTGGGGTCATATGTGGACCCTCATTCAGCTGCACCATTTGTACCATGTTAAATTCCCTCCCCCCTCCCCTTACATAATGCATAATGATAAATTCAGGGCTGCTTTTTTCTATGATATTCTTAAATAACCAACGATTTTTGTTCTGGTTTTCCAGTACAAGTCACAACATTAACTAAGGGGAGATCAATCTTACTTTCCTGTCAGTTGAGTATAGGCCCTATTACCTGAAATGAAATGAGCATAGCATCGATCCTAATTTTGAGTGCTGACGACAGCTCTTCCAATTCTTGAATTATAACGGTATTTACTGTATGGTGGACTACTGTATCTTAAATATTTATATTCCTGTGAAACACCTTGTTGTGTACACGGTTTTACTATTCCGACATGTTTCGCTATAAAATTATACGAGGAAAAAAAACAAAAACAAAGCAATGAAAAAGAAATTAAAGTTATCATCATACTTAGTTCATTGACCTGAATTCCAGATGCGAACAAGTTGCCATCGGCCATCTAAATAAATTCACCACTCTAACACATGTCTGTGTTAAAATCCAAATTTTATAATTAACAAACAAAAAACTGTTTATATTCACTAACAATCTGTCAATGATAAGTCCACAATTTTTTCGCATCTCTCCGCTCAGCGCACCAAACCCCTCTAATATTTGCAAGAGATGGATAGAGAACAAGCTTTAAAAATAATGCAACCTTTGGGTCATAATCCAGAAAGTACGGTCCGATATGCACGAATATCGAAAGGGGTCAAGACCTTTCGGACGTAAACATATATTTTAAGTTTCATTAAGATTTGATAAAAATTGTGACCTCTAAAGTGTCCACAACCTTGGTATTAGATACTTTTACACTATTTGCGTACATGTAGCAGCCATTTTGTCCGGCAGTTTCGCTCCGATTTTTACGAAATTCGATCATACCCATCATTAGGCTGTTGCGGTGATATTTTAAATCAGATAAAAACTGTGTCCTATAGAGGTTCCGTATGCTACAAAAAAACCCACGATTTTTCGTACAATCAGGGTCCATAATCCAGAAAGTTACGGTCCGATATGCGCATATATCTAAAGGAACCAAGGAGCGGCAATTTTGTCCGGTAATTTCGGTCGGATTTTTACGAAATTCGTACACAACCGTCATTATGATGTAGCAGTGATATATTTAAGCGTTTTTTTTTAAATCGGATAAAAATTGGGAACTCTAGAGGGACCACAGGCTAAAAATGCGATTTTTCGTACAATCAGGGGCTATAATCCAGGAAGTAACAGCCCGATATGCGCGAATATCGAAAGGAGCTAAACAATCAGGGGTCATAATCCATGAAGTTTTGTTCCGATACATGCCAATATCGAAAGGAACCGAGATCCTTTCGAGATAAAAATATATTTCAAGTTTCGTCAAAATCGGAGAAAAATTGTTACCTGGAGAGTATCCACGGACGGACAAGGGCGACGACATAATACGTCCACGTGAAAATGTTGGCGTATAAAAATTCATTAAAGGACAATATTGGTGCCAGTCATTATCACATATGTGTTAGAGCTGGTTAAAAACATTCCAAATATATTTTTAAGACAGAGATCATTGCTACGATAGCTGAGTAATACAGGTTTCCCGTATCGGAAGTGACGAACGCCAAAGGAAAACACGGGTCGCTGCTCGTTATAACGGACTGAAGCGACGAGTGATAACAGATACACGGCCGAATTTCTACTCACTAATAATTCCTTCCAAGACCAAAAGTTGTTATATGGGACTGTAAGAGGATATCTGACAATTCAATAAAGTAATTGAACGTCATTAGATAAGAGAACACGAGAAAAATAGAAATAGTCCGTACATTTCCTTGTTTATATTTATTCTATACCTTATAAAAACATGGTAATGCACGGACTTGTTTCTGTTTTTATTACGTGTTCTCTTATCTAGTGGCAGTCAATTCTTTTTATGAATTGTCAGATATCCTCTCGCAGTCTCACACAACAACTTTTGGTCTTCGAAGGTATTATTAGTGAGCAGAAATTCGGCCGTGTATATGTTATCACTAGTCGCTTCAGTCAGTTATATAAAGCGGTGACTCGTGTTTTCCTTTGGCGTTCGTCACTTCCGATACGGGAAACCTGTATTACTCAGCTATCGTAGCAATGATCTCTGTGTTAAAAGTATATTTGGAATGTGTTTAACCAGCTCTAACACATATGTGATAATGACTGGCATCAATATTGTCCTTTAAGGGGAATATTCATAAAGAAGTTTATGGTCATTTCAAATTTATATTAGTTTCTATTGATTTCAAATCTCATCATTGTGCATCCTAAATTTTATTAGTTTATATCCACTGACATCGATACCATGACATTATCAAGCTTACAAGTTTTGTTTTAATTTTTTACTAACTAATTAACACCAAAGTTTTGTTGAATGAATTTTTTATCGGCCTTCTGTCATATTGGCGATCAACCTATGAAAGACTCAAATATCGTCAGTAATTAATTGATATAATTGTGGATATGATTGGTTAGATCAATTAGTGTTATTGATACACAGGACATTAGCGGGATAACGTCTCCGCTTAGGGACTTTTGTGACCTCTACGTCCCCACACCATGTATACAGGCCTACTTAGCACTACACTACATTGAAGGATCGTTGTGCAGGCCCGGATCCAAGATTTTGTCGAGGGGGGGGGGGCATACATTGGAGCAAAGGGTAATCATCAGAGTGCCACATGCATTAGTGGTTTGGTGTAGTCCCCAGAGTCTTCGTCGCGGTCTCGTTAAACAGAACTAAAATCTGGGAATCCCATTGCTGACTGCAGGTGTTGATCTGAACAGTGACCAGTCTCACTGGGGCTCAGGGGGGGGGGGGGCACGGCCCCTTGTATCCGCGCCTGTTGTGACTCTTAAAAGTACAAAAGCAATCCGTTTTCTGAACTGTTATAAATTGTCAAAGAATGCGAACATGCATCTGATAAGATCAACGAAGTGCACATCATCGATTTTATACAGGGTTGACATGCAATATTTGATTAAAACTGAAGTACGTTCCTCAATTAAATAGGTTACAAAATGTATGTCTTTGTAAAAACTGTGTGGAAATTGCTTTGAAAAGAAATCTACAGACGGCTAAGCGATTAAACAAATTTCAGCGAAGAATTTTAAACATTTCAATCGGGGTGGGTGTATCACGTTTTCATAGCTAATATCACCGGCACACCCGATTCACAATAGTGCATACAAATTTAAACAGTAAAAAATGTCGAAACCATACAAAGTTGGTCATCCCAATGATGATCTCGTTATAAGACTTTAATCGCTTCAGAGTCTACAGGGAAAAGTCCACCCTCCCCACAACCCTCTAGTAATCTCAAGCACCGTCTGCGAACGGCCCTATACTTATCATTGAAATGACCCAACAAGAGTGTTTTTTTTATCAATATTGCCCAAACTAAAAAGTGACCGACTAGGAATTATATGATATAGATATGCATATTATACAAATCATATCCAAAATTTAAATGATTTTATACTACATTGACAAAATTAATCCCAATTAATAGACACGAAATGAAATGAAATGGGGTTTAACGTCCTACTGTTCTGCTCCTATACTGGGCTAATGAAGACGGGCATACGCCATACAGTGTGCTATGAGGGAAATTTTGCCCGGGCAGCGGCACTATCGTCTACTCTTATATCGAATTCCAACTGCCAAGGGATCTTTTACGTGCATTCCAAATATATACACGTGACCTCGGTTTTTCGTCTCATCCGAAGGACTTGATAGCTGTCCTTGTCAGGCCCTCCGTCCTGCATCACTGAGTTTTTTTAAGTGCACGCAATTACGGGAGCTCAGGTTTTTGTCCCGTCAGACCCTCCCCCTTGAACTTTCAACTCCGGGTGCGAATTAGCGACTTCCTGGCTAGCGAGCTGGCGTCTTATTCACTGAGCCACAAAGACTCCCAATTAAGCAAACCACGTGCTAAATAGACCCAATGACAATTCATTATCGAAATATTCAGCTGTTTGGAAGTGATCACTAGATATGCTTAATGGAGTTACATTACTTTTGGTCCATCTCGGTTAGATGGTAATAGCATAGGACAAAGGGTTATAGGTGTCATTCACCTCAAATTAACCCGTTGTAATCACTAAAATATATCTGTGACTACACCTTTTAACCATATCCCGCCTCCACGTACCCCACCAGTGATAGAGCTGTAGTCTGGCTTAAAACAATATAATTTCAGAGGTCGATGGTCGTACAATTGGCTGGGTGTTATTTAAAGTTCAATTATA